ATCTAAATCAATTTGACAGACTGCAATATAATGTTGAATACCTTCGAAAATGCGAACGATAAATATTGTAAAAAGGTCGATGTTGAGTATGTGGTTTTACATATTCAATTTCAAATAACCAGCGAATGCATGCATTGTTTTTCACGATAAAAATTTATTTCGAGGTTTCGTTTTTCTCTCTATTGGTCGATGGTTGCCATTCGAATTTTTTTTTTTTTCGTTTCTGATTCATATTTTTCGTGAAATATGCGTGATGGAAACTATTATTTTGTCAAATTTCATCAAACCATTTTTTCGGGCCTCGATTCGTTTTTCGAGCCACAATTTCCAATTTTTGCTCGATTGTATAAACAACAACGACGAAAAACCGTGTATTATTTCTATGATCAAAAATTCCATTTTCATAAATATAAATAGTATAGAGAAAAAAAAGTTGTGCACACATCAACTCGCACCAAAAAAATATTCAAAAGGTCAGTCGGTATGAATTTTTTACGAGTGGCTTATTTTTATTATTCTTATTACATGCAATATTATTTCACTTGCTTCTGCTGCTGCTGCTGCCAAATTTAGTGGCGGTGGTTTTCATTCATCGATTTCGTCTCAGGCTTGAATTAGCCATGTTATATGTGTGTTGCACACCCAAAGACCATGGTGCGTGTAAAAGAAACAGCCATGGTACTTACCGTTTGTCGACAACGGTCCAAAAGTTGCATTAGCAGCAATGGCATTTTTTGTTTCTCTAATAATTTATTATTCATTGCAATTTACTTTGATGTTCGGCAATAAACATTTTTATTGAATAATGAATACGTATTTTCGTGCATTACGTGACTTTTTGTGGTAAGAGAAAGAGAGAGTGTTTGGTGGTTTTACATTCGAGACAAGTAGACATGCATCAATTTCAGTGTCTATCAGAATCGGCTGTAAACAATATCATATCCATTTTTTTGCGACTTTTTGCACGTTGAAAAATGCACATACTTTTTTTCTCGTCTTATATAGAGGATTCAAGAAAATCCGTCTGAAAATTTCGCGCCAATTTCGGTTTCATAATCGGCACTTGCAGAAAAAAAATTTAAAATGTGACCTTTGATTTTGTCGCAATTCGTCGTAAATCTGTCGTGTGAGAAAAAAAAATGTTTTAAGGAAAAATCGAATGTATGACTTAGCAGAAAAATTAATTACAAATTCATATTCTACAATTATACTTTAAAACGTTTAAGGTTCAGTTTCTAGCACAATTCCAAGCGTTTTTCATTTTGTTTGCGTTTTTATTTTCAACGAATCACTCAACACAAAATTATGCGCACTAACAAGGCAAACACTAATTATTTCAAATGAATAATATAAATTAGTAAATAAATTAATGGCAAAACAATGAATAAACATAATCGAAAGGGAATTAAAAATACAAATTCGTCGATTGGCTACATTGACTGTTTTGAAACTATGTCAAAACAATTATCATAACATGTGCAATGTGCAGTGATCTGTTTAAATGTTGCTGTTGTTGTTGTTGCCGTGGTTGTTATTGTAAATGGTGATGTCTGGGTTTCTATGTCGCCGATCGCACTTCTCAAGCGTCGATTATTACTTATTCGAATCTCTCAATTCAGGCAATTAGTTCAAGTCGAAAAGGAAACCCAAATTTTCTATTCGACAACTGCACAATTTCATCATCGTTTTTTTTTTCTTCGTCTTCGTCGGAGCTGCACAATTTTGAATTGTTTTTTGAATACCTTCTGCACAGAGACGGGTATAGAAAGAAAAATAAATTGTGCAGTCGAAGACAATAGAGCATGCATCTGACATGTAGACAAATTCCAAACTGAAGTCACCTACAACATTGCAAGAGCAATTTTCTTACCTTGTCTAACATAGAACAACAGTGATTGTACAAATTCTACCTGTGAATATCGAATTCCATCAGTTTTGTGAGTCTATTTCGTCATTTTCTTTTTTGCTTTTGATTTCTCTTTTGTCTTTTCTTGTCCCGCAAATACATGTGCATTTTTTTCAAATATGCATTCACAATAACTGCAACTTAGAAATCTAGGGCTATACTCAGAAAAAAAGCTATATATTCGAAAATTGCACACATAGACGCATCCTATGGCCTATTTCATCTCTCTCTCTCTGTTCTCCTCTTTTCGTTTTGTTTGTGTGGCTTCTTTGTTTTGATTTATATTTACATCTTTCCTTTCATTTATTTAGATTCTCGAAAATCGCTCTTGAGTCATTTTTTTCGGTTTATTTCTTATATTGTGTATTCTTCAGGTTTTTTCGCTTCCTTTTTTCGCTTTCGATCTCGATCTTCCTTTTTTTTGTTCTGTGTATTTCGCCTCTTTTATGCATCATATATGCACCGTCTAAAATAACATATGCACCTTGAACAATTTTACTACGCTTAATAATAATTCATTTTCGGTTTTTAATAATATACTCGAAGCCGAAAAAAGAGAGAAGGAAAACACACACACCTAGAAAGAGATTGTTCAATAAGTCAGAAAAAAAGCAACCAAAGAAAATTCAGAGAAGAAAAAAATAACAAAAATCCCTCAAACATCAGCATAAATTCGTTTTCTTCTGATTCTCTCTTTCGAGATAATGTGTTTATAAAAAAAGGAACTGTGAAAATGAAGAGAGAGAGAGAGAGAAATGTAGGCAATATGAACTGATGCATATGTGTTTCATATGCAACTTTAGTTAATTTTCGCTTGTTGTTATTTTTTTTAGATTTTTCTAAGTCGTTTCCTCCTTGTCTTTGATTATCAGAAACATACGGTTGAAATCTCTTTTTTCGGTTGAACACTGTGCATTTTTTCGGCCTTTTTGAATGCATTTTGAATTTTGTTATGTGTAACGCAGGTAGAAAATTTGAATATTTCATTTCATGCAAAATCGAAAGAACCCAAAGATATGGGTATTTGCCTTAGACCCACAAATTAAAAGAGAGATGAAAAAAAATCGAAAGTTGAAAAAAATGGAATTTTGCCTATGGAATCAAATCAAAGAGATATCGACCTGTGATATGTTTGACGCTGCCAATGAATTTATTTCATTTTCTAATTTTGGGAATAAAAAAAATATATAGATTTCAAATGCATGGTTTGACAGACGCCAGACATTCAATGCTTCTTGAGATTTTTTTTTGTTTCTTTCTTTGATTCGAAGATTGCAAGATGATCCAAATGAATGGCGTGGCGAGAGAATATTGAATGCTTTCATTTGTCGGTGTTCACCATGAAATTCGTGGAACCAAAAATTTGACTAGCGAAGTAAAGATTGCATATTGAATTTGATATTTTTCTATGACAAGTTGAAATTCGATTTTCAATTTAAGACAAGAAAAGAAAAGAGATTCTTAGGCATAAGCCTATTCTAATCAGTTTAAACCTTTGGCATTATTTTAATGCCTGAGAAAAGGTAATCCAAACAAAAAGAGGAACTTGTTTAAAAGGTGAAAACTTCATTAGTTTCATGACTTCGTTTTTTTTCCTTTAATTTGAGAATATTTTGTGCGTTTCTTCTGTTCCATTGTGTCGACGAAAACGCACTTAAAATATTTTCTCAGGCATACAAGTTCTCTTTAAATACTTTCTTCTGATGGCAATCGGACGAGTGAGACGCAAATTGAAAGAATAAGAGGGAAAAAATATAACCATGTGGATTTGCTGTTCGGTTCATACATATCTCAGAATCGATCAGCAGTACTCGCACTTCACTGGTCATGTGCACGCCAAATGTCTTCGGTTAAATTTGACTTCGTTTGTTATAATTTGCAATGCACAATGAAAATGTATGGATGTCATTATATCCAAGTGTAACGTTGTCGTCCACCATCATCGTCTCTCCGGTTTCATCCCGGTCTACACATTAAATGTAGAGTCTTTGAAACGACAGATAATAAATATGGTTATAATGCATCTAAAATAATAAATAAGAAATGAAAATGGCCTGTGTAAGAAAGTGACCAAATGTTTTTTTGTCGTTTTTTGGTTGGTGGCATAGAGTATGTTTGCATATAGTATACATATTCATGCGGACAACTAAAACAAATATTCGTGGAAACGAAAGGAGATATCGAATGGATGAAAGTTGTTAAAGATGATGTACAATTGCATATATATAAATGTGTGAGCGCTTGCCTTTGCAGATGTGTTCAAAAAGTTGTATAGTTTTAGCAGCAGCAGCAGCCAAGAAGAAAAAAATACGACATACTCACATAATTCAGTTGATTCTCTCGAGAGCCATAAAAATAAAGACGACCACAGGAAAACGAAGAGCAAAAAAGAACATCACGCTTATCCCAACATTACGCCATCGACTGGACTTAGCTGGTCGAAATGGGTTTTTACTGGGAAACCAAACTCCGGGGATCTCACAACAGAATTAGAAGATAGGCCACTGGTGTTAATATCAATGAAATGGCATAACCTAATGCATATTCATGTCTCATAAAAAAACCGTTCTGCATATTCACCGAGAACTATTCTTCGAAAGCAGCATTTTCAAAGCCAAATACGGATCGAATCAGAGAGTGAGTGTGTGCGTGGTGAGAGAGGGGAGCGCATTGCCATATTCACCGTCCAGTCATTTCATACAGATAATTGCAGGAAAAAAAAATGTTTCATTCCCTATTTTGTATGCAAGTTGTGCAATGTTCGGAAACTGCATTTTGCGCTTACAACAGTCACTTGTTTTTTTTTTCTGTATATCGTCAAGAACACATTCTTCGCCTTTATTAAATCAAATTATGTGCTTCACAATCATTACTTCGAATAGAAAAATTGAATTTACAATTTACAAACTGACCTTTTCGTGTACACTTTTTTTCCCGACCATTTTGGGAAACTTGATAGATTTTTCTCGAGAGGAAATCAAGCTTTAGCTGTAATTACATTGTAATTGCATTATCAAACTCAAATTATAATCCATTATAAACACTTTATATTCTCATTTTTAATTTTTTTTATGTTTTTTTTTGTTCGTTACAGATTTGAATCGATTATCCAAATCCCCATCTCCGGTACCTTCACACGGTAAGTGTTTGTAATTTGTTTGATAAAATCCAATCTAAATGCGGTTAATATATACATACATTACAAGTAAGGGGTCTTGACACTCTATTTCTCTCGATTCGGAAACTCTATATGGTCGTTCATTGGCGCGGCATCATCATAATAGACACATAATTCATCTTAATTTTATTTTGCCTGTCTAATGTCTTTATAAATTCGAAAATCGATGTTCCTCCCTTTTGCTTCTCATTCGATTTCTTTTTTACTTCTTCAAGTCTTGCCAATCGAAAACCCACACGACTCTGAACTGCTAATAAAATAATATCACACGTCATCGATCAGTTTGCAGCGTTCATTTTATTATGCCACAAGTTTCGAGAGTAAGCAGTATTCGTCTTTCGTTTATTTTGTTCGCATTCGCTTTGAGATGACAAAAATGAAGTCAAAGGGAAAACAAATAAGACTCAAATGGAAAAGAAAAAAAAAAGAAACGGATTTTTCATGCACGCGTTCTCTATTTGATCGTACTAAAAAATTTGCACAACAATAACACACACGCATATAAATATTATTTGATTCGGTCGTTGTGTGTCTGCTGAAAGGAAACCCTTCCTTGTTGTTCCTTTTTTTTCACTTCATCAAAACAAAAATCGTGCGTGGAGACGAAAAAATAATACGGATTTTCGTCGAAAAAGAGTAGTAACGCGTGTTTGTGATGGTATGTTGTTGATTCCGTTTCCTCTTCTCGTCATCTTCAGTGCTTTGTTTGCGGTTATTCGAATCGACGAAGCGAAAGCGAGAGACGAAGACGGTGGAAAAAAACCCAGCCGCTTTCATTAAATTTGTAGGCCAAAACGGTATTACAAAAGACACAAGTCAAACACACTTCCTTGTTACCTAATCTCTTTTTTCATCAGCCAAGCAGAGAATGTGTCATTTGTAGAAGGCTTGTGCGTTAAATCGACATTTTCTTTTTGTGTGATTCGATTGCCATGAGCCATATTTTATGCAGGTTATTGGGTTTTCTCCGAAGATGGAAAATTAAATAGTCGTTGATTCGCTCGTGCGCCACCAAATTTTCGTGATCGAAAAAAAGGGTACAAAATGCATTTCGGGTTGGGGTGGTGTGTGTCAATCTGTTTTTCTCTCATGTTTTTTTTGTCGGTCGACATTAAAATCCCTCCTTTGATAATTCACTCAAATTGCCGTTTTTGGATTGTTATTCGATTTATGACAGGATGATTATATTTACTTTTTCACTTCCCAAATTTTACACGTGCCCAATCATTAATCGTAGACTACCGTTAAAAAAAAATCCCCGAACAGTCGATCAATCAGAGTGTTTTGTGCGTCGCGCAGTAAAATTCCATGCAATCGTCGATAAGGCTGATGGCGCGAATTGAATTTGATTATCCATATTTTTTTCTGTCGTCACGGCCATTTAATAAACAATGAATTATATTATTGCCGCTGAATGCTGCCATTCTATATGCACACAAATATACATAGTATCAAGTAATAACAATCAATCATACGGCAAATTCATCAACTGTCAAAAAGAATGCGATGTTTATTTGTATACAAGACAGATAAATTGATCGGTCGGTTTCGCAATGAGCATTCACTTTGGGTTTCTTCATAACCGTCCATCCTGCCGTATGTTTTGAATTTCTCACTTTTTTATGGTTCCTGTGAAGTGTGTTTACAATGTGCATTGAAAAACAAAAGTTGCGTAATTGTTACTTTTTTTTATGGAAAAAAAGAAATAACGGCGATTTTACAACCGAAGAGTAAATTATACAGCATGTTGAGAGTTTTTGTGGCTTTTCGTTGAAACATTCATTTTTAAAACAAATGGTATGCAAAATATAAGGAAGAACACTGTATCTAACCTTGAACACTCAAAAGCCATAAAAGTGTTGTGTGTCGACGTGTCATAAAAGGAATTGTTAAACAGAAAATAAGCATTTGAAGTAGATAAATTTGTGTGACCAAGCATCTAAACGAAAAAGAAACAGAAAACCAGGTAAAAAAATTTTTTGACCTGACAGTACACTCACATTTTTAGCGTGTCGTCGCCGCCGACGTCATCGACAAACGAATATCGTATGCAAAGCAAAATCGACCAACAAATACAAACATCCACTTTGCAGCCGGCAAACAAATGATTCGAATAGAAAAACGACCGAAAGAAAACCGAAAAATAACAGAGAATTTACATAAAAAAGGACAAAACGAAGTGAACACACACGTACGCACACACACATAAGCGTACAAAGAAACATTTTAAAAGGAAACATATGCGTTTTCTTCGCATTATTTGCATGCAAACACACACACTCGCACACATTTTCCCGTATTTTTTTTCCTCGGTTCATTGTCTACATTTGTACAATCCATTGAAGCATGAAATTTCTATTTTGAATATGTATGATACGGATAATAATGTGTGGGCAGCATGCGAAAAGAGAAGAGAATGCTTAAGAGCATTTGCACAAACAACCCAAATGTTCATTTGAATTCATCAAATGTCCATGATTTTGGACAAAAAGTGAGTGTGTGTGTGAGAGAGAGACTTTTAATGCGTACGGTGCGGTGCATTGTCCATGCACGCATTATTTTCTCTCATTCCCTTTTTGCATGCCGAACTGTGCATATTTCGTTTCGATACATCCTGCTTGTTGCTTGCTGTTTATCTATTGTTTTGCACAACGTTCTGTCTATTTTTGGAGTTTGAACGACAAAAATGCCCATTGTCCAAAGGGATGATTAATTTTTTTTTTCTGGATATTTACAGAAGAAGAAAAAAGAAACTGTACTTACACTTATGAGTTTCAAAATGCATTCAAATGAAAGAAAATGCATATGACTGGTGCAGCTGCCTGCAGTGAAATCCAATACAATGTGCTTTTTTCTGGGATGCATCAGCAAGACAAATAGCTTTGCGCAAACATTATTTCAAATGTATTTTTTTTTGTTCCTTCGAAAGAAGAAAAATCACTGCAAATGAAACCTGCTCAAAATCCATAAAAATTGTGATCTAGAAATAAAATGTTGACCAGGTAAAAAGTGAAAATGGAACAAACACATGGTCATTGGATGACAATCAAGGTGGCTGAAAATGTGAATCTCATCGACAAATACAATTGTCACTCCATGCCGTCATTCGACTGAATTAATCGTCCTATTCATCAAAAAGTGCAATTTTTTTCGAACGCATCAAATTCTTAAACAATCAACATTCATATCAATTTTCAATATCGACGAATGAACGTGGGAGTAAATTTTGAGACAACGATAAAATTTCAACCCAACTGCCATATCTTTCATACCGATCGCATAAATACCTGCTTGAATATTCATCGAAATAACTTGTGAACAGAAATATTCATTGAATAAATCACCTTTCAACTTGTTTTTTTCGAGTTTAGACTTTCCATTCAAATTGTCGATCCCCTTGCACAAAAATGCGTACACTGAAACCGCACCCGATTACCTTTTTGCATTTGAAATTACAATGGTCACGATGTATATGCATGCATAAATGGCGTCAACAAAGTGTGACGTATTGAGATCGACGCACATATACGACATGTACTCAATAAATTCAAATGGAAAATTTACATTACAAACATTATTGTAATATATGGCTGGGGTATGGGATGAGCGACAAAAAAGAGCACATCATCGACACCCCTCTCTGCATAATAAGGTCTCTCATTCGGTCGTAATATACGTTCAATGGGTATTTTGAGCCTCTGTCGGTTTTTTATGCATGCTATTTCCCTTTGTGCTACAGGTGGACGTGTACAATAAAATAGAGCGAAAAAAAGGAAGGTGACTTAAAGCCACTTTAGGTCAATTTTATTTAAATTTATATTTCATTTAAGTGGAAAATCGCAATAAATTCTCGACAAAATGCCAAGGGGAACTGTTTTTTTTTTATGTAAAGCAAATTGTTTAGCATTTCATTTTCATCGTTGAATTGTGATTATGAATGTTGATTTCAAGTGACTCTACAACATCGATAAGTGTTTAAACGGAGCACAAATTGAAAAGTGATTGGGTAAAGGGTTGAATAATTTTTGAATTTTTTTTTTTTGTTGTTGAATGGGACAAAGTACGGATTAGTCAAAAACCAATTTGGAATTTGTCACAAAAATGTGTGCTTTGGCAAATAGAGTGGCCGGATTGTTGTTTGGGTTCATCGTTGAGTGTCTTTATGTGTATTGGTCGAATGAATACTTCATTTTAAGCCTATCGCTTCGACACAAACATCTTTTCGACCATATTGTTCACATATATCGAGTGTGTGCATCGCAAACAAATCAGCCATCATACACATCATAAAATCCATATGCCCGAAACATGTGCCAAACGGGGTGAACACACACACACACACGCATGAAAATACCGTTTTCGAATCAATTTGATAGAAAATAGATTTTGTGAATAAATGTGCGCTCGTTATGTATGCGGTGTGCAAGTCAATCAAGTGAAAATTTCAAAACCAAACCAGAATCTAATAAAATCATGCGCGCATACACACAACATAATTGAATATCATTTCAACAAACTATTATTCACAATTTATATACACAAACACCCAAAAAAACCATTACAGAGACATTTTTTGCAATAAACATAAACAGATTTCGTGATTTTGTATTGGTACGGTGCGTATCTATCAAAATCACAAGGGAAAATTGACCACTCAATGTTCAGTGCTGCAGACAACATGATAAGCCAAAATCATTCAATCGGAAGATTGAATATATCGACTGCAGGCAATATGGAACCGCCATTGTTGCCCAAAGCATTTGCCATATCATCGTCAGCCAGATAGTAGTCACAAACAGAATATGGTAACATGTAAATGGCGTTTTTCTACTCTATGTATGCAATATTTGTACAAGGAAAATGTTAAATTAATTTAAATGCCTTTGTGGTCAATTTACAACAATGAATGGTGATTTTTGCATTTTTTTTCATGTTTTTACATGCAGTTCGGAACTGAATTTGTGAAGCTTATTTAAAAGAGAAGAGACAAAAAATCGATGGAAATAGTTGAAAGAATAATAAAACTGAAAAACACCGAAGGAAAAACTAAAAAAAACCAATACATCTGTCCGCTTGCAAACTTGAAATTCCTTACTCCAGTTTCGTTTCTGCGAACTTGTAAAAAACTCATTTTTGTGGTCGACGAATATTCGATGCGTTCGAACTCAAATGCAGTTAAGTTCATTATGCTTGACATTGTGTCTGTCTTTGTTGAGCTTCTGTTTGATTTGCGAAGACGGACGAATAAAATGGGCATTGGGCATCATTAATGTTCTCACGTTTTCGTTCATTGTTTTGTCGAGTGCATCGGCAAAGATCAAATCGGAGCACCGATTCAAATCACTTAATCAAAAGCGAAGAATTTATTGGCAATGATTTGCATAAAGTCCATATCAAAATCAGTGCTTCTTTGCATGGGCCATCGTCCATGCGAAACGTATCGGATACGTGCAGCAGCAGCAACAACAACAACAAAAAAGAATCATATAATATAAAAATTTATATTCGAAAGAGAGTGTGTGTATTGTGCAACTTCATCGAAGGATGAAGATGAGGACGGGGATGGCGCAAATACAATGAAATTTACATTTTTACGTAAATCAAACATTTGTGACCGAATGGTAAGGAATGCATAGCGAGAATCTCGGTGTTCAACATGCAAAACTCGATGGACGAACGACTGAAGAGGAGAAAAAAATGAATAATTGAAGCACGTATTGAATTATTGAGGCTGAGGAGAGCACAAAAACAAACGGAAAATCAGTAGAATTTTTATATGAATGTTCAACACGCAGATGATGACCATTTCCAAGTGGCACACGAGCACACAAAAATGCAAAGAAAAAAGTCCAGCAGCAATAAACCCACAATACGTGTATCATTCTCGCCTGGACACAAAACTCACTCACAAATCGGAAATCATTTATTTTACATACTCGACAGATTTTTTTTATTCTTCTCTTTTTGAAAACGTATATGCATATTATTTTTGGTCTGCCGAACCAAATCTGCTCGGTCCGATTGTGGCATCATCATCGGTGTGCCGATTTAAATAAATATTATGCATGAGAGACGCACAGAAAAATCTCATTCGATATTCCATACTCCTTTTTCATCGAAAATGGCATTTTTCTTATTTCCGAATCGATCGAAAAACCAAACGGAGTGATGTGGATGGATCAAATATTATGCAGTTCACAAAATGCATTGTGAATATAAATTGTTCACATATCAAATCTGAATATTATGATTTTGTTTGTTGATTCTTTAAACCCACTTCCATTTTGCGGTTGACCAAAGAGTATTTTTCCCTTTATTTCACGTTTTGCTTTGGCTTCCGAGCGGTTCATTTGTTTGTATTCGTTCTTTGCATTTATTTGTTTTTTATTAATAAAAAAAATGTGATTTTTCTTTCTCCTTTCAGATGATGCAGACAGTAACGATTCATGTTGCCCGCGTGTTAAATCGGAATCACCAGAACTTTGCCATGATGAGCGACCCACAAATCTTCATTTGGTAAGTTTGACCTTTATCACATTTACGACAAATCAAAAAATGATTTTGTTTGAACACAATTCGTGATAATTCGATAAAAAGTCAAAAGTCAAAATAGAACGTATATTTTATAATCGTCACAAAGAGTGTCATTCATTAGACCGAAAAGTCAGTTATTAAAAGAAGCATATGTTCGTTCAATTTGTACAAATCCCGCATCGACCAGTTTTTTTTTCGGCGACTCAAATAAATCAGTTAACCATAACCTATTTAACGAACTTTTTTTTACAATCGATCCCTATTACAAACCGATCAAACAATAAACTTTAAAAAAAGAGGAAAAAATTGTGTCAGCCATTAACGGCGACGAATGGAATTTTTAAATTTGTGATCGAATTGCGTCGCGATAAATTGAACGGGAATGGTACGAAGAGTGGAAATTGTGCAAAATCTCAGCAACGGGTGGTAGTTCGTTTACCAGCGACTTGCACCACGACATACGAATACACAATGGAGAAGTGCAGTATATGCGTCGAGGGAGATTAAGAGTAAGCACATCAAACTCATTGGCGATGCATTATCGAATGAACGCAGCAAATCAATGCATCGATAATGCAATGTGTGTGTGTATGCGCGAGAGAAAGAGAGTAAACAAAAACAACATGTCGCATCAAGTAACAACTGCATAGATCCCATTTGAACGCGGCAAACCTCATTCAAAATGCATCTAACTGCACTTCGATTATGTAACAAACGGCTGTGTGACTTTTTCGATTTGATTTTAAAATCGATAAATAGATTTTCAATTTTGTTTTTTGCTTGCTTGATTTGCACAAATGGTAGACATCAACATAGACTATTTTACTATGCACAAATGGCAAAAATGTAAAACTCCCAATTCAATGCATCGTTGAGACGAGACTGCACGTACGATATGTAGCATTTGCTTATGTAAAATAGGGGTTAATGTGGTAAGTCGGATGCTTTTCTGACTGCAGCAAAGGATGAGAAGAAGGGTTGGCCTTAACTGCCATTTGATGCAGTGTAACTGTAGTACATAAACCTAAACGATGAAAACTGCCGATTAATTTATGCGACCTTCTCTAGCCGTCATACACACACACACATAATAAAAAAGGGGAAAACCTCTAAATGATTTTTATTATCGCATTTTTTCTATTTTAAATAAAATACGTTCAAGGATGAATAAAATGCCGGAGGCGCGTGTCACTTATTAGTTAAATAAATAAAACGCACATAAATTCATATTAACATCGATGGCAAACGCACATCGAACGAACAAATCGACGGGATTCGAGGAGAGAAGAGAGAAAAAAAGAAATAAAAATGGAATTTAAGACAATTTGTTTGCAATTCCGGAGCGTATAATCGGAATTCGAGTCGGATATTTAACTTATCTTTGCAATTATAATGGGCTGAATCCTATATTTATGATTTAAATTAGTTCGCATAGAAAATATGGCGACATTTTTACATTCGCCATTGCTTTAAACAATGACTTTTTTGATCTTTTTTTGTTTTGTTGAACTTTATGGCTTTTTCGAATTAAATCGAAAGAAAGAGTTACAATTTTAACGTATTTTTTTTTTCAATTGTAGATTACCGACCAATCGAGAAACACACCATCGCCACCTCCAATTCCAGCAACAAATATGGCATCTGCATTAGCCGCATTACAAAGCCAATTGCAATTGAGCCCGTTGTTAATGCCAAATCATATGGGTCTCGGCAACATGGCCGGTATGTCACCGCAAGAATTGACCGCACTCACACAAGCATTCCAACAAATGCAACAAGTTTCGTTGCAACAACAACTACAAAGCTATATGGAACTGTTGCATACCAGTAGCTTGGGCCAACAGAAAAATGCAAACGCTGCAAATGCACAAGTTCAAGCTGCCGCACAATTTTTCCAGGTTTGTATTACGAATAATGTCTGTTTTTTTCTACATTTTTTTCGTTTCATTGTCGACATTTTCATTTTCGTACTTGAATTTTTAATCAAATTTTTAATTAAAATTCATGTTGAATTTCAGGTGGCACAAGCAGCTCAGCAATTGCAAGCATTACAAAAGCAACAACAAATAAAAAACCAAGCATCAGCTGCAATGTCAAATTCTCCGGTGCAAAGTCCGTCGGGTAGTCCCGGCATTCCAACGCCGACATCAATTTTAGTGGGAAACAATCAGACGACACCGCCCAATATGAATGCAAATCTAAATGTCGGTGGCATTTTGACACCGTCAACGCCTGGCTCTGGAACGCATACACCACAAATGCAAAAACATTCGGCAATGCCACGTGCATTAGAACCGTCACCAGAAGAGCCAGCCGATTTAGAAGAATTAGAACAATTTGCAAAGACATTCAAGCAACGTCGAATCAAATTGGGTTTCACACAAGGCGATGTTGGCCTGGCCATGGGCAAACTATACGGAAATGATTTTTCACAAACAACCATATCAAGGTTTGAAGCTCTAAACCTAAGCTTTAAAAATATGTGCAAACTTAAGCCATTGCTGCAAAAATGGCTTGAAGATGCCGATAACAGCATTTCCAATCCGGGCGGGTAAGCGAAGAAGAGTTTTTTTTGTGTTTTTTTTTTTTCACAAAAACATCCATTTTTATCGATGATTTTTTTTTCGGTTTTTATTTAGCAGCATATTTGGTGCAAGTACACTAAGTAATCCGTTGACAACACCCGAAACGATTGGCCGGCGACGCAAGAAGCGTACATCAATTGAAACATCGGTGCGCGGTGCATTGGAAAAGGAATTCCATGCAAATCCAAAGCCAACAAGTGAAGAAATAGCCAGATTAGCCGATCGATTGTATATGGAAAAGGAGGTAGTTCGTGTGTGGTTTTGTAATCGTCGCCAAAAAGAAAAACGAATCAATCCACCGGGTTCAGAGAGTCCAACTGGTGCTGGCAGTGTGAGTGGCAATCTATCATGGTTGCCGGCTCTATCGCCCAATTTGCAACAACATTATTCGCAAATCTCCAGCCTCAAATCAGAATGACCAGCTTAAATTCGATGAACGACACGAATATTAAAACAGACACGCGCCAAAAAAAATAGCAAAACGAACTGAAAACTTTCACTAGGAAATCAATACACATCACACAGACACACAAAAATACAAGATGAAAATTCATACGAAACACATTTTTTCCAGTCATATCGCGAACGGGAAAATTAAATAAGAATTTATTCAATGCGTTCAATGGTTTTTTTTTTGTTTTCATAAATTAAAAAGTTCGAATCAAGAAAAAGAAAACAAACTTATAAATTTAAATGGTATTCGAAAAGACAAGTAGCACAATAGCAGCAACCAACATTTATACAAAGTTCCTAAAACAAATGTTTTTTGTTTTTAATTATCTCAAACACAAAACCGAATTGAAAAAAATAGAAAAATCGCCGAACGCTATTTTCAATCATCATTTACGCTTTTTCTTTTATTTTTCTCTGAACAACATAGGATTAGAACCGATGTAAAATTCCGTCGATGACATATGTCGAATATATCGCAATATGTCACAGTGCAATTCTGTTGATACCGGTACTAATATACATATAGATTGTCTTTCTTTATATTTTCTTTTTCATTTGCACTTCTCTTCATTTTATGAAACAATAAGTTCCTAATACAGTTTATAATACATTTTTATGGTTTTGTTCTCTTTTGTTTTAAAGGAAAACAAATTAGACAGTATAAGCTAAAATTATATGAACATAGCGAATTAAAAAGACACACATACACACACACGCCCCCTCCCAGCATATAGAAAACATTTATGGCAAATATATGAACATTTATGAGGAAATTTTTTTGGAGCAAAAGCCAAAACGAAGGCTATTATAGAACTATAATACTAGCAAAGACATAAAAAGAAGCAAATGTATATAAAATTAAGTAGACTAATTTAACTTTAAATGTCACTTGTGAAATGTAAAAAAAATGATTGATAAAGAATAATTAATAAGAAAAGAAAGACAGAAAAAAAATTGAAAAAAAATGATAACGAAGCTGTTACATTTAAATTTAGATGAAGTTAGAGCTATACACAGTTTAAAAAAATATCGACAATTGGCTGATGATAACGGTGAAAATCCACATACTAAATTTTTTTTCAGATCAATAAAGGATTATGCTTAAGTTAATTTGTCTTTTTTTCACAACAAAAAAAACAAGTAATTTTTTTTACTTTTTGAGAGAAATTGTGTGTATCAATTTATGATGAAAGCAAAAAGAACACACTGAATGAAAGATAGACAGATTGAATTATCTGCACACAGTAACAAGACAAAAAAACTACGCTCCTTCATTGATAAATATGTTGTTATGAAAGAAAAAAATATTTTTTTTCTGATTCTTTTTTATTTTTACCTGTATCATTCCAGAGATTTTATTCTCGACCTTCACCGCCCAGAATTATTTAAACAATAAACAATTTCATTAAACATAAAACTGGAAATAACTCGATGGAGGTTGAAAATAAACAGAAAATTCTTAATAAAATCACAGTCGCAAAAGCGCGCAAAAGAAATTTATCAATCGACGAGCATAGGTTATTTACGTTGTTATCTGTGTGTGGTGGATCGATTTTTGAGTTCCTAATTTGTGCAAAGTAACAAGAAATTTCGATACTCAAAAAATGCACATTATTTTTTTATTGGTGAAACAGGGCCGAATTTTGTTTTATTCACATCCCTTTTGAAATCTTACAAAAAAAAAATTCAAAGTCGACAATAAATAAATACAGTTTTTTTTAAATAACTCCAATTCAATAAACCTAATATAGCATAATGAAGTATTTATTTTGATATCAGCACACTAATTGCATAAAGCCATAGCCGAGTTTTTTTTTAAATCGAAATACAGATGGTCCATCAACAACATTTTTTGATTGACAACAGATGAGAATGTACGTCTTTAAAATGATTGATTAATTTCCATTTCGAATCGATTTGATGAAATGTCATACGACAAACAACATATCTAATAGCAAGTATTTACAATTTATTGCAAATGATTTGTGAACTGAATAACTGAAAAATGAAACACACAAAGACACACATACACATAGATTTAAAGTAAAACAGTCGTATACGTTCGAATAAAGCAAACAAACAAAAAATCACACATTCATCAATTGCTGAAAACAAATTTCATCGTTCAACAAAATTGTCGTAAAATTGCAATAACTGTTGATCATTTTGTGAATAAAACATTTGAATTTAGTGTTAATTTTTGTTTAATTTTACAGCAATTTAAAAAAAAAATGAAGATTTTTCGTCCAAAACAAGAGAAAAAAGATGCGACCAACGAAAGATAAAAAAAATCCGCCAAAAATTACATTCATATCATAAAGAGGTCATATTTGGCAAGAAAGTACGGCGAGAGCATAATAAATTAAGTATTAGAGCAAAATATAATGTAAAGAAATTGCAGCACATGAAGCGAGCAAATCAGAAAATGTATCTTTTCGTGTAATTTAATGACGGTGTAATTGTTCAGCATATGTATTTCAGTTTTAAAAAATGGGATGTTCACTAAATGCAAAATTAAATGTATAAAATTGAATATCGTCTGTAAAAAAAATTGTGAGGAGGGAAATTAAAATAAATTAAGAAAAACTTATCACGTATATTGAAACAGAAAAAAAAGAAGAATTATTATAAATTATGAAATAAGAGAAGTGGTGTAAACATGTTATATGAAATTTATTACTTAATTTAAAATATTTAAGCAACACACAAACACTACATGGCACATAAAAAAATCAGATGACACTTTAAAATAATATTTATTTGAACGCCAGCACAATGTATTCTAATGATCGTCGTGGTCATTTCTTTTAATTTCTTTCCATTTCTCTTGACCTACACCAACACAAGTACCATCGAAGTTTATTTACAAGCTACGGTGTTTGTGCTCGGTTTGTTTTGTCGGTTATTGACAAGTCAATTTATTGAACAACCGTAACAAATTATTTAAAAACAAATGTATCTAAAAACAAATCAATCCAACATTGTAAAGGGAAAATAAACAATTTAACTATCTTGTATATTCTTCATTCATTTAAAATAAATTGAATAAAATGCAAAATAAATAGAAATATCTGAAAAGAATGTATACAAATTGTTTATGGTTTTATTTTGGGGTTTTAACAGGTTATTTGTAGGGGTTTCATTTCATCAACTTGTTACCCCTGAAATCTATGACTACGGTCCCTTATCGAGAGGTGTTTAAAATTAGAATGGAAATATTTTTTTTCGATGGGAAATCGTCACGAAACACCCGAGTGGTTTGATGGCCTAAAGTGACTGATCCATGGATTCTCAGGATTTGGTTTTTACTTCCAGCTCATTCCATCTTGCTTACTCTCATACGAGTATCACGAGTTTCGCTTTGATGTGCGACCGTTACAAGTCGTGTTTCGATATGCGATCAAACAATCTTTTTATTCTAGAGCACTAAAATATTCAAAACAGAAAGAGAACTTCCAAAAAAAGCATTTTTACACTCATCTCCAATTCAAACAAAAAATAAAAATAAACGTTTTATCAACACACGTATATCATTAAGGAAATTCATCATTCGTATGATATTTCCGTTAATGATTAAGAATTTATATGTTATAAAAACACTTCACTTGTTCTATGAGTCAATTCAAAATTTCCAAGAAAAAATCTTATCATACGATGGAGTTTCATTACGATAAATCGTAATTTGGTAGCTTCTGACACAATTTTTGTAGGCTTTTCTTATCAATGAGTTGAATTTATTTTTATTAAATGAGTCAAAATTAATTCCACCTTGCGGAAGTTCTTATCAATGAAGTGTTTATTAAGACACACGTCCCGCCGATACTTTGGTTCATTGGAACTGCCAATTTTATCATTTTTTTATCTGCAAATAATTATAATACATACCTTTCTAGATAAACCAGCTATTTCAAGTACCTTGAATATAAAATGATTCACTTGATGGGTTTAAGAAAATGATTCACATTTGGATATATAAAAAACACTTTTAAAAAAACGTAAAAAAAATATTTCCTTCGAAAATTTGTTCGTTGTAAATTCATTTATTTAGATTTAGACGACCAAAAAAATTTTACAATTTTTTTTAAAACTTATTCATTGTTATTAATGTTCGTGTGTGCATTTATTTTGAATGTTTTATGAACTCTTTGAACATTCATGGTTTTTACTATGTTTTTGTGTAAGTTTTCTTGTGTATTTTTTTATAATAAATTAATTACAATGATTTAAATCGTTTCAATGTGAAATGAATTAATAAGAACAACGTTAAAAATGATGTGTGACTTTGATTACAATTGAAAATTCAACAAAAAAAAATTTTGTTGTCACTTTTAAGCAAACACAGAAAGTTTCTTTAATATGTATGTAAAATATAAAAACCATTTTATGTTTTTATGCCTCTAGCGTTTGATAGATAAATTCATGCGAATCTAGAATATGTTTGATATGTTTTCTATTTTTTTTCACAGTTTTGCTCATTTTTTTTGTTTGCTAAATCGCACATTGTAGAATTAACCAATTGACTTGCATGCCGTCAATTGTAAATGACACACATATCAACAGATAATTGTGCGTAGATGCTACGTTTTTTTGTTTTTACATTTTTTTGCTCATTTTTTGTACCATTCAAATAAACAGAGACAGTGTAGTACACAAAGTGTGTGCTTTGAGGTAGTCAGTCGATGAATTCTAATCGCATTGTGATGATAAAATATTTATATTAATGGAAATAAAATTATGCATCGCATTTTTCATTCAAATATGAAAATTAAATTTGGAATTAAGTATATCAATACATTGTTATTTATTTTAAATAACTTTGTCAATTTTACCGGTAAAATTAAACTTTTTGAATAAAAGAATGCGCGACTGAAGAACTCAAAATAAAATTACACACATTTTGGTAAAAAAAAGCATCCTTGACCTTTTTGTCTTTGTTAGATCCACATTGTCTTGTTCTTATTTTCTTCTTTTTTTGTTATTTTCTGCGGAGACTGATATTAGTTGACATGAATGACATTGTCTTTTTTCAATGGGAGAGCTTCTTCGGCGTCTTGAACTTGTCGATTGTGTCTTTCTGGTGGCGAATTCCATGGCTGCAATTCACCGCTTCCCATGAATAAGAATGCCAATGAACCAAAAATGTATGAGCCAGCCAGAATTCCGAACACGATTTGCCATTGATGGTACGTTTGCTACAAGAGAATATTGAAAAAAGGTATTAGTTTTGACTAAATTTAACTAAAGGTTTTCACAAATTTTTTTTTCTTTCAAATTTTCAATTTAAATCTTTAGGAAAGATTCTTGGTGTGAAGATAATTTAAAAAGAACTGTATGCTTACATTTTCAGCAGTAAGTGTGCCAACCATAAACGTCGACAGCCAACCGCCAATCGACGACAATGTGTTTGCAAGCCCAAAAATGGTTCCCGAAAAATTCGGTGCAATATCCAAACCGTTTCCTAAATAACCGGCTGTCACAGCTCCGTTGAGAAATAGTTGCGTGGTGAAAATTATCACAGACCAGGTTCGATCGTAGCCCAAAAATATTTGAACGATCATCAATAAGCCAGGCGTCATTGTGGCGAAAGTTGTAAATATCTTTCGTGTTTGTGTTGTTGTCAATGCGCCCGTTCGACGCAAATGATCAGCCAACGCCGATGCTAACACAGCCATTACGTATTTACCTAAATAAGGCAGCGATGACAACAATCCATTCTGTGAACGAACAAAAAAAAAAAGACGAAACGTAAACGAAAAATGCATGGAAGAATGAGAACAAATGAGAAAAATCAGGACAAAAACAATGGGTGTCTGCGGGAGATAATTTCAAGTGAACGTAAGCGTTATTTCACAGTTAGAGTAGTCAAAATAAATATAGAGAGAGAAAAGTGTAGTTTTGAAAAGGCGCGTGCGACGTGCGCGAACGCTAATTGCGATATGAGTAACGACCTCTCACTTGGTTGTAACGATTATTTCCGTGGAATTGTAAACAATTTATATATGAATATAGACACAACAATCGACAAAGTAATTGCGCTTAATTACCGATTTAATATCGTAGTGTAGGATGTATTTCATGTATGTTGGTAATTGATTTACGATTGTAAAGTATCCAAATACTGATGTTCCGTGAGTTAAAATGATTGCCCAGACGCATGGAGACGTGAGAATCTTCTGCCATGGCACATAGCTTGGCTTCTTTTTCGATGTCGTATTTCCAATTGCATCTTCGATTTCTTTTCGCTCCTCGGGTGAAATGCGTGGATGAGTGGCTGGCGTTTCAAAAACTATCCAGAACCATAAAATTGACCATATCAGCCCAACGCCACCTGTACACATAGAGAGAAAAAGAGATCGAAATCAGAATTTATTTCAAAAGTTAATAAAAACGTGCAATGAATTAATATAATTTGCTTGAAAAATAATTAATAATGTTACTCCGCCCTTAACACATGATAATTTATTCGTGGTATCTATCTTGCATGGTCCAAAAATAAAAAAATATGACCATAAATGTGAGCATACACCGTCACAAATATAGTACTATGTTTTACATGTTTCTAATTATGCGCATTAATGCCATGATTCACCACTTCTTTTTCGATATACTATTTAATGAGGCACTGGTTTGTTCGTTTGAAATCGAAGTGGGAGACCTGAGGACAAAATCCACGATTGGAATTCAAAATCAGTGTTCGCATTGCGAAATGCCATGAATCGCAAATGAAATGCGAGAGTAACAAACGAACAAAAAAAACGCGAATTACATATCATTGTCATGTTATGATTCACGTTCTACTGGTTTCGTTTCGTTCATGATTTTTTTTTCAGTAGTAGAAAATTATGTGGCGACAATGTTCTGAAACCGGTTTCACTTTTTTTTTCTTGTTTTTTTTTGCACTCTCCTTTCTCAAATCAAATATAAAAACTGACACATCTCTCTTCGTAATTCTTTGAATATATCCTGCATGCATTTCATGCTAAATGAAATATGGGCTCGTGAAATGAAAAGAGCACGATATCTTTCGAGGCAATAATTTTACAAAACGAAACGAAGAAATAAATTCGAATTGACAGGATGAAAAAATAGCTCAGCGAGACTTATGAAAAAATTACGCAAATTTTTTCCTTTCAACTGAAATTTCAATCGGTCGTGACAAGTTTTATGGATCCAGTGAGAGATAGAAAGAGAACGAGATATGATGATATCCCTGAATCTTACCCGTGAAGTAGAATGTTGATTGCCAGTTAATGTACTCGATTAGAAATCCACAAATTGGCATAGCTACAGCCGCTCCTAGCGATGATGCCATCATGTTGGCCATGAATTTGGAACGATCAACTGGCGGAATCCACACTGCAGTCATTGGATGTATCGCTGGCCACGAGGCTCCTATACGTGCCGTTCATGAAGCACAGAAAGTAAATTTAATCAAAAAAAGGGAAAATTAGCACTTGTTCCAGATTTCTATCAAACAAAAATGGCACATAGTAGCGTACACAATTAATACACGATAAAAGTCATGTCGTTAATAAATAAAATCAATAAATCTGAATGGAAATCACACCGGTCGTGATAATTTCCATTTAATTAATGTTATAGTAAGTGTACGATGTCAACGGAACAATAAACAAACAAACGATAATAGAAATGAGCGACAAGCGATAAATAGATTAAGCTGAGAGTGTTAGAATGATTTGAAACTTACCCAGCATTAGACCGAGCAATGAACGAACGGATACCAGTGCCTTGTAATCCAAGAATGCAGCGCATGGTGTGATTAGGGTGAGAACACTAGCCCAAAGCATACTATGGCCGAAGACTCGATGGCCTCCAATCAGTTCAGCCAAACGTCCACCGGGCTATAAATAAAATTTGTAGAATAACCAATACGTGGCAACAAAGAAAAATAACGGAAATTTGAAAAATAAACACACCAATTCGGTCAGGATATAGCCCCAAAAGAAACTGCCCAAAATAATATTTTGTTCTACGGAATTCCATTTGAATTTGTATGAAGAATCACTAGCTTTTGCGGTTTTTGGCTGCGGAAAAATACAAGGAACAAATCAGTAAAATTTAAGTGTCGATCAATCAAACTCATTGATTCAAACTCAAACACACAATTCATTGAGAAAAATTGCATCGGAAATTTCCATTTAATTTCCGATAGATAATGAATGTGTGTGTGTATGTGAAATAGCTTCATTCTCGCGCTGAGTGTCATTTGATGTGATAACACGGAATCCACCATTTTTGAATCGACCGAAACGACCCAGCAGAGAGCAATAAAAATTCAACGTATATATGCACATATTGATAATCCGGCAAAAATGTAAGTGAAACCAAAGCTGCGTTCAACAGAGAAAAACAAAACAGCCCATGAACATGAACTACGTAACAGTATAAAGTCGCACAGCAGCAGCAGCAGCAAAACACCAACGTATATATATAACGTAATAAACTGCGATAGCGCGCGCGATATTCCACACAGATTGAAGAAGAAAAAAAATCGTTGATTGCGTGCTGGAAGAGACTTTGTGAGAATTTGCGATATGCAACTTTCGTTGTACATTGTGTGCATAGCCATATATTGAAATAATTCCGCGACACCGACGGCGACAATAAAGATTTGAAACGGAATAAAAGGGAAAAACGGAATAAAGGGAGAAAGCACGATTAATACCGGTTGGGTGTCCATTGGAATTAAGGAATTTGGCGAAATTGTATCGAAAAACAATAAATCACTGCGACGTATTTGATTGTTTATGTTCATTTTTGTTTCGGCTGTAATATGTTCTGTTTCGCAATGGGTATGCCTTTGAATTGACTGGAAGAGCTGTAATACCTCGCAGGTTATTCACATTACAAAGTTCGGGTTTTTGCCCTTTGTGCGATTTACTTTTTCTTTGTGCGTCGTCGAATTCAAAATTCTTTTTTTTTATGTTCAATTTCTGTTTTATGTTTAAAATTTATTGAAAACGTTCATACTTACTATATCAGTTATATTTTGGAATGGTTCTGCTGCTGCTGCTGAGAGTAGTGTGTGTGAGGCTGAGGTGAGCTCTTCATGTGGGGCATGAATTTTATATGTGTACGTATCGTTTTTGGTGTGTGGCACTGTTAAATTGGTTGTAGCTGATTTGGTGCCGGTTGGTTCCTCAACCATTGCCACTATAAGAAAATTGAAAAAAAAAATCGAAAATAAAAATAAAAACAATTTTTTTTATATGCACGAAACTTACCAATGGCAATTGTCAAATTTACACGTAGCGCATAATTTAACATGAATCCCAAAATGACCATAATATTCAGCACTTGTCGACATGATAAAAATTCTGAAATTCCAAATCGCAACCGAAAAAAAATCATATACGTATTAGAAATAAAACTTTAAATTACTTTTGTTCATTTTGATGGTGAAAAAAATTCGTGACCGAAATCAAATGGAAAAAAACGAGAGACAAACAAAGAACACGCAAAAAATGTGCTTCATTTGAATAACGAAACCAAAAATCGGTTGTGTTTGCGTGATAAGAAAGTCTGTCTCGATGTCGTTATTATATTTTATGTAAATACCATAAGAAAACAAATTTAGCATTGAAACAAATCGCAGCTCTGTTCTGCAGCTCGATAATCGTAAAAATGAACGTGAAAATATGCGTGAATGACAGAAGTCGCTTTACGGTTCATTTTGTATAAATGTGTTTTTTTTTCTCTTGTTGGTTCAATTCCATCGAAAGCATGTTTTGTATAATTTAAAGGTTTTGTTAATGAAAAAAACATATTGTTTTTACTTATTATGAATAATAAATTAGTTATTACAAATATTAAATTATCCAGAAATGTAATCGACTCGTGTATGGCTGTATCACATAAAATGTGTCATTGTACACATTTACGTGCAACAACAACAAATAGCGCAGCACACGCGAACATGTAACAAGTGCTCAAATTAACGCTGCTGCTGCTGCTGCTGCTGTGCTATTGCTGATTGTTATTTAAATTCATGCAATCGTCTGTTGGCTTTTTTTTCTGTCTCTCTTCACTTTATTTTGAGAGCGCCAAGTGAAACAGTGTGCATGTGTGCTGGTGACGCACCCACAGTCTGTGCTGACGTCGCAAACGCTCGTTGGCCGATCTAGATGTGTTTGTACGACCGACATCAATTGAATACCACAAAAAAAGCAGAAGCAGCATTGAATGTGTAAAAAAAAAACAAAATATTGTTGTCGATGGAGTTGAAAGAAGGAGAACAAAAACACCGAGCAAAAATCCTATTCGAAACATGAGAAATGAGCGACGCATCTTTTTCTTTTAGTTTGTCGTCGTTTATTTTGCTTTTCGCAATCGCGAGACATATAGAGCGCGACAGAAAGAGAGAAGGGAAAAAGTAACGAATCTATTTTTAACCAGCTCCTATGTAATAGTTTTAAACGTTTTACTTATAAATAAACGAGAAGGAAAAAAAGGCAAACCGCATTCATCGAAAGCGTACACATTCATCATTTTCAAACAATAACAACAACAACTTAAATCAGAAAAACGTCCACTGGCATTTGATACTTTTCTATAAATCAATCGTTTTGTAGATTTATCTGTAACAGGAAAGCTTTGTGTGGCTTATTGTATGTACGTTTTTTTGTATTTTCTATTTATTTGAATCGTTTTCGCTCTCATGTGTCAATCGTACTAGTCGTCGGGTAATTTTCCTCTCGAAATAATGAATAATATGTATATATATATATATATAAATACAATGTGTAATGAGAAAGACGGAATTTTTGTTTTGTCCTCATTGTTTTGTTATATTTTCTTTCTCTGTCGCTTGATGTGTGTACGCAAAACAAAAGCAACAATTTATTTCCATTGATTTGGCGGCGCGCAACATGATATTGTACAAGTCAAAATGTCATTGTGCATTCATGACATGGATTGAATATATGGCATGAATTTATTGATTTGATGAATGTTTGTGTGATCCAGTTTTTCGCGTATTTTTTTTTTCGTCAATGCTAACGGAATCGAAAACTGTCGGCCCTTACTTGATTTCTATATAATAAATATAATTAGTCGTTATAATTCACAATTTTACCCGTACAAAAATATAATAATTGAGAATCAAGAATGAAAACCAATTAAAAATGCCCGGCATTTAATTTCAAGTTAAATCGTTTATAGAGAGACACATAGACAAGCATTGGCGACGGCGTCAACAACGACTACCGTAACAACCATACGGTGTTTCGGTTTTAGACAAATTATTTAAAGCTGCCTGTTTGATATAATGTACAAGCACACGCCAATAAAACATAAACACACACAGCATCCATCAAATCTAATTTACATTTTACTACGATTGACGTTGTTGTTTTTACTCAAAATAGACTCGATCGGAAAACGATGTAGCGAAGGAAAAAAATTATTATGAAAAATAAGATCATTGGTGGTGGAACATAAAAGTAATCTCCATAAATTAATGCTGCTAATAGATATATATGCATAAAAAAAGAGAGACACGGTTCGGGTTCGCTTGAGTTGTGCGGCAGCAATATGATACGGGCAGTTCGTGTGATAATGACAAAGGCGACACGTGCAAATTGAAAGAAGGCTTTAATTGTGGAAATACGGCAATTTTCGTCGATAAAACCATGTTAATGGACACGCAATAACAACAACAATAAAAAAAACAACAACAACCGATATATTAAATAACAAAATGCTCTGTATCCATGTGTCTATAATGATAAATTGCCGCGGTTGAAGGTATATCTGTTTAGCATTCCTTTTTATCTCTAACGCTTAACTTAGGAGATGCAAAAAAAACTAAGAATTCGCACAAATAGTCTAAAAATATGAAAACGTACGTCATGTATCTGTTGCTGCTTGGTTCTGTTATGTTCTAATGTATGCCAGAATTCTTTTTTTTTTTTCTAAAAACCGAATTACGTATTTGCAAATGATACCAATCGCGCTCGTGTGACAGTTTTCTCGCAATCACATGGTCTTACACGATTTTATTACGTAGCCATTACCGCTTACGCGATACCTTTTAAAGTGTGTTGTTTTTTGTTTGTTTACTGTAAAACCAGAGACAGTGCGAAACTTTCATTTAAAATACTGTGTTGGCTGACGCAAAACTATTTTATGGTCAAATAAAATAGAAAAAAGACTGTCGATCGCGCTATGGGTCAGTATTTTTGCCTGTTTCTCACGAAAAGAACTGGTGTCTGTGCACACAAAATGTAAGAAGCAATTATCTGGAGATACAAAAATAGATAACGGATATAAACATATATAAATCTTGGCCACTAAATTCATTTCATTTGCAAACCGAAAAAAGATTAAAAAAAACAACGCAATAATATTTAAATTCATGTATCGTTTGAGGTTATCTGCTGGTAAAGTGCCAAATATTTCGCGTGCATTGCATTAATTACCGAATATTGCCAGAGACGGTAATCACGTCGAGCAACACTTGGGCGTTCCAATGAATTAAACAACAATTATTTAAAAAAATCGAAGAAACACATATAATTGTGGACGTTCAAGTTCAATTTTATAATCGAATTGACTTTCGATTTAAAACAATGCAATGCTATACAAACAGATGCCTTCGTATTATCTATTTAATTTTATCCAAGGAGGAAAGACCATACAACTCATACACACGCACATTCATATGAATTTCATTGAAAGCTCGTTTAATTGGAGCCACATTTAATTGATAGAAATTAGCTATTAGGCTAGGGGGAATCTACGACGAACCTCATTCGAATTTTTAGAGAAGAAAAAAATCAACCGGATCCAATTTGAATTGGTAAAAACTAGTAAACATTTGAATTATTCAGAAATCAACTGAATTAACCGGGATTATATTGAATTAAATTGGATGTGATCGAGATGAATTGAGTTGTTGCATCAGTTTTTCTCTTTCTACAACTGAGTATTCAGATTTATAATTCATATTTCAAATGTGATTTTTTCTACAAATGATTTCATTCGGGTATTGAATTAATAATGCGGAATTGATGCATGTCAGTGTCTACCCCTTATCCTTGCTGTTTAAATACATTTCAAGTTCCATCAATTTACTATTTTCTTTCCGTTAATTGAGACGCGGCACAAATAACATTGTGTGCTTCATTCATGCGAAACCAAAGTGTGCAATAACAAACCGCACTGCTGGTGGCTTATATTATCATCGACATAAGTCATTTTAATTGAGGCGAGCAAAGAGAAAAAAAACACATCGCCATTTGTATTTGAAAATACCTAATCTGTGAATTGGTCGCAAATGACTGAATTATTATTATATGGATGAAGTCACCGACTTCGAGCGAAATAGAGACCGGAGAAAAAAATTTAATAAATGGGGTAAACAAACAGTTGGACAATTACTTGCGATGAATCGATTTATGATTGAATGTGTTCAACAAGTGTCTTCATTTAGTCGACTGCGTGAATCAATAAATGTGTATATGTGCAAGTGTGATTATATGCCAAAAATTCCAAGAAAAAGTTTCATTCCTCGGACGCTTTTCACACATCAACAATGAATTATTATTACTGAGCCAAATTGGCATCTGTTTACACAAAACGTCATTCAAAAAAATATACTTCATTCGCCCCATCGCCAATAGACAGACAGACATACAACAACATTAACAACAAAAAATTTGTTTTCAAAGGGGAGCCAACAAACAGAGAACAGAAAAAAAATAAAAAAAAATAAATAAAATGGGCAGTAATTAATTTGCTTTGAACAGCTCACCTTTTTTGCCACTCTTATTTTCAGCCATTATGCCGCTTTAATTTTTAATTTCTCTCAATTGTTTTGCCTTCTTCACTTTATTAATGCGCCTTTCCTCTCACTCTCTCGGTTCGAGTGTGTGTCTTTTCCCTTTTTTTATCTGCAAAACAGATTGATACGAGAATGAAAAACGGCTATTATCAAACAAGGAAGCTGATGCAATTTTTTTACACAACAAAAAAATTTCGAAACAAAATGCATTTGTGTGTTCTTAGAAGAGGACAAAAACCAACGAATGCATTTTGCTATTTACAAAACACAATTTAATTGACGAAAAACAAGCAAACTTTGCATGAAAATACAATACAACCTATACACAAGAACGACTCAATATATAAATGAATACAGGAATTGTGTGAACGATCGAAATACAAACATGTTATGTGAGTTTATTTTCATAATAGCTCAATATAATAGGTATTTTATGTCATTTTGACTGACGACGACGTCGATATAAATCAAATGAAAAGAGATTAACAACAATACCTAATGTCGCATCTGCTTTTCGAGCAGAACCAAACGTCTCCTTGGCCAATACCGAGAAAGGAATATGAATAACGAAACGTAACAGTTTTTTTTTTCAAACACATTCTGTACCCGTTACATACATTTCGATCGAAAGTACGCATATTGTAATAGAAAAACTCATCGCGCACACAAAATGTGTGAGAAAGAGTAGAGAGGGAGGGAGCATTAGAGGAAGAGAGAAAGAGTATGTGTACATGTGTGTAGAAAATGATGAATTACAATAGAAATGCGCGCGAAAACAAAATAGACTCAAAGTTTGAGTTAAAACTATATGACCATCTGTTTTAACTATGACTTAAAAAAAATCACTCGAAATGTCAACAAACTGAAAGAGAATAAAAAAAAACGGTTAAGAATCCAAAAAAATTATTCGGTTTTTTATCAACGCGAAGCCGTACAAGGAAATTACCATGAATTATGAAAAATCCGACACATTTTTTTTTCGGACAAACACAGATATTATCTGTCAGATAACACAATGTAAAATTAAAACAAATGTCTCCCACTTTTTTTTCTCTCGCGCATTTATAGAGAAATATTCAAATATGTACGTAAAAAAACTGTTTGAATTACCTTGGTATCCGCCAAACGTCGAACGGAAATTGAGTTTACGATTTAAATATATCGTGTATAAATGCTCACATTCACAAGCACGTTTTTAATACAAAAAAAAAACGATTTGATTTGATATTTTGTGTTAATTATGTTATTTTGTGTTGTGAATAATTATCGTCACATTAAGTAGCCGATTGAAGTCATCCGAGTTTTGCAAAAATAACCGTCAGCACTATAGTTTTCTTCTTCTCGATGTGTGTTTTGAGATTTATTGCGAAAAATTAATGCGTTCGATAATTGACTGTATACTTGCACGAGATGTTTGTTGAAAAAAAAGAACGCCTCAAAATGATGTCAAACAGAATGAAATAAAAACTATGCTAGTTTTTCAGCACACAACATGAGTTCATTAGTTGTTTTTTTTTTTGAAAAAAAAGATGTTGAAATCAAAATGAGTGCGACATACACCAACAATTAACTTAAAAACAGGAAAAAATCATTCAAAATTGTCTCAATCGTAAATAATTTGTGCTCGTACAAACAAAATGTTTCATATATATGTATATGAACCGAGAGATTCGTGAGAGAAACGAAAAAAAAAACTGACGACAAAAAAACGATTATTTCGGACGGTGAGACACACACAAAATAAACTCAAAACTTTAATTATTTTTGAATGGAAAATTGAAGTTGCACATCCACACGAAGTCACGGCTAATATTCGACTGAATTAAATATACACAAAAACCGCATTTGTTACAGAGACTAAAAAAGTGTATTGTATTAAGTTGTGTTGTGAGCGTGCCGCAACAACAAGCCGACAACACACAACACCATGCATATGGCTAAAGTGAGTGAGTGAAATAGGCGAGTAGAATCGGCGCACACCGCAGAGAGTCAGATAAACAGAGTGAGAGAAGCGACGAGCAGTGAGAGCCGAAAGAGCAGAGTAAAGCATTAGCCTTGTATTGTCGACATACGGACGCTCTGTACGATGATTTGTATCAGTTTCTCTTTTGCCACTACAACTAAACGGCTCTCGCTCACCCAATGTGTGTGCGAATACGTTTCGTGTGGCGATGAGATCTCCGGACTTAAAATACGTATGTGTGTATTTAAAATAAAGGCTCGTTAAATTCTTTTCGTTCTTGTGCAAATTATTAAACAAAAAAAAAAACAAATGCACGACACACTGACGATATCCACAGATAGCATGTCTGAATGAAAAAGAGAGAACGATTAAAAATAGAGTCATAAACATTATAATGTGCGTTGGCACGAGGCGCACGGTAACAGCTTGAAAACGTTTTGCATCTATTGATCTTCACTCGATTAGCATGGGTCCGAGAGATAACCACCCGCATGGGACTCTGCCCGTGCTCAAACGCTCTTTTTCCATCGCACTCTCTGCCTCTTTTTTTCATTTATGCTTGGCTTGATGATCCATAAAAAAATCGTACAGCGTTTGAATATTATTGACCATATGAACCAGTGGTAAGCTCACATGCCAACACGCTCAGCTCTATTCAAATTACATATGGATTTTTTTTATTACAATTTTCTATATACATATACTATATTTTATTACTGTATTTCTATTGAATGAAGTAAACATACGCAGCAGCAGCAACAACAACAAAAAGTAGTACGAGCCGATTAATTGTAGCAAATTCCGTTTCCTTCTTTTTTTTGATTAATTTCCCTCTTTTCAATTCCAAGCAGTAACATTGCGTCGTCACTATTTGTTTGTTCGCCAAACAATGTGGTTTAATTATGAATGTATGAACAATGAACTTGAAATGTAAAACAAACTCTTCTATTTCAGCTGTTAGTTGATCATGCACAATACGCGCAATACAAGTGACTTGGATGTGAATCAAATGTGTGTGCATATGAATGTTGTTTATATTTTGAATAAATGTATGACGTTCATTTGATATGCAATTTTTCCACATCGGAATTCGAATAGTTGAAGGTGTATTGAATTGATCAAATGATTATTTGATCATTTGACATTCATTCGTAAAGATCATTTACAAAAATGCAAATTGTGCACACACTGCGATGCTCGACGATCATGTTACAGACTATAACAAGTAACTAGCACGTGCAATCGGATTGCTATTTGAAATTTACAAGATAACAATGTCGATAATATCATTTATTGCACTTAATTTACATATCGTCGAGGCGGCGACCGCTCCAGAAAATTAGTAGCCGTTAATAATAATCGACTGATAACATTTTTCGCGGCATTTGCTGGGCGCGCATTTTGCTCTTATTTCGCTCTATTTATTTTTTATACGTTTTTTATAAAGTAATTACTCATTATATGTACATACTCAATTCGGAATTAAATTGAATGTGTCACAGTCGCGCCATAAATTATAATAAACAATTATGAATCGTCAAAGTCAAGAATCATCAGCCACATGACACACACTGTCTGTGAGAGATAAAAGGATAAAGAAATAAAAAAAGACAACAGCAGAAGTGGACTGCGACATTACAGAAGGTAAAGTATGTATTCATTTTATTTATGTTTGTAAATGTTTCATTTTGCATATTTTATCTTTTCTTTCGTATTCTCGCTCATCAGATGGGTTATAGCTCACCGATTATTGAACAGAAAATGTAGAAAACAAGAAGAAGTTTTTGTGCGAGGCTATTTTTATGCCATCTTCTCCTCATACTCGAACTGAATATGTATGTTTGAGCGCATTTTTTTTACCTACTTTCTGTTGTATTACATGATTATGCATCCAGGAGGTTTTCTAGGAATATCTGACGATGGTGATGCTCTGTATAATTCTTTTTAAACCACACCAACTCCAAAGTTGTTCAAAAAAAGAATAGCAAACGCCAGATCGGCGATATCAACTTAGATATTCACTATATATTTTCTCGCATTAAGCGCCAAGTTTGTTGGTAACATTGTTTTTGTCATACTATCTGCGCATACGAATGTGCACGACTAACGACTATGGAATGTCGCGTATTTGTTGCTCTCATTTTAATAGCGTGTACACTCATTGTACACATTGTGCACCGTGTGGTTTTTATTGTCAATTGTGTGCGCGTTATGCGTACACCGTTTTGTCGAAAAAAAAGAAGAATTAAATGAATAACGCCTAACAAAACAAACCACATTATTTCGTAAGCTGAGTAAATTCTGTGAATTGAAAAAAAAAATGTGCCTTGATTTGTCCCAATCGATAAATATATACGTAGTTCAATGCTTTTTTAATTGATTGACAATTTTAAAGGCAACCGTTGCTTTTTATTATTAACACATTCGGATGATATTCTGATATATTCAGATTTGCTGTCCATAAACTGGTTATTTGCTACCTGCTCGTTGTGTACTTTTTTATCACTCTTTCTCGACGCGATTGTTTGGCCCCCCTCTCCTCGTTTATGGTGTGCGTTGATTACGAAGAAAGAATTGAGATGTTTTGTAGGCAATTCAGTAACTGAAACACTGGAACCTTTTGTTATTGAATGATATTGAAATGAATGACGATGATAGTCACTCGGGGATTTTGTGTGTGTGTGCTTTTTTTAAAATAAAATAAAAAACAATCCAATACAATGCTACGCAAAATACGTTTATGGTATTATAATGTGATTCGCCCTTGATGGTCAGAACATCGCATTGTATAGGCGCTCCGGCTTAACTGTTTGTACACGGTTGTTACATTTAACTTTCGTGCAAATAAATGCATTTTATTACATCAGATACAAAGCAGAAAATCGGTATGATAAACACCAATTTAATATGCATACTTGAACCACAACAACAACGAAAAAAAGCGAAAACAAAATTCCTTCTGTAACAAACAGAATCTGAAGCTAAATAGCCTAGATAAAACCTATAATTTGTTCCGCCTTTTAAACTAATTCTCATTACAAGATTTATTTAAATGAATCGAATGATGATCGATTTTACCTTGACCCAGACTTTTTTCGCTTCAAATCCAGTCCGCCAGACGACTTCATCTAGATACAACAACACAAAAAGTGCATATCAACTTGAATAGCGAGTGTCTCGTGTATTGCTTGTCGATGACGCACAATTCATTCAATTGTTATTACTTTATATTTACACTGATTTCGGTTTTTCCAATTGCTTTGTTTTATCAGACAACAAACTCGATTATTTCTCTAATCTGAATGGTGCCGTAACAAGCAATTTTTAATTGTGAGTCACTTATGCAATGCAATTCTCAATGAGAATAGAAATGTTTTTTTTTTAAATTGAAATTACGCGCAAAAATATTTAAATCAAATTTCAATAGATGGCGGTGTTGATTGGCCACGACAAAAAACCCATGTGATTGTTGCAAATTGACATAAGTACGCGACAGAATTTATATGCATGAAATCAGAGCGTAAAATTTCACTTTCACATTCCCCTGCCGGTGCGTGTGTGTTTTTCTTGTCAAAAAGTAAAAAGCAAGTAAAAAGTCCAGCGCAATAAAAACATTGTAAGTTTTATTGCATTTTATTCATTTGATTTTTATTTTCAATATTATATAATTATCGAATTATCATTATACCGTGTGTTATCACTGTTCATATTGGTTAACAATGTATGGAAAACAATAAAAACACCAACAACATTTTTTATCGCTTTTTTTGTGTTTGGTTAGAATTTCGGGTGATATTTGAGACATGAGTACGGGCAGTACGGGGTCGTTGCTACCAAAATGGCAGTTGGCAATTTTATTGGGTGCACCAATTGCACTTGGACTTGGTTATTTATACTATCGCAATCAAACCACTAAATTGTGTGAAGATGCCAGCGATACGGGAAAGAAGAAAATCAGCAATTCGAAAGACAAATCAATATCGTTGGACGGTGATGATAAAATGCTGAAGGAGAAATCAGAACCAAAACCACAAAGTGAATTGGAAAAAGCGATTGCATTTAAAAATGATGGTAATTCACGATTTAAAAGTGGCAAATATAATGAGGCCATTGAATTTTATAATAAGGCGATTGATACGTGTCCGAAAACGCATCCGTTGGATTTGTCGACATTCTATCAAAATCGTGCCGCGGCCTACGAACAATTGAAGAAATGGGCCGCCGTTAAAGAGGATTGTACCAGTGCATTGGAATTAAATTCACGTTATGTTAAGGCATTGTACCGTCGTGCAAAGGCGTGCGAACATACAAACGACTTGGTATCCAGTTTGGATGACATCACTGCCACCTGCATTTTGGAAGGTTTTCAAAACAGTAACTCATTGGAATTTGCCGATCGTGTTTTAAAAGATATGGGTATGTCGAAGTGCATTGTTTGGTTATGTTAAACAAATTGACAGTTATATTGATAAAATCTGTATTTCAGGTCGTCGTGATGCCAAAGAAGCATTTTCAAAGCGTCAAGTCGTCTATCCATCGGCCAATTTTATCAAGACCTATTTTGCAGCGTATATAAATGATCCGTTAACGAAAAATAGCAACGATGATGCCGATTATGCCGATGATAGTGGTTTAAGTCGGGCAAAGAAAGGGCTTAAAGATGCTAAATATGATGATATCATTGCAGCATGTACCGATGAAATCACATCACCCGAATCAAGTGAAAAGCGTAAACTCGAAGCAAGACTCCTTCGTGGCACATTCAAACTGTTGATTGGTTTGATGGATGAAGCAACACAAGATTTTGATTACATCGTTGACAGTTCCGATGCTGACATCAACATGAAAGTGAATGCATTGGTAAAACGTGCCTCGTTAAATGTGCAAAACGATCAGCACCAAAAAGGATTCGAAGATTTTGAAATAGCAGAAAAAATAGATCCACAAAATGCCGATATATTTCATCAACGTGGCCAGGTGTTTGTATTACTCGAAAAACATGTTGAAGCTTTATCCGATTTTAATACAGCGGTTGCATTAGCACCCGAACATTGTCCGGCTGTCGTTCAAAAATGCTATGCCGAATATCGGTTTGCAACTATAGTTCAGAATCAAGTTCAAATTTATAATGCCATTCAAGCGACACATCGTGCCGTCGAAAAATTTCCCAATAACCTTGAATGTTACAATATTTTGGCACAAATCCTATCCGAACAACAACAATTTGATAAAGCCGACGAACTATTCGAAAAGGCAATCAATTTACAACCGTCACAAGCATCATTATATGTTCATCGTGGTTTGTTGCATTTACAATGGACGGGTGATATTACAAAGTCAATGGAACTCCTGCAAAAGGCCATTGAAGTTGACAATAAATGCGAATTGGCTTATGAAACACTTGGTACAATTCAAGTGCAACGTGGAGCACTCGAAAATGCAATTGAATTATTTGAAACTGCATTGAAATTAAGTCGCTCGGAATTGGAAATGGTTCACATCTATTCACTACGGAATGCCGCCATTGCCCAATTGAATGTGGCGAAAAAACTTGGATTGGACTTATCTAGTTTATCAGCCGTCAGTCAAGTTGGCTTTGCTTAATGCAATCACCGCGAAATACTATATGGTTTAACTGTTGTATTTAAAAACAATTTACTTTTTCAGTATACATGAATGAGCCAAGTAGACGGAGGTCAGAGAAGAGCATGAAATTGTTGTGTTTTAGTTATTAGTCTTGTCCAATCTTTGTCGAAACGATGAAAGAATTTAAGCATCTACAAATAAATAGAACAACAAACACAATTGACCGATTGTCTTTTTTTTTGTTTCTTTTTTTCACTCACAATTTCAACGAATGAATTTCTTTATTTTTTTTTCTCTTTTGAATTGAATCTCTTTCGGTGTTATTTTGAAAATTAGAGATATTTTACAGTTTAATTGTGTATCCAACAAATTGTTTGGCCCACATATTATACATAGCTAAAGAGCTTTTTTCAGTTGATTTGGATTCTACGTGCAAATAAAAAGTTACGGGATTTACGCTGTGATTATGTTTAGACATCATAACCGACAAAATGACGTTTGCCAATGCATTCGCCGACAAAAAACCAGCACAACACTTCAATGGTGACCAAAGTGTTCAAAAAAGCTTCACGTACAGTGGTATTCTTCCATGCACCGCTCTTGGCTCCCGAAACCAATTTACCAAGTCCTGTCGATATTGAACGAAAAGAATAAAATGTGGTAATTATTTTGTGATGCCTATAGTAAAGTCAAGCATTTAGCTCATATTGAATGTAAATCGTTTACCTGAGCTGATGGCAGGAATGTCGCTGACTTTTGGTGGTGTCATTTCAGCCATAGCATATTTAGCGGCCACTTTCAATTTTGGGCGTGATGCCACAACCAAATCTATAAAGAAAAAAGATGAGACATTACAGTTTTAACAAATTGATTGCATATTAAATTACTTTGATATGAATTAGTGTTGAAAAAATTGCTTTTTTTCACCAATTTACAAGGTTAAAACCATTCTACATTACGTAATGACATTTCAATGATAGTGATATAGCTGGCACATTTTTCTTTTGTTTATTCACAATGTCAATGCAATTTAGTTATATTTCTTAATTGGAAAATGGAAAATTATCTATTTTTTCGACTTACTGTTGACGAGAACTGATAATTTTGCTACTGCTGCCATTGTAGTTGGATAATATTAGCGAATGGATGATTGAATTGATTTTTCACTGCTGGTGAAGTTTCGGCCGACAAGATTTCATGTGACAGAACGATATGAATGAAGTTGCTTATAAGTGACTTTGACGAATGACGAAAGTCTACAAATGTGATACAACAAATGATATTCTGGTTTTCATTTTTCAACGATTCAAGCGTATATCTTGTACTCGACATTTAGTGCAACAAATATTTGTCATTTCTAATGAATTTTATTAAATTGTAAATGTATTCTACGAATTGAAATGAAAAATCCATTTAGAAGTCATTAAAAAGTTCGTAACAGCGCCATCTTATGAAAATTCCTTAAAATTTTATTTCAAAAAACAAAAAAAAAACATTTGATAATAAGAATACATACAACAAGTTGTAAATTACATGTTGATGCAAGAAATGTAAAAGATTTTCAAAATTAATCTGAAACTGATAAACATGTCTTTTCGAACTTTTTTTTTTTTTTACTTGTACACCATCACTAACGTTCTTCTCTCGAGTTCACTTGATGTAATCCCGTTAAAAGTTCCCCGAAATCCAATGCATGAACAACTTCAAAATCAACGTGTTCGTGCTCGGTCCAGTTATATGGCAATGGAGAATTTGGGGTCCTGTAAACCTTTATTATAAACTGATGGTTAGAGTCTAGTCGAGAATGACTTTGGCAGGCTACAATTATACTACGCAAAATCGCACCGATTTCAGCATCAATCGTTCGTTTTTCCTTTCGGTTATTTGGATCATCCTTTTTTTGAACTCTGAATTCATAATTTTCGACTTCTGTACCTTCCGCGTCTTTTATAACAAGACAGAGACGTATGAACTCGTCTTTGATGATCCATTCTGGATTTCGAGAAACCCAAAAAAATCTAATATATTTTTGGTGCTTTGAATCAAATTCCATCACATTTACTTACTTTTGATTTGGGATAAATTGTTCTTCAAATAATGCTGCACTTCTGGATCGGTTGACATTTGAATGCTCAAACCATACTTCTGTATAGTCTTGTATTGTGATGCTGGATATATGCCCCGTAAGTATAAGATGGTGTTGAGAGCACAATCTGTATTACACAAAATAAAGAATGTAAAATATCTTGAAAAAGAGATTTTTTTTTTTTCTCTACTCACCAATGTAATCAATCACAATTCCAGCCGAAGCAGTTATGGTGATACTTTTACTTCGCACGGCTGTAGCCATTTTCGAGCGAGTTTCTCGCAGTCAGAAATTTTTTCCTTCTAGAATATTATAATCAAAAAATATAATCGAAATATATGAATTTTTTTCATAAAATGCTTCAATTGTTCAAACAATATTTAATTGTTTCAAATACTTGCATTGATTTATTATACAGAAACGTCACATCACTTAATGCTTCATGCAAAGTAGATTTTACGATAATCATCAAACCAAAAAGTATCGTGCAATACCGCTAAGTTTTGAATGTATTTTGCATCGCCATGTTGGCACACAGACAGTTGACAAACATTTATTTGGTTTTCAAGTTTTTGAATTGGAACTATCGATGTGATGATATATCACGAAAGGTTTTAATGATGTTTTGAATTTATTTTACAGATGATTTGTATGTTGAAAAAAATAAAACATTCAGTTTAATTAATAAAAATTTATTTAAAAAAAATACTTTAAAATGTTTAACAACATCTTTAACGACTTTTATAAAAAGTTTTTTTCTTTCTATGTTTTCTGTTTTTTTTTTCATATTTTTCGATTTTTTTGTTGTTTTTTTCTCGTTTTATTGTAACAAAATCAAAAATTAAAACTAATTCATAAATGTCATATTGTTTACAATGTCTTGAAGTCTTTGGACTCAGTACGGCTTATTACGGTCTGATTTTGTTAATTCCCTATATGTTTCCACTTTGTAATAGTTAAAATCGGGTTCGAATACAACGGTAATTAATGTTGCCTTCGGCAGTAAATTGTTGACCAAATGCAAAAATGCTGGGTCAAAGTAATTATAATGCTTAACCAATCGAATCGTTGCCAATTGTTTACAATTCTCTTTGATGCTTTGAAGTGTTTTGCGCCATGACGGTAGATCAAAGTAGCTTTCAATTCCCATCGATAAGTTAACTAATTTTGTGCATGTTTGAAATAAATATTTTGTATTTGTTAATTCAATATCATAAGGAATGAAGTTGAACGTGGTGAGATTGTGGAAGCGTGTGGCAAGATTCACTAGTTTTTTCTGTTCATACTGTGTTCCTCTGACTCGTTCAATGGTTAATTCTTCAATTTGATTGCTGATTTTACCGTGCATTGAATGGAGAATAGTGCCGATGCAATCGCTAAAATGATTCAGGCTGATGCGTCTCAAGTGGCTTAATGTGATGCCAAAATGTGTTGGTTTCGATTGAATAGTGATTTCACCTTCGTTAAATTCAAGATGCGACAATTTCGGGCATTCCATTTGCGGAAATATATATGTCGGACCTGAGACTATGGACATAATTTTAAGCGTAGTTAAATTTGGGAAGTTCAATTTCACGGTATCAATCACATTCACTGTGATTTTGACTATAGATAATTCAGTTATTCTCTCACTCACGTCACCAATATACGCCCAAGTTGCAGCTATTTCATTGTCGTTGTTTGTGTGTACATCGATTGCCAATTTTGTTATGTGTTCACCAAACCGGTCAAATGTGTCCTTGACATTGCCGAGGTCAGATACTGTAAATACTTGTGACTCGATTCGTTCACACATCGCATGCTTTGTACGAGTGCATGTTTCATACAATGTACGAACGCTCTGTTCGTCCAAGTAGGAAAAGATTTTCTTCAAACACGCATCGCCAAGATCAAACAAATGAACATTTGTCGAATGATTTTTTGACACTGCACATTCAGTCCAATACATCAATACGTCATTTTTCACAATTTTATGAGGAGTCATTTCTACTTTGGTGTCAGGTTGAATGAGCTTAAACTTTACCCCATCGCCTCTGTTGCGAACGATTTCGGCAAATTCACGATGAAATTCCAAATTGAAATAGTCCACATCGACGCGATGCTCACGACTCTCAAGCTCTAGCTCTTTTAAATGTTCACATCGTCTGAATATTAATAATATTCTCTCTGCGGTGAATTCATAAAGTACAACACCATCCAATTTCAAACAGACCAAATTTGGCACATAATGAATAAGAAATCGAATTGTATCGCGTCCCAAATCAAAGCCTTCCAAACGTAATGACGTCAAATGCTTAAATAGTGGAATAATTTTTTCAACATGATCATGAATGGCATCGATATTTACATCATCATCATTTATCAGCGACACGTCCAGTCGTTGAACGACGTGACTTCCACGTGCAATGGCTCCAATTACATTTCGAAATGATGAACCGTCTACTGTGATTTTCAATTCTTTCAATTGTATCATATTTATGTCACGACAATTGCGTGAAAATTCATTTTTGTCGGCAACATATTCGAGCGTTGTCAATCCTTTTAGTCTGTCTCTCAGCGCTTGAATCACGGCCAATGGGAATTTTCGGCACTTTATCACATGTAAATGTTTTATTTGTGGATTTATATACAAAAATCGTTTCAATACTTCTACATCCATATTTACGATGTCGTCTGCCTTAAATCGCGTTAGATGTGGATAATGATAGTCGGCCCAGTAGAAGTTCATCAGAATTACACTTTTTAGTGTGAGCGACGTTAAATATGGCATCGATTTTAATGATTTGGTGATATTGAATTCATAACAATTATTGAAAATGATGACATGTTTTAAGAAGCGACACTGTTTACTTATCAAATTCAATAGATTGTGTTTGTTGGGTCGACGCTCCATTGTTAAATTTATTGCGGCTATTTCACTGCCAAATATTTTCAAAAACATTCGATAATGTTTTTGATCGTATTTACTGTCATCGCCATACACAGAGATTTCATAGTATTTGTCATCGCTGTCACCATTGTACTTTTTTGCAAAAATTTCTTTTGCGATTGCTTTGAAACGCCTACAAACTTGAGCCGTATTCAACAAATCAATTTCGTTGAAATTGGAAAAAATTTCCAACAAAATTTCATCCGAAAATGCCATTAATTCATGTTCCAAATATTCAGCCGGCAAATTTTCCTCCAGTGTGGTTTGGTTGGTGATCATTGACATGACCTGTGTGAAATGATGTCGAATACTGTCCATATTATGAAATTCGTTCTTTTCAAAGGAGTAATTTACACTTCAGTTCATGAAACCAGGCGATGAGTCACTTGTTTTGCTCTCTAAATTTGGCGACAAAAAAAAACGAAGAACAATCCAATTAGACTTTAAAGAATAGAACGCAATTAGCGTTGTAATTTTTTTTTGTTGGTATTGTGAAAAGAAAAAGAAAAAAAATGTTTTTGAAAATTTCTTTTGTAAAAATGTTTCCACCAAAATTATGAATGGTCACAAATTACCGGCAAAACAGAACGTAATCAACTTACATGTTTACTATATCACAACCGAGCAATGACTATTGAGGTATTATTTCATCACGAGTAACATCACATATGATGATTGCAATTCGCGAATGAATCAGAATGCCAACGAGACACAAACAAGGAATACATACTCAAATATATAGTTGACCTTGTTAGTAATAGTAACGTGCTTCTGTATGTCAGTGGACACGTGTATATGTGCGTCGTATAGACTCGTGTGATACTGAAGTAAAAAGTTTGTTGGTGAATATTGCGTTGTTTCCATATTGGTGTTTTTTTATGTATTGGCAGTGCCAATTTGGCACGTCAAAACAGACATTTGTTACATTGGCGAATGTGTGTCATGCACATATGTATGCAAAGTGACCGGTATATTATCGTTGGTAGCAAAGACTGTAAATATATCACAAAATTGGTATTTTTTTAGCATCTGATGAAATTCCGTTCTTCTCAATAACAAGTTCATAATTATGTCACTATAATTCCAGAAAATTCCAGCAGTCTCTTTCCAATCTCAAACAAAAATTGGACCGATGTAAATATTCGTGGGGTTTTTTGTCGATTGAAATACTGTGAATTTATTGATAATAATCGGTTGCTTTTATTTATTTGCTTCAAGGAGTAAACGGCATATAGTTTGTAAGCCACGTTTTCATTTCATTTAGTTGAAAATGATCTTCTAAAAGAGGATCTTTTCTTGTAAGTTGTTGTCGAAAGTGAAGACTTGGACAGCACCGATTTTCTTTTCCGTTGCGCACACAAAATTGACTCTCCTCTTTTAACAGTGGGTAATCATTGTTCCGTTCTCTGTACGAATTTCGACACCCAACGAAGCCGGTAATTTTCGATTCGCGGTATCTTAAGTATTCATTTGAATGGCCAACCAAAGTAATTGTATCATCCATGTTTACTACGTATGTTTGGTTCACCATATCAATTTTGCCAATCTTTGAATCAAATTTCAACGGTTTCTTCAGTTGGATCACAGCTGTTTAAATAAAAATTATGCATCAATCAATTGAAAATGTGATCTTCGCTATATTCCGGATGCACAAATATTTCCTGTCGACTAACATTCACGGTGTAATAATGTTCGTCAGTATCGAGTTCGCCAAGTTCCAACGTTACCAAATATGCGTTCTGCACGCAATGTGCTGCGACCAACACTTTTTTATTTGATATGATTGTTGCAGAACATAAATACTGGGTGTCATCATTTTCTTTTCTGTACAACAGTCCACCTGTGTACTTATAATCTTCAATATTAAGAACCAAATCGCTTTCAGTTGTTGTTTGACCATTTGTGCCCAATTACAGAAGTACAAACATGAGGTTTTCCATTCTTTGAATATGAAATGATGCCGAGCAGTTTTTTGGTTTTCGTAATAATCGGTCCTAATATAAAATGCACACAAATGAAATGATTGTTTATTTCTATTTTGAATTGATAAACATACCTCCGACATATTCAAAAATAACAATAAAATAACACAGAATTGTTTTTCATTATCCAAACTGACGGAACCAGAATATAGATCTCGGCATACATCGAAATTTTCCATCGTTGAATTAAAATATCGCAAATGAGTGTCTGCATACTTTCGGTAGATCATGTTTGATTGCGAATACCCCAAAGCCGTAATTGCGTCACCTGTCTTTATCTTGTAACTTTTATAAACCATTTTAAGCTTACCAATCTTTAAACCGAAGTTTAAAGCTTCCTTGAGTTGGATTACAGCTAAAAAATTATGCATTAAACACTTAAAAATATAATTGGATTTATTTTGCCTTGCCTATGTCATTTTGCCAAACACCTTTACTGCATTCAGAATATTTTGGATGAACGATGATTTCTTCATCGCTGACATCAATTTTATAAAATGGTTCATCACTATTGACGGAAGCGACCGCCAATGTGATGGCACCTCTGTTGACCACACAGTTTGCGGCAGTTATTATTTTATAATTTGATATTATAGTGGCACCACATGTATAAGTCGTGAAACTGGTACTATTTTTCTTATATATTATCAAAGCCACATATTTATGGTCGTTAATTTCATAAACTGTCAATATGAGAAAAGATAAACAGATTGAAACATTTTAATTTTGCAGAAAAATACCTAGTTCAATGCTACTTCCACGAAGTTCCTAACCAGATTAACCACAGATGAGAATCGAATATCAACAAAAAGTTGAAAATGAAATAAATTTTAAAAAATCTAGATAGACTATTTCAATTAGTTAGAACGAATAAAGACCGAAAATGAGTTTTTATAGGCAGGCCAAATTTAATTTTTAAAGCTATACTCACTCTTGGATATAGCTTGGCAATAAATTCACGGTAGACAGAGATGGAAACAACGCCAAAAAATTTATTGTCTTTCGTAAGGGAAACACCACATTTATATTTCAATAAGACATCATGATTAAAACATAAAAATAATAATTTATAAACCTCCTGAATCCCCCTAGTGCATTCGTAAATTCACACAAGAATGTCGTCGATCATCGACTATAGAATATCCATATTCTTGACGATATAGATTTTGACATTCTTCCAAATCTCCAATGGTTGAATTAATGCGGCGCAAAAATGGTTTATTTTCCTTGAATATTCGTTTGGGATGTTTTGATTCCGTATATCTAAGGGAAATGTTTCACATTTTGTAAGTTTCAGCATGAAAAATATGTGCATTCAACCAATTTACCCCAACATAGTAACATGATCGCCTGGCATTGGAATATAATCTTCATCAACCATTTCCACTTTATCAACCTTTGAGTTGAATTTTAACGGGGTTCTCAAAATAATTACAGCTGAGATTTAAATAGATAACAAAATTATTAACATAAACCAACACTTTTTAATTTTTATTATTTCAGTTACCGATATCATTACCCCACGGTTCCCCCATATCAAATTCTGGATGCATTACAACATCTGCATCTCGGGTAAAGTTTTTATATTGAAGCATTTAATATAAGTTTACCGTGCCCGCTATCACGCTAAAAGTTTCGGTTTCATTGTACACGCAATGCGCTAAAATATATGTGAATATACCAGACTAAAACACTACGAGTAATACCTGCTGTCACTACTTTCCATGGCGATATAACCGCACCGCCACAATAACAATAGTTAAGTCCATTTGTGGTTATGCGTACTATTACAATGCAATATAGTTACCAAAAGTAGGAGTTATGAGTATCGTTTACGTAGTACCAAATTCCAACCATAAAATTATATTCTTCGATACTACCTACTAAAATGCCGTTCACAATGGCTTCCACAGCAATACCAATTCTTGACGGCTTATGAATGCAAATTAAAATGTATGAAAGGGAGAGATTTTTTATGAAAAAAATGAATTCACTTACAGAATATTCCGTACAGAAAATCAAGGCAAATAACACGAGATACAATTTCATTTTTTTATATATATTATTTCTCGAGTCGATTCGAATTTTAGAGTATTAGTATCGAATACAACAGTCTAACAGACCTTAATTTATGCATTTCGGTTTCATTTAAAAAGTAAGCTTGCGTATGTAATCCCATTTATTTCATTTTTTTTCTATTCAACATATTGCCTGAATATTCGTAATTTTTCCAGGCTTGAATTTTATTTAAATGAATGGCTGTAAGTATGTGTTAATGTAATAGCTTCGAATAGCTTATTGAGAAGGAGTTAGTAACTTCTCAAATATTAAAAAATGGAGGAGCTTATTACACCTACTTTAAAATCGAAAATTCTCTTTTTCTAGTTTTAGTTGAAGAAAAATGTATTTTAAGATAGGATAGGCTTTTTGAACGATCAGAGCATTCACAAACGAATAATTTTTAATTAAAGAAATTGCGCAGCAATAATTTATGCCCGAATATAATGACGACTTGCGACAAACGAGCTAAGCTAAATTTTACAAAAATTCCAAAAATTACTACATATGGTTTATAAATTGTCAGAAATAAATAAAAGTCGACGTATAAAGTCATTATTCGTTGAACAGTTAAGAAGTGGTTAAGAAACAGTTAAGACCAATATTCAAAAGAATAGAGAAGAAATGTACAATTTTTACGGCTGCTTCGTGGCATTAATCGTTTTTGAAGTATTTGTGAGTTAATTTATTACATTTTCTTTTGTTTCCATGTAATACATTGAACGTATTAACCATTTTTTTTCGAAAATATTTTTTCTGTTCACTCAAGGTAATTCAATGCGATGCTGTAAGGAATAATGCAAAAAGGGCTCGAAAACTTGCTAATGATGAAGTCAAATTGCCGTATGAAGTGATAGGGAATATACTCCACAAAGGTGGTTTAAAAGCAACGAAAGGAGCAGGACGATCAAAAGCACTAATTGCCGGATCCAAAGATGCCATGAGCAGAATTTTTGAAGACCGCATACTCGTAATTGATAATTGGACGACTCTTAACCGTTCTGTTGAAACAAGTGAGCGTCAAGAGCATAAAGACGGCCAATTTTATTTTGACTTCGGAAGCTATGCCAGACTAGTGTCACTCTTTGAAACATTTGGTAAACATGCAAGACGCATTTCAATAAATTATCGCTCCATGAATGCAACAGTCAGACGTGAGATAAACAAAAACATTATCAATAAGTATGCAAACTATTTAACTGAGCTTAAAATTTATGTTTACAATGATTCGGGAATTTGGGAAGAAATATCGAATGAAAATGGACAAATTCAGTTCCCGAATGTGGAAAAATTTACCTATGTATGCGATACCGCTGATAGTAGTAGAAAATCATTTAATTTGAATGCAATATTCCCCAAACTTGAATCTTTCAAGTTGATTGGTTCCATAAAAGACCCGAACTGCTTGGTAAACGTCACGAATTTAAAAGAATTAACGCTGCAAACTCCTTCAATACCAGAACACCAATTCCAAGATATTTTTGCAAAAAATAAAAAAATATCAAAGCTTAACTTTTCACCCCAAAAAACAGAGACTCTACAATCGATCGGCAAATATTTGAAAAATTTGCAAACACTTAAAATTAACAGTGCTGGCGATGAGTTTTTAACCGGGGGTAATCGTGTCCAAAATCTTACATCAGTGACAACTTTCGTCGTGGGAATTGATGAAACAAGACTGTTAACAGGAGGACTGTCATTTAAAATGCCCAATTTGAAAAGGCTAATTGTGCGCGGAGAATACATCGATCAACAATTGTCTGATTTTATCAATCATTTCAAAAATTTGGATATGGTAGAAATCAAACCATATGATGGTATATATGATGCAGTAGAATGTATAGAAAAATTGACGAGTGTCAAAGAGTATATATCCCCATTTAACTGTTCACAATTGGCATTCTTAGAGCCGTTTTTCGAAACATTCGATAGAAAAAAATCACATTTGAATTCATTAAAATTGATATGCATTGATAATTTAAAAGAAGGCTATTCTGAAGCAGTTATGGATTATATCAATGATCAGTTAATAGCATTGAAAAAACCGACATGGACTCTATCTGATGAAATGGAGGATGAAACCAATATAAACTATTTGTTGATTAAACGTAATCTATGAATTAGTAAGCTTTCCGTTCCAATTTAATTTCGCATGAATTGCCAACATTGTTTGAATCTAAAATGTGAATGGTAAAGAAATAAAAAAAAGAGATACGTATTTAATGAATTGTGTTTGCTATTACTGGATATAATTAGATTTTTGGAGAAGTTCCATTTCGATATCTAAATACGTCAATTGGTGATTGTAGTTCTTTGATATTTAATTTGAGCAAATTTTTGAAACGAAGTTATAGGCCATCCATAAATTTTGGATTGTGCTCTGGATGTATAGTTCGATGATTTTTCATATCGCTGAACTATTCTAATGAAAAATTGCTTATGGAAAAGCTCATATCAGTGGACTCATAATTTATTAACATTGTCAAAAATTTTGCCAAAACTTTGAAGAGCATAACATTTCGAAGATATATGTAGCGATCTTTAATTTGAAATTAGATTATTTTCCTTGTTTACATCTCAACAAACAATTGCCGCTGTATTTTACTTTAAACTGTACAGTTATTTGAAATTAAAATTCTCTTGAATAATAATAATAACAATTCTCTTCTATATACGTGTTAATCTGAACACTGCAGTGTTACCTTAAAAACAAGTATAATAACATTTTACATGAAAATCCACAGAATAAAAAATCATGTTTCGAAAACGACGAAATATGTTCAAATAATTCTGTATAAAATATTTTAATTAAAATTCTATGGCTCAATCATCGAGGAGATAAGCCAAAAAAATCCAGTATGACAAAATGACTCAATATTTTTTCAATCGAGTGTTTGTTTACGCCTTGAAATGTCAAATTCAAATTAAGTTGTTTGCGTGTGGAGAAAATTGTTTTGCCCAAAGTAAATTGTGGTGATACAGACATGTGACGTTTCGCATCCTGTCAAATTTGGCGCACAATACATTTCAAGCCATTCTATCAATACAGAGTTATATTACAGTCCGATCTGGAGGTGAACCAGGAGGAAAAAATAAGAATGACATTTGAAAAATATTCGAACTGAGACTCAGCTCAAAAAGGCTTCATTTCACATCTATTTATTTTTTTAACAACATCAAAAGCCACTTGAACGTATAGTGTTTCAACTCAGAAGCAAATATTACAATTATATAGATTGTTTACACAAACAGTAAAAATGACAACGCTTCTTCCGTACCGCACTGAATACAAGAAGGGTAATACATCCGCTAGTTGCGAGAAATGTCAAAAATGTATTTGCGAAGGCAGTATTCAGATTAGTTTTATGCAACAGGTGAGTGACACATATTGGGATACAAATCTGAACTCTGAACTAAGTGAAACGATTTATTTTATAAAGGGCATAAAAGACGATTATATGGAAGCAAGATGGTTTGATGTGCCTTGCTTCTTTTCGATACGTCAACCTGGATCGGAAGACAACATCGATGGATTCGCAAACTTAAGATACAAAGATCAAATGGAATTGCGGAAATATTTGGGTAAATAGCATCTTGTATCATTTGATCGTGACTTTCCTCCATTGTGTGGCATATTTTTAAGCTTATTTTTGAATTAACATCCATTAGCTGATAACAAAAATGTCCCGCAAACAATGACTGATGAGCAGTCATCCTCGAAGAAGCATTGTGTTAGATCTATCGATCTCACATTGGAACAACAAATTGAACAACAAAACGACGCATTCTTTGCTATCTATGACAAACTGAAAACACTGAAGACTACAGAACTTGTTACGATTTTGAATTCAATGCACCAATTTGTGCCTGAAAGTAGTATAGAGGTAAACAATATTATACGGTTTTCTGAAACATTTATTTTTAGATTGAAGTGTATTGTTTTTTCACCCATAGAAGTTGAATCACGTGTGCGACATCATTTGCTTTGGTGCTTTGTCACCATGTCCGACATGCAAAAATGGTAAACTTCTGTTCCGAAATTCAGTGTATTGTTGCAGTGGCTACGATTCACCATGGACAAAATGTCCGTACTCAACTAAACAACCGCTGCGTGTGTCAATTGAGCTGCCAATAGAATATCAAACAATGTTGACCGTAGATTCTAAAGTTCAGACACGCATTCTGCGAAATGTCACTGAGTTCAATGAAGATGATTTTGAGTAAGTCTTTTTGTTTTGTTTTTTTACTTTTGATTTTGATTGTTTTTTCGCATGATTGAATTATTGAATTATTCGCATGATTTCAGATCATACACCAAACAACCACTATTTAACATGGAATTTTTTATTGTTGGCGACACAAAATACCCAAGAAATGTTATCGAACACAAGATTCGTGCAATGGGCGGTCGACTAGTATCAGAAATGCATTCCCGTCTGGCTGCAGTCTTTTCAAATGAGGATGTTGTGAACAAAGGTGGAGAAGACATAATGCGGGTTTTCATTCTTCGCATCCAAGTCATATCCGATGAATTGCTTGACAGCTTCTTGGAAAACGATCCAATTGAATTGATCGCCAAAAGTGACTTGAGCAAATGGGGTAAAGATGTACGTTTTTTACATATTTTTTCTGCTTTTTTATGTTTTTTTGATTCACTAATGAAGATGCTACATTCTTCGATTTATTTCCCATTTTAGCCATATGAACGGATGCCAGAACAAAAAGACGCTTTTAAGATAACGACGCAAAATCAAACAAACAATACCAATGAAATGGGTTCAATGAAGACGACGGTTTACTGCGAAGGTACTCTACGATACGAAGTCGTGCTGGACTTCGTTGATATCAAAATGAACAAGAACTCGTTTTGTAAATTACAGCTGGTCCAAATATATTCTACAGCTCTGTAAGCATAAAATAAAAATGAAATCGCTCCTGATTCGTGTGGAAAAAATAATGGATTCTTTTTGCAGTTGCTATGTATTTGAGACAAAGGGTCGAATCAGTGCCACTTCATCTGGTTTCACCAATAAAAAGCACACCTCAAGTTTGGAACAGGCAAAGAATTTATTCAAACAAATCTTTTTGGATCTGACTGGCAATGAATTTGGGGCGAGCCATTTTGAAAAGAAACCAGGAAAATACAATCTCGTGAAAATTGATAACGACATTCAAAGTCGTAAAGTTACAAAAAACAATGTGCCGACCAAATTAAGTGCACCCTTATACGAGTTGATGCAATTGCTGTTTGCTGATGAAGTAATGAAAACGACGTTACTCGCATATTGTTTGGTTTTCGATAGTATGCCGCTAGGTAAAATTCCGCCAAGCGAAATCCTAGGCGTCAAAAATCTCTTAGTAGAGATCTCATCGATGCTGAGTTCAGGTAACTCGCATGAAATTATCGGGGCATCGAATCGATTTTATTCGTATTTTCCACACGATTGTGGTTTTCGTCGGCCGCCACTCATTAATTCATATGGAATGGTCCAGCAAAAAATTGAAATGCTACAACGCATCTTAGATAGAGACATAATATATAAAACACTGACAAGTCCATCAAACAAGGAAAGAAACCTTCTCGATGTATGCTATGAACATTTACAAGATTCGGCTGAAATAACAATGCTCAACAAGTCATCGGGAATGTATACACAAATATGTAACTACGTCAATAATACACAATTGCACAACGACCCAACGGCAAACTACGATCCAGGTCCATGCAAAGTAGACGATGTATTTGTAGTGGAACGTCATGAAGAAATCCTGCGGTATCAACCACACGAGGAAAATTTCAACCGCCAACTTTTGTTTCATGGAACACGCATTGAAAATTTGGTTAGCATCCTGACGAGTGGCTTGAAAGTTATAATGCTTGGATCACATTTTTCAGGATCGGCGTTTGGCAAAGGTCAGAATTTACAAAAAAATACTACTTTTAATTTGTTTTTTTTTATATATATAGCAATTTTATTTCTCTTTCTTTTCGCATCAGGTATTTATTTTGCAGATTCAGTAACGAAATCGGCTAGATATTGTCATCCGATCAATAGAACTGGTTTGGTATTGTTGTGTGAAGTTGCTGCCGGCCGAACTGATTTTCGATATGATTTTCAAGTTTCCCAAATGGTTGATCACTGCGAATCGGTTCAGGCCATAGGCATGCATCAACCAGATCCGCTGCACATACGGCCCGATGGTTTGAAAATTCCAAATGGTAAACTCGAGGGGCAAATCACTTAAAAATTACTTATTAATTATTATTGATTGTTTTGCGATTATTCTTCGATTAGTTTCGATTATCGTCATTAATTGTAATATATGTATTACGTATGAGATTGTGACGATGATGGAAATTGACGATGATGGAAATTGAATCTATGTGAAATAAAAAGAGAGAGAGAGTGTGTGTGTGGATGAGTGAGTAAGTGAGTGATAGATGATTGGGAAACCATTAGAATGTAAGAGAAAACATACAAAAGAAACAAAAGTCACAACAGCAAATAAATTGCTGATGAAAAATTGAGATTTGGTAGTAGCAGCGGAGAGAACAACACACAAAGAATCAATGTTGTACACACAATAGCATTGCATCGGAACAACGTCACAACGACGACAACATGGCGACGCAAACGGATAAACGAAAACTGTATCAACAGCAACAAGAAATCACATTCGGGTGAGTTCGTTTGAATACATATTCTACTCTGTTGTCATAATGTCATGTTTTGCATAGTAGCTAATGCATTCGCTGTTCAATATCGGCCACTGTCAACGACAAGGCGATTTGAATGTGTTGGTGCGAGAGTGTATTTGACTGTGACATTTCAAACCAACAAGCCGGCAACAAGTCACATCGTCTTGAACCATCATCAGTGTAAGAACTAAAATTGCTGCGCATAAATTTTCAGTTTGCATTGAAAGTGAAATATTCTCTCGAATTGGAATTTTGTCGGTTTTTCCAAAAAAAGTGTTCGGTAAGTATTATTTTAAAATATAATATTAAACAGAATTTTCGAATTTTTTTACAAAAAATTGACTGCATGCTAGAATTAGATTGAGATAGAGAGAAACACATTGAACACAATACAAAATCATGTTAAATCATGAATTTCATCATTGCGCACATTGGATTACGGGTACCGTTAGCCAATAGTGCGACGCAGTTTCTCATGATTTTTCAAAGCCCACTTTGACTACGATATGCAATTGAATCTTTTTTTAAGTTTTTTTTTCAAATATTTTTTTTTGTTTTCAACATTCATTCATTGGCAGGAACAACAAATCGAACACATCAAATGTCGAAGAAGAATATGGACACATTTTTAGTTCTTACACTGGTAATCGTTCACAAACCGACCACAACGATGTCAGAACCCGGAAAATATGAATACAAAGGATCGGTAAGTTTTTTTGCATTGCATTTTCTTCATTGTGAAATGAATTTTAATTCTATCGTATCGAATTTGTATCGTTCAGTTTCTATTTTGCCCAAACTACGAACCGGTCCGCAATCGTATTCTTTCCGGCAACAGAAGTTAACTTTAGCATAAAGTTAAAGAAATGTATCTGCGGTCGTTCCCGGGGGGGTATGTTTCAATTCGAATCAATTTCATTGCTTTCATTTAATTTCATCTACTGCAATTCATGTTCATTGTTTGTTTTTCTGTTATTGTATGTATCTAGGTAGTGACCAGCAGACCCAGAAGTACTATTCTATAGTAAGCTAGTATTTTTTTTATTCTCTTCCACAGAAATCGACGATTACAACTACCAAATCTCAATTTAAAGCAATTGCTGGACATTAATTTGTTGTGGCTATTGCTTTGCAATTTTTTCATTATATGTTTTCGATTATTTTCGATTATTTTCCGATTACTTATCGATTATTTTAAATTTTATTCTTTTCTTTTGTGATTCTCCCCTTAGGTAAACTTGTCAAACGGACTGTTAAAACACCACTCGTTTTCAATGAATTCGTGCTGTTTGACGAGTCACGAGTGAAAATAAGATATCTGGTCAAATTGAAATTCACCGGACAACAAAGATACAGAAAATGAAAATTGATCGCAATTTTTTTTCCATACTTGAAACTCGTATTCACAGCAATTTGTGAATCTTGAAACTTATGTTTAGCTTCTTATAAGCCAATAATGATAAGAATAAAAAACTCAAAAATATAAAATTAAAAAAAATGGTTTTTTTATTTAAAAATAATTTGAAAGTCATTTTCATTTTGTCAAACCACATAAGTTGCTAAAATGTGAGAATGAGTCAACAATCATTGTATACAAAAAAATTATGACATTTCTGCCGATTTCTGTTCACATTACACCAGAAATATGAATACTTCATTCTGAATGCGCAGTTGATTGTAACGGCGCTATGTATATATAAAAAACGTAAGTCGCTCAGCTAATTCGCATAAGTTGCGAAAAATGCCGAAAACCTTTTCAACATAATGTCATTCGGATTGGTTGTATGTACCAGGTGAGTGTTTCTGTGATTTTGTTTTGCATAAAATATACACAAATGCGAACTCTGAACTAAATTAAACGATTTGTTTAACAAAGAGCATAAAAGACGATTATTTGGAAGCAAGATGGTTTTATGTGCCTTGCTTCTTTTCGATACGTCAACCTGAATCGGAAGACCATTGATGGATTCGCAACCTTAAGATACAAAGATCAAATGGTATTGCGGACATAATTAGGACATAAATAGCAACTCGTATCATTTGATCGTGAATTTCCTCCATTTTGTTGCACATTCTTAACCTCATTTATAAATTAACATCCATTAGGTGGTCATAAAAATGTCCTGCAAACAATGACCGATGATTCGAATTTCTTCACATTGGAAAAACAAATTAAAGAACAAAACGAACAATTCTTCACTACTTATGAAAAACTAGAAAATATGAGGGATGAAGAACTTGTTGAGTTTTTGAATGAAATGCTCCAATTTGTGCCTAGAAGTAGGGTAGAGGTATTGTATTGTTTTCTGAAACATTTATTTTTAGATTGAAGTGTATTGTTCTTTCACCCATAGAAGTTGAATCACGCGTGCGACATCATTTACTTTGGTACATTATCACGTTGTCCGGCATGCGGATTTGGTAAACTAGTGTTCCAAAATTCGATTTTTTTGTACCGGTACGATTCACCATGGACAAAGTGCCAGTATTCAACTAAAGAACCGTTACGCGAGTTAATCGACCTGCCAAACAAATTTCAAAATTTGACGCGCTCAACTATTCAGTATTTGGTAAAGATGAAGGTATTAAATGAGATGCAGATAAGATTCCAGATAAGATTGTATCTATTATCTTATCTTAATCTTAGATTTTTTAACGTTATCTCTTAAGCAGTATCTAGATTCTTTTTAAGACGTCTTCACACTTTTTGAAGCAACCATAAATTTTAACGAATTTGTGGTATTTGACGAGTCACGGGTGAAAATAAGATATCTCGTCAAATTAAGATTCTTATAGCTACTTGCCTTAGTACCTAGAGTTGATCAGAAGAAAAAAATGGAAATTAATCAATAGGTAATGGAACAGAATGGAAAATGAATCGAGGATGGATCAGGAATTGTAGGGTAATGGAATATGAACAAATACATTCACATCTCACGATTTTCTCAGCATTTTTGGCAAGTGAATAAACACATTTATGTAAAAATTCAAGGCAATTTATTTTCGTCTCATTCTCAATAATTCTGTATTTTTTTTTCTCTTGAAATTCTATTGCTCTAAATAAAAATTTAAATTCAATTTAAGTATATAAAGAATTAATGTTGAAATTAATATTATTCAATTTGATTTTGTTGAATTCGTTGTTCGTGCCACTTTTATTTCCAAAGTAAAATCTTAAGATAATTAGGAAGTTCATTTGCCAGACATATCGAATACATCATTTCTTCAGTGCAGCGTGAAATTGTACACGAGCAAATAAAAATAAATTAAATTTTTATTTAAAGCACCCATTTGCATTAAGTAATAAATGATTGGATGGGCCAAAGCACAGCTATCCAATTTCACTAAATTAAATTGTAAATTGGAGTGAAATATGAACACATTCTTTACATAGACAGAAATTATTGCTGTGGAAACGTTCAATATGTCTCTTACTAGGTTCCCAATCCAATTGCACCTAAATACAACTAAATATTGACAAATTTATTTAAAATAAAAGTAACGTGAAATTAACATTGAGAGTTCAAAAATTTTTGCGCTGATTTCTTCCCACATGCTGCTAAAACAGCGCTGTTATTTATGAAAAAGTATGTAAAAGTACTTGATTTTTCATCCTCGACAGAAGGTGGCCAAAAGGTGCCTGTACGAAATTAGTGACAAATTCGTTTGATTAACATTTTGTCCGAAGCACTTTTCCGATGGACAAAATGTTGTCCCTTGCCACCTTTAAAGGTGGCAAATAATTCCATTTTTGTTAACCAGTGGTGTTTGCTATGTACCCGAAAAACTTTTTTCGCCGGATAGAAATAATGGTTATATTCAACACCTCTCAAGCACAAAAAATGATCTTTTGAGGCAAAAAACCACGAGACTATTTTAAACTCCCAAAATAAAAAAAAAAAAATATTTTTCTCTATGGTTTTGCTTATTAGATGAAAACGTAAATTGGTTAAAGGGGAATGAAGTTTTCGGATGAACAAATATCACAATATACAACTATATTCAATTTACATTTCAATTTGAAGACATTCCGAACATTCGAACTTACCAAATTGTCCATGTATTTAGTAGGTTTATGAAAAACAAGTATACATCTCATGAAATTTCGAAGGGAAGACTTATGTACCATAAAAATGTACCAATAAAAACCTTTCATGATCGATTTTTTAAAATAAAATTTTGCTTCTAAGTGATTGTTTGATATCTTTGTTTTTTGAATATGTTTTGTTTTTCTTGATTTTTAAGTACGACATTTTGATGTATTGGAATTTGAGTGGGTCAAACGCAATTGCTATTATTGTCGAATTGTTCGGATGTTGTTGTTTGATGCCAACAAGTTGATTAAAATAAAAGTTCAATCATTATTTCTTTGCCATTGTCTCATATTAATTAACACTGGGGAAAACATAAAATTGTGATCAGCATGTTTGTTTTTTTAAATACAAGTTCGTATCAGTCATGGCCATTTTCCCCATATTATTTATGTCTAAAACTGTCTGTTCGACTGTAATAGTACTTTAGAAATTAGATAACAACGTCAAATTGTGAGTATAAATAAATATTCTGAACTTGATCAAATCAACACAAGTCTTACACCAAAGGAAAAACAACGCTCAAAAGTAATGCTGATATGAAAAATTTTTGGCCAAATATTAATCGCCCCTTTTCGTCAACAACTTTCAAGCGAGTTCCTTTTTGTCTTACACATCTTTTTTTTTATACAAAATCAACCGGAATTATTAAAATCTAAATATAAGAAATTGTGCATCGTTTTTGTTAATATTTTTTTCTACAATTCTTAGCATCTAATTTCAATAATAATTTGCTTAAATTGAAGTCCAATACAGTAATCTATGTACATTCCGGTCGGTCAATTGATTTTCTTCTTCTCCTATTTGATTATTATGCTAATGCAAGCACATTACCAATTTAAAAAAAAAAAAAACGAAGATCGAATTTAAATGATGACCTACAGCACTAGTGTCTTTATAAAATTTAAATAAACCCTAAAATGGATTGCTACGAGTTGAGACATTTTCAATGCTTCCCGATTTTTCGACAGATGATGATGACGATGACGATGAATTATCTATGCAATCGGCATCACAACTATTGTTCATACTCGATCGCTGTGTAATGGTTTTAACGGCCAATGATAGAAGTTCCGTGTCAAATGTGTTTGTTCTTTTGAAAGGTTTTCTTTCCAAACGGGAAGCGCAATTTTCGTCGGTGCTTCTTGAGCTCGTCATCGATGCTCGACGAATCGGTTGAATTGTCGTCCAATTGTTGTTGAGACTCGAAAGACTTTGGTTGGTTATCGCAGTGTTGGTATTGGTTCGATAAAGAGTTTGATGTCGCGGGCTCCACGGGGACCAAGTCTTTAGAAAAATTCGTTTTGGAAAAACATTAAATAAAATTTGAAAAAAAAGCGAAATGAAATAAAAACAAACCTGCGCTTTGAGACCTGAGGAGATGGTTGTAGACGACGCTGAAAAAAGTGAACAACAAAATGAATGAGTACGCAATTAAAATTCTAATTAAATCAACATACAATGAATTTTCTACAATTTGAGAATTGATTTGATTTGATACGTTTCGTTCTATTAGTTACGATGAATCAACTTGAGATGAACCTATGATTAGTTACAAGTACTTTTCTACTTAATTCTACGCACAAAAACCTATGAAATTATTGTTATTGGTTTTTCATTCAATGAAAATGGCGTTCGTCTCTGTAGTGCATGCACGACAATTGTGCAGGAAAAATCAGAGTCCTAATCAATTTTGTTTTGTATAAAATGCTTGGTTATTCGAAAATGATCATCGCTGATTGCATTGACTTAAATATTTACATTTACATTGATTGCGTAACCAATAAAGACAATTTCTTACGGTTTGTTTTGTTTTCTTTTACTGTCTAGTTTCCCTTGTTAAACAAAGGTCATTGCGCAGCACGTACGCACTTTAAATCGGTGTTTGATTGCGCTGATTTCTGGCAGAAAATTAAAACACATTATGAACAATTTCAATGAAACACTTAAAATAACAACAAACAATGACACAAAATAAAACGAGCAGTTTTGGCATCCATCAGCAGGCAAGTCGGCCACAAAATTCCTTGTAGATCTTAAGGGAGGAATAAAATATACATGCAAGCCCAATGAGAACAAAGCCCCAAAAATGTCAAAATGCATGGAAATAACCCAGTCGAAAAGTCCAGCCACCATAACCCATCACCACTAAAACACGTTAAAATTCTTTTTTTTTTAAATGGGATGGGAATTCATCGGTTTTAAGGAGATTCAGGGGTAAAAAAGGTTAAAAATAAAAATAAAAATGACATCAAAATCGAAATTGATTTTAATAAATCAAAATGTACACAAAAAAAATAATAATAAATAAACACAAAACATAAACGGGAAATATTTCGAAAAAGAATACAAACATAAAACACAAAAAATAATAACAGAAAAAAAAGTAAAATAAAAACAAACCTTTGCTGTGAATTGGTACGTCTTGGTGGTGGCATTGGTGTCGTTCGATTCGTGATTATACCACTAGAAACAAGTGATGATTTCTTGTTGCGCGGCAACGGTGCCACCTTATCTTGTGACAGGGAAAATGTACTTTGACGATTTTCCTCTTTGACCATTGTCAAATTGCTTCATGGAAGAAACAAAATTTAATAAAAAAAAATCGAATCGATAGAAACAAATTACAAGAAAAAAACAAAACTGGGATAAATTAATTGGCGGCAGGAAAGAGGAAAAAAAATGTTCAGAACAAGAGTTGATTAAATCGACGACGACGAGGACGAATCAATCTTGTGGAAACTAACCTTTCGCTTGAGATTGAAGGTGTTGCAAGTGTGGTTACACTGTGAGCCGACGTTAAATTTGAAGCATTATTTGAATTGGATACGACGGCGATGTTATTGTTTGATTGTGCTGATGTTATGCTATTATTTAACTGTGGCACTGATTGCGTTGTGACAACTGGTGCCTGGTTCAAATAATCGCCACTTCCAATCATAAAAATTGTCGACTGAGAATCTCCACCACCATCGTCACTGGCGGACGAATCATCGCGCGCATATCGACCATGATTGTCTATGAAGCCTGAATTGAATATACAATGGATACAAAAACGATGAAGACAACTTGTTACAGTGACACATTTACACAAAATATATACTTTGATCGATATTTCACAACTGATGAACCGCAGGCCCTACATAATTTACATGCTACAATATATTCATTGGACGCATTCATCATGCAACTCCATGTACTTAACTAAACTACGTTGAAAGGCACTGATATTTTTTTTCTATTTTGATAGGTTTTTCTCGCAAACATGCAGCCATGAATTATTTCTAAAGCCGAAGTCGTAATGGTTATAAGCTATTTGTGTTAGTAAGGTGTAGTATTTTCTTGTGTTTGCTCGAATGTAAATACACATGTAAAACAGTGAAATGTAGTTTTTGATTATGATGACCAGTTATGGCGTATGTATCGTGCAATGTATTCAAATGTATATCAAAGATAACAAAAACGATGCTCAATGATTTGACCCTGTAGCCATTTTAATACAATTGTGTTCAGTGAACGGTGTATGCGTACATGCGAACAAAAGCTTAACAAGTACACAAATCTAATGTGCATACACATTGAAAAGTGTGTATTTGATCACTTCTGCTTCGTATTTGTAGTACACAGTTCAGAGACTATTTTTTAAAGATATTTTGTGACTTGGATTCGATACCAGCAACCAATATAAATATTTAGATACCAAATGTGTGAATTGGTAGTTCAAATTTGAAATTGCAGTGACGGTGCTTACCTCGCTGACATTTTTTTTATTTTAAAATATCATAAGATTTGCGTTTTGGTTAGAAAAATTTTTAAAAAACCCAAAAATCAGTTCACATTTTATTCGCCCCATTTACATCAAAGCCATAATATTTCGATATCAGCCTTCCCCAACATACACAAAAGCCATACAGAAAAATCAACCCACGAAGCATCTTTATCGAGACTTCTATGCTGGAATGATTTACAGAACATCCCATAAAGCAACTGATATGAATGAATAATTTTGAAAAAATCTACATCGCAATTATTTAAATAAAACGGCATAATCTGATAGAAAATGAAAAAAAATACGTCTACACTACGGTTCGCTACAATTGATGTGCTATATAAATGTTCTATCTACGAAATAATTAAAACTACAAATAAAAGAGAAAAGAATCATTTTCAAAAAAATATTTTACATTTATGTATTGTCGTAATAAAAATGTTTATGAGTTTGAATACAAGTCTTTTTTTTCGCTTAAATCGATAAAAAGCAGAGCAATAAAAATTAGTAAAAACTTTGTTTGAAAATTCAACTAAATTCCAATTCATATTGTTTGATAACATCGATTGCATTCAAGAAAAAAACATTTTTTTAAAATTTTGCTTGTTCGGGTTATGATATCACATAAGTGAATGATCGAAAAAAAATAATATTTATTGAGCCCCATTCGATTTTTGGCATTTCCGTTAAGTCCATTGCTTCAATCGGTTTTAAGTACTGCTGAGTGTGTTTATTTTATGTTTGTTCATTTCGTCGACTAAGTCAATAGCAGTATTTGGATTCGTAAAGAAGACGATCAGTAAGGAAGTTGGGTGAACGTGCTGTCAAAAATACTGCGTTATTTAATTTTGAACAGTATAGGGAGCAAAACGAAAAGCGACACACTTTTTTTTTGGGAACATTGAAATACAATCGACACGTATTAATGATGTTTCATTTTGTTTGTCATGTTAGTAAACAATGGAAGTGACACATAAAATGGTAGTGTTGGTATGACTCTTGTATCATTTTTGTGCTTCCGCGCTAATTAAATTTCATTTTTCGGGGCGATTCTTTTAAAATAATTTTTGTCTACTCCACCAATATTATTCCCCGAACGATAAAATTTATCTGATAAATAGCTCTAATTACATCTAAACTAAAATACTAAATTAGCAAATATAAAATAAAGAATCGAAAAAAAAATGTCCAAGACACGGTCAATAGGTTGATAAATACAAATTTCACGCTAAAAATATTAAAATTATTGTTTTAAAATTTAAAAGGAATTGTTGGTTTCTGGGAATATTTCAAGGGGGTGATGTACATAACAAATGCATGTCATGAAAATTCAGCAAAAGAGATTCACTTAATGTTATTGTTTTTATCGATTAATTTGAAAGCTATTTCAAAATCAAAAATAATCTATTGTACACACCAAATTAACTTTTAATCAAAAAATCAAAACGAAAAAGAACCAAAAATGAAAAAAAAATGTGGATAAACGGAATAATTCATTTCTTAAAATCGATAAAATTAATTAAATTAATTGTAATGTTTGATGTTTTTTTATCGCTTAAATGTAGAGTTCACTGGTTTATTAAATGAAAACCAAAAATCATTCTTATCAAATGCAAGGAACACCCCTTAATTATAATGTTCGCGTTTTAATTGTTGTATGTGTGGTGTGCGTGTGTGTATGTAACACATTATATGATCGGCTATCCGCATTTACAATCACACTGATATTTTTTTTTCGTTTCGGTCATTATTCGGAGGAAAACATAGAAAAGTTGTCAAAGTTGTGATGCTTACCTTGAACCGATTCATCATCTAATTCATCTTGGCTTCCTGAAATTCGTGCTGTTTGAAAGAAAAGTAAAAAAAAAATATATTTATTATTTAATGAAACTCTCCTATTGAATGAATGAAAAAACCACGAAAATGAACTTACATCGTAGCGATTTGCCAGCTCCGTTACGATTGTATAGTACACTCTCTAGATAGGCAATACCATTATTGTTGACAATGCCAAAACCCAATAGCATTTCAATTTGTCTCCAACGGTGTAACCGTTCTTGCAGTTCATTGGTCACTTCACTCAGCGCATTTCTCGCCTCAACGATGCTGCGATCGACATCATCGATGCTTTTACCGTGCGTTGACACAAATGCACCCACCAAACTGCTACGTTTCCGTTTCAATTTTTCACACGCGTCTCGGGCGACTTGTAATTGCTTTTCGGCCATAACACGTTTTTTAAGTGTGTGTTTACTTTCGAGTTCATAAGTTAACTGAAGCCACGACTGTAAGGCTGGCGGTGGTGTCCAACAATGATCAACCAACTCCACTTCGGCACGTGACAATTCGGAACGTAACATTTCTATTTCGGCTTTCAATTGCTGCACTTCCAAATCTGAACTGGACGATGACAGCGATGGTGCTTCTTTGAGACGACGTTCTAAGTCCAGCTTTTCAGTCGCTACGTTTTCTTGCTCTAAACGGGCTTGCTCTAATTCCTGTTTGGATGAAAAATAATATAATTTTATTAATTGAGTCAAAATTATGGCGTAAGCTGCCGATGAATTGGTAATTCACTTTTTGCATATCTGCCAGTGCTATTTCTGCTTTTTGCAATCCTTCCATATCTTTGGCCATGCGCCGCAAATGACGTTTGGCACTTTTATTTTGTTGATAGGCGTACCAACAACCAATAATTGCACTTAATAACAATGTCACCAAAATATAATCCTTCCAGCGAGTTCCAGTTTCTGTAAGGGTAGTTTATGGAAATCATCAAAATTTCATGGCAAAAAATTGATATTTAAAAATTTTTAGAAAAAAAAAAAAAAAAATTTCAAAAAGTAAAGCCTCTTTATATATTGAAAATTAAGTAAAACACCATTAAATTTGAGTCAACTAATAATAGAAAATAGAAAAAAAAAAGCCTCTTTGTTCCTTACCTCTTGGTGGACCGAAAAGTACAACATCCATAGCCTTGAGGGCAATCTTTTGCTTATGTATTGGATCACGAATGCCTAGGATATTGCTAACATAGTGCATATTATGTACTGCAAGTCTGAAATTAAGAAAATTCAATCCATTACTTCGATGCAAAAAAAAAGCATTGATTGACATTCAAAATACACAAACACTCCACATTTCTAGTAAATAGTTAGCGATTGAACATAAAACACGATAAACTGAGACTGACAAAATGTCATCAAACGCAGGTGATCTGAAAATTTTCCGCTTGTTTTATTGCAAAAGCAATAATTAAATTACATAAAAATTAAAGTGATTCATCATTTGGGAATATTTGGATGCACAAAATGGATGTTGAAAGAAAGTTGGAAAAAAGGGAAAAAATGCACGAAACACAAATGGTGTGAACAGCAGTGTAGCTTGACCAAACAATGAAATTACAACTTTGTGAAAGGTGTATTTGAACAGCTGAGAGCTTCAAAAATCGATGATTATCAAAATCAATGTCAAAGATGGTTCCTCGTATGTCAAAGTTGTACGTAAATTGAATTATACATTTGTTTGCCATCCAAAAGTGATGGAATGGTGTTTTGGTTCCGGACCGTTTTAATTAGATTAAAACTAAACTTACCTTGGCAATGTTTGACCGTTTACTTTGTGTTTTTGGAATATTTCAACATACTGCGGCAATTGAACACTTTCGGCTAACCAATCCGTTGTTTGTTCAACCGTCCAATTGTGTACCTAATGCGTAATGGGAACAAGACCACAAATCAATCAAAATTCAGAATCACAGTAACGAAAAACCTGATATCGGTATTATTTGTATATTTACCTCAGACCGCAGCCAAGCTTCCCACAACTCCTTCACAGAGATCTGTGTGTCATCGTTGTAATGAAAGGTTTTATGTCTTTTTTCATAACCTGAATCGTATTTCAGTTCTTCGCGCAGGAACTAAAACCAAAAAAATAATCCACACATATATTGAAATGCAAATAAAATTTGACGTGAAACAAAACAAATCGATCAGTTCAAAAGTGGACTTTAAATGAATCAGAGAAGATGTACTTAAACGAAGTCACAGCGTCGACTTGCAAAATACCACTGAATAAAATAACATGGAAAATAGATAAAAATTGACGGACAACTAATCGTCTCACGGAAGCAAAACTATGCAACAAAAACTCGTTTACTAATTATTTGGTACACTTAAACACTTTTGTTTATATTTTCAATATTTCTCACCGTTGACGGATGATAACGTACAGAAAAAGTGAATTGAATGCCACCATGTGACGTTTTCTATTTTGTCCCGCCTGACTAATTAAGAGAGCGATTCAAACGTTACTACGATATATAATTTAAGCGGCCCATAAAAAAAAGAGTACCAATTTCGATTTGAAAAAAGATTTTAAATCGTGCATTGGCCGTGTGCGAATTTTATCATCTCAAATTATCAGTAATTTTGATTTATTGTTGCTCATAATTTTAATAAAATTTCCGTTTGCAGTAAAAAATGTGATTCACAAATCAATTGAGCAATAATTGAAATTAGTTGTTTGGATACATTTTTAATGTAGCAAATTAATCGTGGCCAACCAGATTTGTAGGTGATGTAAAAACGCATGCGCCACAACAATTTAAATATTATTTACTTTAGCATGGTCTCATGAATCAATTTGCGAACGCGTTTTTGCACTGTGCAAAGTAGCAAAAAAACTTTTTGATTACTTTTTCTGATTGCATTTTAATAATAACCATTGAATCTACATCAATTGATGCTAACAATGATAATAACTACCCACTGTATGACTGGACATTTTATTACGTTGCTTAAATGTACCAATTTTTTAATTTGCTTTGCAGCGTAAATCAAATGAGTGAATGTGTCACCTGTGTTCGACACAAATGTTCATTTATTAGTATTAAAACTCGTACATTTTATGAGATTTTTTTTCGACGTCAAATCAAAAACGTGCAAAATTCTAAATATTTCCATTCATCATTGTTTTTTTTTTGTTGTTGAATTCGTTTGATTAGATTGGCGCTCATCGGTAATGGTAGGTTTTGAGCTGAGAGAAAAAAAATATGCTGTTGATAAACGTGAATATTGGGCATTTTAATTCAAATTCGGGTATTTTTTTTTAATAACAGGCTGCTATCGAGGGGCGTTCAAAAGTTACACAAAAACATCGAAGAATGTTGCTTTTTTACACGTTTCACAGAGGAATCGTGCAAAGGTGAAAGAAAAGTCGATAAGAGATAAGTCACATCGTTTACATTCACTTGACATGTCAGAATCGTACGAAGCTTTCGATGCAAATGAATCAGTCACGCTTAAAATGTATTGAAAATTATCGTTTAATAACAACAGCTTTATTGGATATTCTTTCTGCTTTTACGTCAAAATTGCGAATCTACGTCAAGAAAAAATCCATAAAGTCATACACATACCTTAATTTGACAATTGAACAGATAATAAAAAAAATGAGATCAATTCTACCGCAAACAAAAGCGAGTCACGATTCCAATTGGAACAAAGCGAAACAGTAAATTTTCAAAATCAAATACGATCCGCAACAATGTCGTTATCAAATTGTAAATATTGGCAAAAATATTCAGCGATAAAATGATTAGCTTTCAAATATTGATTTTTTCAACAAAAGAATGTTTGAATTTGGTGATGACGTAATTAACGCGAAATGACTCAATTGGATCGATAGCACGACATCGACTTTTTTCTAAATAAAGTTTTCGTGAAATTCAGTATCAAAGAAATGACAATCCAAAAAAATTATTTTAAGAAAATGGCACCGAATCCGTCCATTTTTCAATTCTGACTGGGATTTCTGCGAGTGAAACGATGATCTTAAATCATTTGCTTCGAATGTTTTTTTTTGTGAATAATAATTTGAAAGGTATTTTTGGGAACTCATTTTTGCAAATAGACAAGTGCTCTCAAAATACCAATTAAAATCAAAGATTTTTGGACCATTTGAAATTTACGTACGTCAACGGCTCAAATGGCCGCAAACACAAGTGGAATTCAAATTTTTCACATGATGCTAATAATTTACATGTCGTGCCGTTGCCACTAATGAGTTTTAAGTACTTTTCTGATTCTAAATTGGTCATAAATTCCATTGAACTAAACGAAAGAAAAGCGTAGAGAATGAAGTTAAATGTCTCACATCATCTGATTCAGATAGATCAATGTTGCCGTTTTCATCGTCGTCGAGTTGTTGATGCAACGATCGAATGGCTTCCATACCGAGACGATCATGTTCGGCACATTCAACATCTTCTGCCAAACATGCTCCATCTGCTGAACCGCTGACGCCAGACCCGCCTAAAAAGAAACAAAAACTCAGACAATTAAATAAACCCGAACGAGTTGCAACACGTATAAATACAATATTTTTATTACATGATAGAGAAAGAGAGAGAAATCTTTTATTTTTCTTTTAAAAAGTGTCAGCCAGCAATTTCAGTAATTGATTTCAAAGAAAATTAAAATAAAAACGAACTTACTAAAGGCCAATATACATACTTGTTTATTTCACACTCGTGAAATGCGAATTGAATTTACCCGTAAGCTGTATTTTGGCTTTGAACGAACAAAAACTATGCACGTATTTGTGTATTGAATTCAATTGATCGACATATGGCTTTTTAGCATAAACACAATGTTGCAGCATTGGCAATTGCCAGACATTCTTGATTGTGAATGAGATAAAAAGAGAATCAATTTCGTTTGGAGCAAAAAGTAAACAAATCTTAATCGAATGGAATTCCGTGAATCAATGTTGTCATATTTTATTGATTTATGTTAAGTGTTCGACTGGAAAAAATTAAAAAAATCTTCTCTTATTGCTTTAAGCGACTCTAAGAGCAATTTTTTATTTTGACGTTGACAAACAAAGCTCATTTGTATATACGGATACGCTCTGCATGGTTGCTATAGTTATTATTTCCTATTTTTGACCATACGCACAACGGTTGATTGATGTCAAGTCAGCATATCATCATTTTCAATTTATTGTCGAACCATCTCAAGTAACACTTGAGTATTCCATGGATTGTGCGTTCGTTCTTTTTTCCTCTGTGTCATCATACTGATTTGTATAGTGACAAAACAGGTTTTTTTTTATTGTTGCCAAATGCCATTTATCAAAAACAAGCGGCAATTTATTTGGCACGTTCTGAACTAAAGTAAAATAAGCAAATGGCACATGAATACGTGAAGTTGTGCCTAACTCATTTTTTTTTCTCATAAAACGTCAACTTGATTTTCGCATTTGTGTGAGTGTGTGTTGATTTTTGGATAGGAATTTTTCTGACTTTAAATAGAACTTGAATCTATTTAAGAAATACGTATTTGAATAGAGGTTACCAAGGTCAAATACAAAAATTAAGCGGAAAATATTCCAAAGAAGAACTGATTTTGTTTGTTTGTTTTTAAATAAGCCGAATGATACGCAGCGTAATCACCGCAAATGCGAATTTGATTTTGCATGGACAGAACGAAAATAACTTTTATCATTTCGTATGAATAATTTTAGTTTGAATCAGATAAACATATTCTTCGGACTAATAAAAGTTTCCTACTCGCATAAATGTCGCGAAGAATATTCAAAGATGACCATCTTCATATAGAATGTAAATCTTTATTTGACATTTACCATGGCTTTCGTTTGGCTCGTTCTCATATGAAATGTATCTGATGACAGTGATGCGAAATTACATTTTAAAAATAATACTTTACATACATTTGTCGCAACGAAAACATTTTCATAATAAAATACATACATCAATTTTCATTGCTTATGCATTCAAAGCGGTTAATTTTGAATCGCGATTCCATTTAATTTTTAAATGTCAATGGACTTTTATACGTTTTCTTTTGTTTTCGCAAATAATAGATCACGTTTCTGTCTATCTTTCTACTATCTTCTTATTCAAATAAATCCTGTTTTAATTGCACCGCACTTCAACGTGGTGCGGTAAATCAAAAGAGTGTCACTGCTGTTTTTTTTTTTGCTGAAATAACATTTTTCATTGTTGCATTTTCTCTTGTTTAATTTCACTATTAAGTTCAAGTGCACAAAAGAAGCGAAGAAAAAAATCAAAACAAACAACATTTGTACACAAAAGACAACGAGAAAAAAATCGTTCGAATATTTACATTTTTTTCGTATAAAAATAAATGCGGTAGTGTTTGATTTGACTTATATGTAATGAGGACAATTTATGTAATAAACAATTGGGTTTATCTGGACCGCATTTTGATACGAGACGTAGATAAAAAAACACTTTTATATGAACTAGGCCGTGAAATTAGATACGTTTGTAATACGATTTCAGTGCAGGCAATCTATTCAATGCAATAAGTTTTAGTGTTTACACTGACGAACAAGTGTGACAACGACACAATTACGAATATTGTTTGTTGGATTTGAGCACGAGACCAGTCATATTCGTAACAATGTAATGTGTTTGTTGTCATCTTATCAAAGCAGCTGATTATACTCCAATGAAGCACTTTTCATTTCTATATTATTATGTCATAATAGAAAACGAGGCATATTGGAAAAGAAGTGACATTTCGATTCGTAGAATTCCAGAAACGCCAGCTTCTGGTAAGCTTTACATATGCGCGTTCGTTCTAAAATAGAAATTTTTATAGAATAACTTTTTCCCCTTGACAACCATCAAAAATACATATAAACTTCGACTTAATCACCTTTTTTAAGCGTTTTAGTTTAAATTCAACATTGGCTAATTTCAAGAAAAAAAAATCCGCACTAGTTTGTGATTCATATGTTTCAAACACGTGACAAACGTGTTGTTCACCTCGTGAATGCTTATATGACTCTTAAGAGATTATAATATAAATTACCTCTCTAGATACAGCCTATCGAAGTTCTGTGTTTATAAAACAACGTTTGACACATACATGTCATTTATTGTGCATTTCAAGTTCGATAAACGTCCTTTGGCTTCACAATCACATAAATCGAGTCGCGTAAAGCGAAAAAGAAAGAATGATATCTCACGAGATTTGTGACTCATTTTATGTTCGAAACAAGTATGTTTGAGCTAGATTTTAGACACATTGATGAAATTTGTACTAATAAAAAAAAGTTCGTTAAATAATAACATCCGGGCATATTTTCCGAAAATATCTCAAACGCAATGGATTCTACCGTAATAAAGTCGCCATTTTATTGTAAGCCTTTAATTTTTCATTTAAAAAACATAAAATCAGTATTTTAAATGAGATATAAATCGCGATTCGACACACGAATGTTCTAAGTCAGTGCTTGGTCGATTGTAATTTTCATTAACATTTGACTACAATACACTTGCATTGTACACGAAAAAAAAATAGCGCTAACAATAAAGAATAATACATCCGTGTTGAATATATACGTTTAATTATTGGTGCTATCGCAAGTCTGGCGTGTGTATATACTCTCCCATTGAAACCAATTCGAGGAAGTAAAACACGAACCCACGAACGATAAATATAAGCAATAGAAGCGAAAAGAGAGCGAAAAAAAATATACATCGTGATCGCATGATCATTATGAGATTCGGTTTACGTTTCTCTTGAAATGTGAGCTGATTTGGCACACAAGCATCATCTGAGCGAGCCATAATTTGTGATTATTTTAATTTAGACGAATTACGTTCACATTGTACTGTACACGTTTCGATGAATTTCGATCATTTGAGGTGATCTCTCTCATTAATGAGCCGTCGACGACGAACTAAGAAAAAAATAACAATCTCAATCTAATATGCCTTTTCGTGAACAGATTTTTCGGATAGTCTCAAATAGCCGTATGCATTGATGTGTTCAGTGTCTGAATAATTATTTTATATTCGAATACAAACAATCATTCGTTTTACACTCATTTTCAACTACCGCTTTTAGTAGAAAAAAAAACGAACAACAATTATTAACACATTTACATTGATCAGAAGCAACGACAAACAGGTGAAACGGAACAAAAACAAAACATATATGAAAATTAAACATCGTTGTGAAAACAATGCCGTTTTTTCGCTATATATCGCGTGGCCATTGCATAGAATAGTTGATTGAATAAATCAAATGAATCGAATCATTTGCAAATCATGGTGACATTTTTTTTATTTCTGACCGTTTTTGTATTCTATATGTATTACATATATACAATTTTGAATGTATGAAAATAAAAATCACATCTTCGTATATCTTACCTCTTGCTCGCTCCCAAAGGAACTTCAATACAATAACAGCCGAAGCTGAGATGCAAAGTTATCTCTTTATTTTCATCCACTCACATTACATGCACAATTGCAATGATTTCATCGCTTTTATTGCATTCAAATTGGATGTTCGTTGGAGCAAATAAAGTTAAATTGATTTTCATATCATAAATTGATCAATTTATAACGAACTGTTTTATTTTGTGTCTTTATCAAAGCTCTTGTTTTTATTAAGCAAATATTCAAGTTGGCAATTTATTTACACAGTTAGGGAAATAAAAACACAGAAGGCGCAGTTCTTTTTTTTTCTCGATCACAACCGAACCTCCCAAACTATTTGACAAATTTGTTTTTATGCCTTGAATTTTTGTTTTACTCGTTAAAGTACATTTTTTTTCTCTCAATCGCAATACGAGAGTTTTGTTGTTTTCGGCGTTGTTTTCAAGTTTAATTAAAAACATTACACACGTACTTAGCAACAAACGAATAAATTTTCAGTGTCATTAATAGATCGATGGAATGACTTTTAAGTGGTTTCATTTAAAGAATAATTACTGGTGCAAATTGTTCATTTTATTCAAATATTGAATATGTATATGCGATATGAGCGTAAACACACACGTTTCGGTTCAATCACGAGATTAGTTTCGTTCATAAAGAATTTCGATTAAAAAGATTGCAAAAATCAATTCGAGGATGGAATTTTTTTTTTTTTTGGAATGCAAATTCAGTTCTCGTGCACACAAAACATATAGATTGTTTTATGAGATTGGAAAAATTCTTTTGAATCATGTTAACCTTGAATATCGGCGAATTTCACGAGTCATAAAGTTCAATATCAAAGGAGTAATTTTCAGCGCGAGTAATTTTAATCATTTTTTCTTAAATACTTATTTAACACTGATTTTGCCTAGGGGGAAATGACTCGTTGTAAGTTCATAAGTATCTGTAAGTTTCACAAGTTCGCGTAAGTTCTCTTGAGTTCTATATACATTTTTGTAAGTTCGTCCAAGTTTTACGTAAGTTCCTACAGATTACTAGTAAGTTTTTCAACGTCAATTGAAAATTGCAGAATGTTGTAAATGGTAATAAATGTTAGTCATGTTGAATCAGATAGAAAATAATTTGTATAAATATGTCGAGCAGGTTTTCAATGAAAAAATACAAAGAAATATAAGTTCGTCTAATTAGACGTCACTTTTGAAAGAGTCGGTTTTAATAGTGAATAATCAGTAATAAGTATGAGTGTTGAGAGCGATGCTTCAATATCAAAATCAGGTCTTTTAAGGATGATATCCAATTTACTAATTGGACTGGTATTTTATTTTAAATAACGTTCTACTTTTTTATTCAAATTATTTGCAGCGTGAGATGTAATTAAAAAAAAGTTGACCAGTGTTGTGTCATTTGACTACTACATGTGCGACTGTTTCGGCATGTTGACGCATATCGAATTTACAGCAGTGTGTTAATGTATATGGACAAAGCGTAAGTTCGTAAAAATTCTCATAAGTAGCGTGCGATTTCATAAGTTCGTCTAAGTTTTGGTAAGTTTTTCGTACAATTCTATAGGTTTCGTCGAACTTATAAGTAGTCATTTTCCCCTAGGATTTTGCAGCCTTTCGTTTTAGATGTGGGAATTAAATATCAAAGAAATTCCACGATTTTCTGTTTGACTGTGAAAACAATTTGCTATGAGTCGAAGCGAAAAAAAATGGTGAAAAGCATGATTAACACCCATTATTTAATGTACTGTATAGAAATTCCGAATTTCGAATAAATTTCGATCGTTATAGATAACAGCTCGATCTTTCATGCACTTGTTTCGCAGTTTCTGGCAATAAATACCTTTCGCATCATTTAATCACAATGTTTGCCAGCATTTAAACCAATAAATTTTCAATTGAATTCAATTTAATGGAAGGCAAAAAACATTGACAGCTGCAGCTGGGGGGGAAATTAGTTGAATTTAGTTTCGTGGCCACTTTAGAAAGGAGAATATTTGATTGCCGAATCCGCCCGTTATTACTTTTCAATAATAATTGATTAATTGGCAATAGATCTTTGATGTCGACCATGGATTTGTGTCATGCATCATTGGAGCGGTCAATCACGTTTGCCGCTGTGTGGTACTCTTATGCTGAATCTGTTGTTGCTCTCCGCCTCTGAAATGGTGTGCCCAGATTCTTAATGCAGAAAATAAAAACAAGTGGTGTTCAATGTGTGATGTGCCGGAATTTTCAGTGGGTGTTAACTGTAATGTAGGCTTTATTCGACACAATGGAAATAGAGTGTTTTTCATGCTCGCTTTTTCTATCATTTCACTCGCGCGACACTGAAATATATTACAACAAATGGGCTCACATGTTTGTGATCGAAATTTAAGTACGAATTTATCATATGTGCTTGCCGATTTGTGAGGTGATCGTGTTCGTTTGCCATTCGCTGAATGATGGATAGCGATACATAGTATCATTAAATGAACTAGTTGGCCACATGCCAATGCATGAGATGACTAAATAATTCGAAGTCAACACTGGCGGAAGAAATATACACAAGCCCGAAAATGATTGTTTAATGCTAAATGATTTTTGGCATGCCGACGATGACAAACAATGAGTTAGAAGAGAAAAAAATCACACATACACATTTGATTCGCTTCGTTTTCCGGCAACCGACGAATTCTTGATTACCCGAAAATATTTTTAATGGGCTATGCAGTGTGCTATGATTTTGTAATGATTTGCAGTTAACCGAACCCGCTTATGTATATATACGCTCAACAAGAAAAGCCGTTCGACCACTTAGGAATTCCAATGGAAAACCTGTCATCACATGCTTCATCGTTTTATGATTTCCTAATCAATTCGACCGGTCGTAACAGGCTACATGATTTTACACTTGACTTATCACGTACACGCATATCTATTCAATCACTGAAATAAACGCAGTACATAAACAGTAATTCAACAGATAATTTTTGCGAAAATTTTACTCTCTCTCTCTCTCTTTTTCAAAGATAGAGAAAAAATTGTTGTTCAGGGTCAAAGTACATAATGAATGGAAATAAAAATGGCACACACGAAAAAAAAAAACAACAATTTCCAAAGATAGAGAGAATGAAATGGAAAAAAACAAATCTATTCAAAGTCAATATTGCGTTTTGTCAGGTTGTTTGGCGGACAATTAAAAAAGCGGGAACTATTTAGTGCAATATTTTTGTTTGTTTGTTCGAACAATTAGATATTCAATCGATTCATTAGTTAATTCACGAGCAATTCAATCAAATATATATAAAAAAAAGAAAAAAACGTGACCATTTTCAAAACATCGCTATAAATCATATGACAGGCAAATATGAAAGACAGAGAAGTGTATATAGATGTAGTAGGTAGGTATGTATGTAGGTAGGTAGTTATCTGTGTTGTAAGAATGTGTGTCGATCGGATTTGTTTAGCCTTTTGTTAGTACGGCCAATTCAATTGAATCAAGAATACAAATACTCATTCAAATACACAGTTCTCATGTTACAGCTTCGAAAAAAGAAGAATTAACAACAACAACAAAAACAACAAAAACAAATTTAAAATCCATGGACTCATACGATTGCATATCCTCATACGTAATAGGAATGGTATGTTGTAATTTGCGATTTGGTTGCAGCGATTTAGCACGCACAGACAATCGGATCAATGTGTGTCGTGTGTTTAGAAATAGAACAAATGAAACGAATTCTCTTATATTTGTTTGTCTTGTTGCTGTGTATCGCTATGATATGATCACTTACTGAATTCATGGCTAACTGCTTCTGACATTGCTTTGCTTAGCATCGTGTAGGAATTACCGTGATGCTGTTGTTGGTGATGATGCGGCGTCGGCACTTTCGGCACTGTTCCGCCCGATTGTGATGACGGCGATGGCGATTTATAATGTGAATATTGTGGATTACTATTACTTTGATGATGGAATTGGGATGATTGGGGCATATCGACATTTGCCTGACTGACCGTAATCAGACTACAAAATACAATCGCCAAACATCTGCTCTGTAATAATACCGACAAATACATTTTTTTTAAATATTTTTCGATCACGCGAGCATCGACTGCGATTTCTCAACTTTTCTGTTGATTTGCTATATATATACACGGTTATTTTATGGAAAGATATCTTTTCCACATGCAAATGTGATACGCAAAGATCGACGGAATTTTTTTGTTGTCGTTCGAACACTTGTTTTTTTTTTTTCCTTTCAAACACTTTTTTTTGTTCTATTGTTTTTTTTAAACTCCAATTTCACTTGAAATTGTAGCCGAAACACTGTTTTTTCAACACATATTTCACTTGCACTAAGTGAACTTCAATGCTGCTCCCTCAAAATACCAATATTATTGGCGATTCATTGAAAAATGATGGCAATTGAAAATATCTCGTGTTGCCGATACTCAATGAATACTCTTGATTCTTTCAAACGAATACTTGTTGACGCAATTTACACTTCACTGATGCAAATAATTCTTGAATCTTATTGACTCCCAATTAATGTAGTGATAATAAGCACAAGCCGCGCTTCACCTTTTTGATGTCTCGTACGTTTGGTTCCGCTTTACTTTAAGGTAAACTCTTTCACTACGTTTCGGTACTTTTTTTTGCTTCGTTTTTTTTCTTCTCACAAACAAAATGAATAATATATTTTGAAACAAATCGTCTCTTTTACAATTTGCACACAACGAAATGAATGAGTAAAAAAAAATAAACGTTTCTCGTCAACTTCTTTATTTGTTGGCACTGAGCACTGAAATATGTGTATTGCTCACAGTTATAACATATGTATAAGACACTCTCATGTGCGAAATACTCGCAATAAAATAAGTTGACTCGCAAATAGACAAATATTGGCGTCGAGGGCTCCTTTTTGTCGTCAATTTTCTTATTTGCTGTTGCTGATTCGTACAATGCGGCACATTTATTTTGCACAACCTCTTTTTTACACTCTTATTTTCCTTCTCCTTCTTTTTTTTCTTATATTTTGCTTTCCTCTTAAATTTCAGTAACTCTCGTTTTGTGCGAAGCTTTTATTTCACATTCATTACTTACTCTGCGCAATTAGGAATAGAGAAAAACAATTTTTTTTTAATCAATTGAATGGATTTAGTACACTTATCAATAGGATTTTGTTTGAACGAATTTTATGAATGGATAGAGTGAAAGAGAACGGTGGGGGAGGTGGAAATTTAATCAAGGGGGATCATGATTCAATTCTGGGCTATCGGTTGATTACGGTTGACATTTATAGACAGCAACAAATCAGAAAATCATTGGAACGAAAGTTGTATTTTCTATGTGCAAAAAGAACAAGGAACACAAAATACAAATAGAGATGAATAATATATGTATTTGTAATTTTAGCACATTTGTTGTGTGAAGCGATTTAATTCAAGGCCTGACATCGTGTAGTCCGATGCTGTTCGAATGTAAAATTAAACTGATTTGCTGAATGCATTGATGATATTCTTTTATAATTCGTGGTTGTTTGTGTTTTTAATTGCGATTTTTCTTCGATTTTAATTGTATACACGATAACTTCAGTTAATATTATTAACACGCCACAGAACAGACATTGAGCAAACGAGACGAGAGCAAAAAGAAAAGAAAAATGTTGCTATCGATGACTAGAAAATACAGACAATATTCAAGAAAATAGTTAATGACTTTTCTGTATTCGTCACTTTTTGAATATATTCAATATTTATTGTCGCTTACTAAACTATTTGACACATTCGACGATGATGATGAAAAATTCACAAAACGATATAGCACACCGAACAACGAACGAAAAAAAAAAATTAAATTAAAAATTTAAACGAAAAATTAAAATAAAACTATGCAACGATTGCGATATGGGCTTTCATGTAAGTGACAGGCAATGTGTATCCAAAAGTATCAAAATTTCACATCAAAGTGAAATAGAGAATATAATTTTGTGTGACAAATAGTCGCGTTCGATCGTAGTACTGCGGTGTGGAAGAAATAGTTGTGCATGTATGCATATGATGACAGTTAAACATACATTAAAATCCATATGTATATGTGTGGCCGATTGTGATTGGCTGTACTCACAAACGTCACAGCGAATTCGCTTGCAAAACAACGCATACAGCTGATTCGTGATATGAACATTTACAAAAACAACACACACACACAATGTGCGCAAACCCGCATGAAGTTGGATACACTTCACATTCAATCGAAATTTATAGATTTTTGTTTTTGGATTTTTTTTTTTTTTTTCGTTTTATTTTTCCTTGCTTTAGCTAAAATCTAATGAGTTGATAATTGGAAAAGCTCACAATATTAACACACATAATTTTTCTCAACATTAAATACAAATTGATTGTAATTCTGGTTTGAAACTGGTCAACCGTATTCATTCATACTACATTGTGGGCAATATCTGTGGATAATTCAACGAAAAGAGCCAATTTCGGCATGGGGCCCAGTTTATCTACAACTTTTTGAATTGGATTCACTTCTTTATTCTCATCCGGCATCACTTTGTCTGCAATGTGTCGGATTATATAGCCATCGCTGTTCACGTAGAATGTCGAAAATCCTTCTATCCATCTACAAGATAAAATCTAATCGATTGTTATTTGTTTCAAATTGATATTTATTTTATGTGGACTTACACTTTTTGATGTTGTTCAATCATTTTTTTAGGATCCCATACTCGAAACTGAAGCATTTTGAATAAAATTCGATAGCCGGTTATTCCACTGATTCTCCAACGTATTTTGATCGATGAATCCTCTGTGTGTTGGGTTATTTTTAAGACGTCCATTTTAACATAAGCATAAAAGAAATGACCCCACAATCGTAGAAATGACATTTGCTTCACGTAATTCATGATGCCACTGCAAATCAATTAAATTCGTTAAAATGCTACGTTAATCATGGTACTCTTGGTGGTACTCACTAGTATGTTTTACCACGGATGCGATTTTCGAACACAACATCTTTATGTGTTTTCGAATAATCTAATGGTTTCACAAATAACAATGGTACATCATTCCTCAACATCTCATAGACAACGGATAATTGCTCTTCATTTGCACCACCTTCGGGACTTGATCCATTGCTCGTTGCCTTAAAATAGACATATTTTTAGATTTATCAATAATTTCTCAATTTTGCATCGCAATTACATCATTCAAATTGGCTGCAGTATTTGAGAAACCTCGAACATTTTGTGCAAGTAAATTGGCCTCTGCACTTAAAAGAGTTGGTTTTGGAACCGAAAGCGTCTTTCGAATACTCTAAAAATACAATTGAGGTTATGAATTGTTTTTCAAATAGGCAAATTTAATCCAGTAAAAGAGGTTTTGTATTGATCAAACCGATGATAAGTACCTTTGATTCAATTTGATCCCGTTCAAAAAATGTTGGTGTTACAAGTAGTCTGCTTTGCAATAGAATGGGATTAAAAGCCGAGGCTCGAGTCACTAGTTTATGTAAACAAATTGCCATTATGCACGGTTGGAAAATGAATTAATAATACACAATAAAATTGTTCCAGTTGTTCGGATCCCACAATGCGCTCAATTTCACGCAATTTCTTTGCATATAATTTTGATGTGAGAAAATTGCTATTACTGTGCACGGACGTTGAGGAAAATTACATTTTCGCTCCGTCCATTCTTCGTTTCAATGTCATACAATATACGTTCACCTGACACACAATTTCGCCTCGGCCGCACAACTTGATTTAAACGTCGCATCGATTTGACAGATTGATAATTGTGTGCATGTATGTATGTGTGTGTGTGTGTATTATGCTCTCAATAAACAACTGACACTTTACAAGCAGCACTTTTTCCATTTAGTTCACATTTTTCGTTGTCTTTTTATTTCGTTTGCGTGTTAAATTTACAACCACTTTTGGTTTTCATCTTCCATCCACATTTACTATAATTCATTGTCAACATTTATTGCATTAAAAATAGAATAATTCCCATGAATATTTCATCCAGTTAAACTTTCTCACTCTGAAGTAAGCAAGTAAGTAAACCGTAACAAATTACGTATTATTATTTTTCTCGTGGCTCATTTTTTCAATCGTTTGGGGGGATAATTTTGGCTTTGTTCGTACAGAAAATGTGTTCAAATGGATCAGTGGGTGACGGACGGTTTTTATTCGCACTTTCCCAGCTATTCACAACAGCCAACACGACGCGAAGCATTGGCCAAAGCGCGACAGCTTGATTATCAAACATTTTTAAGTCGTATCTCACCAACGAAAATTAAAGCTGATGGAAAAGGACAAAAACGCCACACACCAAATGATAACAATACAAAACGACAGAAAATACCATCAAATGATGTACCGAACGATAAATTGCCAAAATTAGACACGAAATCTATTGATGATACGGATACTAACGGTGAATCGGATGCAAGCTGTCGTGTCGAAATCAAAAATAGATTTCTAGATGAATTAGAGAAAATGGATCTTCCAGATATAATCAATGAACAAAGCATAAAAAAACGCAATCAAAAATTAAAAGAGGTAAATTCACAGTGATAAATCAATTTTATGGGCGCTTAAATGTTGTTGTTGTTTGCAGGAAAAAAGATTGAATAACCTACGGTATCAACAAGAACTGTTAGAACAAATCGAACAAAAGAGACGTGACAGAGAGAAACAGAAAGCCAAGGAACAAGAAGAAGAAGAAAAACTAACCAAGTAAGTTCATTTGAAGGTTAAACATGTTTTGTCGATTTTATGAGCTGTACTATGACTTACACCTTCGCATAGACATAAATCAATAAACTCTATGCAAATTGTGATTAGTTTATTAAGCGTGTAAAGTGAAGATAGTATTTCTAATTTTATATTGCGACCATATGGTGATTTTATGGTGAATATTGTGAAAATAACGGTCTTTTGAAAATAGAGCATTTCTGTCAAAAAGTTACAGTCAGCTAAATTGGTATTTTTTGGTCGCGGTTAAGGATCATTTTAATTTTTTTTTCTTTAAAAAAAATCTATTTAAATTTAAATATATGAAGTTTTAACTAGAGGACATGTACACATTATCCGTTCCATGAACACCTTGAATAAAATTTACCGTTTTTTTTTCTTCATCCCCACAGACGAATGGAGGAGCAATTGAAGTTGGTACGTGTGCATGATGAAATTGAAAATCAACGTCAAACACGTCAACGTGAAAAATCACGCATTCCTCTCGAACTCAATAGGCCAATGGTAAATCAGCAATCAACAAAACCGCCAACAACAGTCCGTTCAGAGCAATTGGACATAAACACGAGTCGTGTGTATGATGAACGAAAGGCTCAAACTGACCGTGGCAAAGAGAATTTGAACGAATTAAAGCGTAACGATAAGGAAATTTATAATTTTTTCACCAATTCAGCTCACAATCAACTCAAAGACACTCGCTACAGTCACTATTTTGACTTGGAAGATGTTAGCGAAAATGACACTTTGCCAAATAGCATGTCTTCATTCACATACAATACATATCCGACAAAATCGAATCGCCACCAGGATGTGGTGCATAAGCAATCGCACTCAGATCCACAACAGCAACAGCCAATATGCAATTTTTGTAAGCATAATCGCTTTTTAGCCCGTAGCCAAGAGGAAAACATAGCCAATGGATATATATGTGGTTCATGTGAAAATGAACCGATTTGTCTAAGTTGTCGCAAGGAAATTTGTGTACGATGCAAAAAACCAACACACAACGACGACCATGTAGCGAAAATGCCACTTCAGCGTTGTATCAAACAACGAAACACTGATTCCGATTTTATCGTTGCTAAAAAGCCCGAAATACAACCGAAATCGAAATATGTCCGTTTGGATAATTATCAACCGATTTACACAGACGAAGACGATAGTCTGTCTGATCTCAGTTCATCCGATCACAAACCATACTCATTCAACATTGACCAATCATCACTGTTTCACCCATCCAAATCTCGTCTCAGTCGAAAGCTGTCGGTAAACGTTCGAAATGGTGAAGTGTCTGTGAAGCCAGAAGATTCATTCGATGAACTTAAGCGCATTACGAATGAAAAAATTCTGAAGTACTCGATGAATTATGGTGATTTCCTAAGAAAGAAGACAAACGAATCGAAAATGGGGCGTGTGCAAGAAACTCGTTTTCCAATGCCGATTTTAAAACCAACATCGAATCCAGACCCAATGCCAGTCATGAAACAAAACACCAAGGATCTCATCGAATTCGCTAAGGAGCTTGAACGAGGTGATCACAACATTTTCAGGCGAACCGAAACAAAGTACCAGGTTCGTACTTGCACTGACAATATGACATTTCTACGAATTTATTGTTTACTAATTTTGATTTGATCTTTTCAGGTTCCCGCCGTTCAGACAAATAAGGTTGTTCAAAACAATAATACAAGCAGTACGTTAACACAAGTTGGTGCCTTCAAAAAGCAATTGCTATTAGATAAGCTTAATTTTTAGGTTAAATGTGCCTTTTTCCACTGTAATATTTAATACTCATCGGGCTCAGTCCCACCTTTTTATATTGAAAAAAAAAGTAAGAAAATTGTTTATTGTATTAGTTCAATGTTTATATACCCCCAAATATTTTGCACTTTGTAACTTAAGCCTGAAAACATGAAGAAAAAAAACAGATGATTATGATATAATTAAAAGAATCAGTATTTGCATTATTCTAGAGTTTGCGTTTTTATTCCCATTTCATGTTTGCAATGTTAAATTCACACAGATGTTTGAACATTCTTATTTGGTTGAGACACGAGTACGTCTATTCCATGAAAAGTTAATGCCATAGTTCTTGGTGCGTTTGACGGATTTTTTTTCTTCACCATCAACATACCTAAGAGGAGAATCACAAAAGAAAAGAATAAAATTTAAAATAATCGAAACTAATCGAAAAATAATCGTAAAACAATCAATAATAATTAAAAAGTAATTTTTAAGTGATTTGCCCCTAGAACATACCATTTCCAGCCATACTTTTCACAATGTGCAATCGCCTCTTCCTTGGTTCCGAACTCCACTTGTAAATTCGACAAAGGATCACCACTGAAAAATCGAAATACCCAATTGATTAGCTCAAGCAACTATTTTTTTTAATATAAAAATTACAGAATTTTGAACTATACGTTCCAAGCAATGGAAAGAATTCTTTTTTGGTGGAATGGAAACACTTGACACTTGTAAAACACCACATAGTCGAACAAAGAATAAAAGTAGTAATGGCAACCACTATGAGTCCCTGTATATTAATATAGGCGAGAAAAAAGTCGCAGAATAATGTCGTCATCTGTTGACGTGGTTATCAATGTATGTAATTACAAAGAGAGAATTGTTGGATTCTGTCTTGACTAAATTTTGATATCGGTTGTTTTCAACCACAATTCGCACACTTTACCAGATGGCGTTTTACAACATGGCATCTCTCAGTCATGATGGTTGAGTAATGGAATACACATTTTTTGGGATTTTTAAGAATGATGAACTTACGTCGAGCTCCAGCCCATAAGAGGATTTTCCCATCGTTCGCGTGCATCAAATTCGATTTTCCAATAATCTAAGTTGTTCGTGCCACTTTGCATGGAATTTTTAGCTGGCAGACAAATACGAACGCGTCTTGTTTTGACGTGCTCTTCTGGAACGCCAGAGATTGCCGTTAAATCTTTCTACAATGAAACACAAGAAATCCAAATGAAAATGATGAATAAGACATTCTCAAGTCAGTGTATGTATGTGTGTGTGTGTGTGTGTGTGTGCATTATCAACGTACTTCTACGGGGATCGTCAAATATTTTGATTGATTTTCTCGTTCACGTAAGATTTGTTCATCTTCAAGAATTTTGGTGTTATCAACAATGGGCGCTTCTTTGAATTTAGTGGCATTGCTCACATCGTCTGATGGCACCTTGTAGATTTTTTGGCAATAGCCTGCGACAGCAACTCTAAAATGATACATTGAATGTCAAAAAAATCAGATTTTCTAACATTTCTGATTTCTGTTGGAATTGCGATGTTTAAAATATAAAAATTCGCTTACCGTTGAGTTGAAGCGACTTGTGAAATTCGGCGTAATATTGTTGTGAACATTTTTCTTCTCGTGCTATTCACAGCGATAGAAAAATAAATATTGTTGGCTATCGTATTTATGTAAGAGCTAAAATTCAGTTTGACACTTCATAAAATACGTTCTACACGAATCACGTGAGTGTGTGCGTGATTTCCTCGTGTCGTTTGACATTTGGAAAAAAAAATTGCTTTTACATAGTGGAACGTCATTTCGCTGTGTGCAGATATAATCATTTATTTTGCCTTTAAAACAACAAGTCCTCTCGACGAAAACATACACCAAACATTTTGAGTAAACAATTAATTCGCGCAATATAAATCGAGAAAATCTGGTGTGTGCTGGGATCGATTTCTTGTGTTACGTATGATTTGGTAATAATTGATGGCTTTTCCGACGATAAACGCTCAACAAGGTAATTATTTACAAGAGACTTAATGACATATTACACAAGAAACACTAGTTTTTATTCCTACAACTTTGTAATTGTTCGCCAATTTTGTTTTCTCCCACTTTTAGAATTGAACAATCGAAAAATTTTAGAAGATTTACAACACAAAAAGCAATTAATCCTACAAAAAGGAGTAAGTCCAGTTGCGGGTATCCCAGTGAATAACGCTAATCAAATAACAAATAGCATGCCACTGGTGAATACATCTTGAAATTTCAATTATTCACACGAATCTCCCCTTTGTTTATTTATGGCTCGGAATATGGCTTTTCAATGTTATTTTCTCTCTTTCTCAATTTGCAGTTGATGCAGGTAAATTCTCAGCCAACAATTGGCATCTCACCGCAGCAGCCACAACAGTCACCGTCACACGATTTACTTTCGCCGGGCAGTAATTTGGGCCGAGCAGCTTGGGTTCAGGCAAACAGTCAATCGTTTGGATTTTTTGTCGCTCAAGATTCTATGTTTGGTAACAACATTTTGCCGGTGTTACCACGTCCCCAACCAAATCCACCCAAATAAATAAAACACTCAACGACTGAATCTAAGCCGATTTCCACATTGTTTCAACGCATTTCAATCGTAATCCACATTTAATAGGCACATTTGTTAGGGAAGTAAGATAAAATGGCGTGCATTAAATTAAAGAAATTAGAAGAATATTTACAATCCGTTGATGGATTTGAGAAACCGAAAATTTTATTCGAACAATATGAGACGCCTTCACACATTGCCAGCGTCATGTTATATACAATCCAAACCAAATATAATGATATTGAGAACAAACTGGTGGCCGATTTGGGCTGTGGATGTGGAATGCTGAGCATTGGATCGTTTCTTTTGGGCGCCGTTCATACTGTCGGTTTTGATATCGATCCAGATGCATTAGAGGTAACTCACAGCACACTGTTCATTTTTCTTTCCATCTCCCACTTTTCTCTTTGCTAATAATTGGACATTTTTTATTCATCAACAGATATTCCGTGCAAATGTTAGTGAAATGGAACTACCGGGAGTCGATTGTGTCAATTGCGATGTTGTGGCCGATCTAACCAGCGAATCATCAAAATGGCGAAAAGCATTCGATACAGTTCTAATGAACCCTCCATTTGGTACAAAGAAAAATGCCGGAATGGATATGAAATTCATTTCCAGCGCTTTTAGTTTGGCCAAAACAGCTGTTTATTCACTACACAAGACATCTACTCGTGACTTCATTCAACGCAAGGCCACAGAATTAGGATCCAAAGCTGAAGTTATTGCAACACTCAAATACAATTTGGATTCGAGTTACAAATTTCATAAAAAGGCCACCGTTGATATTGAAGTAGATTGCTGGAGATTTGACGTTAGTAACATAGATAAATAAGCAAATTAATAAACATTTGCTAGAATAATATTTTTAATGATTAATTCAGACGTATTTTACTTGGAGAAATATCTATAAATATATGGGGACTATCAATTCATTTTTATCAACAAATATGTAAAAAATAAAATCAATTTTGTCGCATTTTTATTCAATTGAAGGGTGTTTTATTGTCAAGAAAAATGTTTTAAAGCGCATTGGTAGAGATGTCAGACTTTGGTCTCATAACGATCTTATAGGTTTTGAAGATATGGGAATTGCTTGACATTCCTTGTTATAGAAATGCCGGATAATTACATAAACGTTCTTTATGACTGTAATACGAAATAATGTTTTTATTCTTATAAAAGATTTTTCACAGTTTATAATGGAAAAAAATATTATTCTACTCCATAAACTTAACACGTCAGCTCAGTAAGTGTCTTTGCGAAAATTTTGAGCTGTATTTTTGAAAATACACCAAATTTGCTCATGAAAACCAATGTTTGTGTGACAAAGCAACCCATTCATTCATCCCATACGAGATTATTGTTGACCTTGCTTTAAAACCGAACTCAATATATTGATGAACAAACACTTTGGTGAAATTCTACACGTTCACCACATCAACTGTTCTCTGTATAACTAACACACACTCAAGCAGTCAGACGGCGTCATAATTGCTTCGAATGTTAACAGGATCGAACGTTCACAGTCAATTCATAAAAGACAAAAGAGTTGAGCAGAGTGAAATTTGCGTGAAATATTATTATTAATTCGCCATTTTGAATTCACAAATTAAGTGTGGCAATTTTGGTAATTTTTCTCATATTTTTAAGATTTTATTATAATTTTTTAAATTTATGGACGATACTTGGTTTTTTGTTGCTTGTTTCTCTTTTTGTATAGATTTAAATTGAAGTGAGTAAAAATCGATTCTAAGATGCTTTGGGAACGTGATGACGAAAATGAACACTCGAGTTTCGATTTGTTGGACGATCACTGCTGTTATGAAATACTTCGTTGGCTTCCACTTGACGATTTGTGCGATTTGAGCCGTACATGTATGCGTATGCATAGATTATGTAGCAGCCAGTTCAAATTGGAATACCCATCGAAAGTTATTCACTTTACTGGAATCGAAAATGGCACACTTGTGAAAGAGCCAAACCGAGAAAAGTACATCCAGTCGTTTGAAAAAAGCATTCAAAGATTGGTGTTGCACGGTGAGTTGCTTGCATCAAATGTTGGTGCTGTGAATAGATTCTATAATCAAGATAAATCGACAAATGGACTGATCAAGGAAATTCAATTCACCGAATGGGAAAAACCATTGGATTCAAGAAATATTGGCCGACCACTTGCTGATCTGTTGAAAAATGTCGAGACGGTCACATTGGATAACGTTTGGATCAACGTTGATTGGTACGATAGCATCCTTCAGTACACGCCGAACATTAAATGTTTGAAGGTGAAGTTTCGATGCATCTTCGAAGAACGTCAAAATTGGCTGAAAACTGTGTACCCAAATATCAAGTCATTTGAGTACCATACAATTGAACGGCCGAATATCGATACGCTGATAACATTCCTCCAATCAAATCCGAGCATTCAACATTTTTCATTGTTCTCGTATTCTTCCGAAGATGTTCGTTTCATTGCAAAAAATGTGAAAATCCACGAGCTTTTCTACGAAATTTTTGAACATGACATTGATGTTTTAATGAAGGAACTAAATGCCCTGGATGAAATTACCGAATATCAAGACATTAACTTGCATTTGCTGATTGGTGGATCGTGTACAGCATCTGAAGATGAACTAGTGAAGGCATTATTACCGCTTCAATCAAATATCGTGGGTTTGTATTTTCCTGACATAACAATTGGAGAGAAGCTGGCCACTACAATCAGTAAATTTGAAAATGTACGAATTCTGTTCACTTTCTATTATTTTATTTTAAGATAGATCTTAAATTAAGAACAATTTCCATTATTTCCATTCTTTTCTATATTCCCTAGGTACGTGTTCTGATGCTGAATAAATGTCAAAACAAGAATGTTTTAGCCCAGATCCCAAATTTGGAAGAGCTGTACTTTGCAAGACCAATCCAAGATAAAGAATTTGATGACATCTACGATACAATGCTCACTTTTGTTCGCACATCAGTAAAACTCACAAAAATTTGTTTGCGAGAGCATCATGTGCCACTTACGAAATTTGACTTTGCACAGTTCGATCAAGAACGTATGAAGCTCAAAGGTGCCCGAAAGTTGAAGTTCTACATTAAGTCGGATTTTGATGAAATGGGGAATTTTTATCTTGTGAAGCGAACATTCAATTTGATTGAAATCATTCGATCGGAAACTGAACCACCAAGCAATGCACACTTCACACATCAGAATTGTATGTTTATTGACTTTTCAGACGTTGACCGCGGTTTTGCTTACTTCGTTTGATATAAAAAAACATATTGACGTACACGTTCATCAACTCAATTGAAATCAAGATGGATTTTGATTTATTGAAATTTTAATAATAATAAATTGTTCAAACAAATTTTGCATTTGAATTGTGTTTTATTGAATTATTGTTATTTTTCACGTCTTGCTTGTTTTTAGGCGGATCAGTTTTTATATCTAATCTTTATTTTTTCTTAAGAGATTCAATGACGATATTTTAAACAAACCATCATACTGATTAATTTTGTATAAATTCATACAAAATAATAATTGCTCTAAATACCTATGTCAATGAATCTAATGGTAAGTCATTGAATTGCATGCCATTTTGATATTTATATTTTTCTTGAATTACTTGCGGTTCTTCACTGTGGGCTTCTCTATACGATCCACTGTATGTGAAGTTGTGTTAATCGGTTCAAAATGAGAATTTCGATTAATTTACTTTCGAACTAGTTTTCCATTTTCAATCATTTTTATTGGAGCTACACCTTGAAATATTCCAAAGTCTCGCACGAAAATCAAATGAAACATTTGCATATTTTGGTACCGTTTTTCGTTCATTTCCCGAAAAGTACACAAAGTCAAAGAAGGCTCGACTTTTATTTCAAGTGAATTCAATAAAATCAATATTCGACTTAAACAGTGCTATGTTTTAGTTATGGACCAAAAACCAAACTATTCATTGCGATAAGATGACTTTTGTTACAAAAAGATGAGCATCATTCGTTTGTTCTAAAAGAAAGTCAAAATACGAGCATCTATTAATTTGGCATGCAAAAAAAATCCCAATTTCGTAAGAACGGGGGAAATTCCCATCATATATACATTATTCGGGACACTTTGTCACACTGCATCATCCCAATTTGAGCAAAATACATATATTTTCTTATGACATTAGCATAGATCAAAATACCATAATTATGAATTACATTTGTTTTTTTTCTACCTGAAAAAACAGTGAAAAGAAAACACAAAGAAGAGAACCCAAAATATGAGCCCTGTATGTAAAGCACAGTGCTATAAATGTTGAAATTAGAACATTATCACATAATTGTACTAAGAATTGATAATGATATTTGGTTTTGTTTTCAAAAAGTCAAATTTAAAGAGTTAGGTCGTCGAAATACGGGCCGAAAATATAATTTGATTAGCAGCAATGTTGAATATTTTATGAATTTTCACAGAGGCCCACTTTTCATGTTATTATCCGTTTCAAATGAATTAAATTATGCTTTAACATGTTATACAGCGTCATTTTTGTGTCTTTTTTTAACTAATGAAAACCGTTTGCCCGCACAATTGACACCGATTAAGATGTGTAGATGAAAAATTGCTTTAAAATAACGAAAACTTTCACAATTTTATTCTATACATCGGTGTACTACATTTTATGTGAAAAAAGATACTTTTCATTGTAAAACAAAGCGCACTTCGGTGAGCTTGATTTGTTAGTTCAATCTGAAATGTAAAAGAGTAAACATGTTAATAAAATTTGTAATTTTTATTTTAACTGCTCTACTTTGTAGCCGTACATTGTGTGAACAGTCGAAACGGAACAGAAAATTCTTTGGCATAACTGGATATTTTTCAGGTGAATCGAATAAAAATGTTAAAAAATATAAACAAATTTATAATGAACAATAACAAAAAAAAAAATGAATGCAGGATCATCGGATTTTCATGTGGTACCATTTTGGAAGCAGTGGAATGCATTGTTTCAAGTGCATATCGAAAAGAATAAGCATAAACATAATAATGAGATTTATGTTGTTCCTGCGTCACAATTTCATTATCCACCCTATGATAATTATGGTTTATACGTTCCGCATATGTATGGTGGATTAGTTGGAAATCGACTGCATGGCCCAATGTCATTACTTCTCGATGAATACAAATTTCCGACCACAACACTGGTTTGATTATTTCGCTTCTATTACTGTCAATCAATTCTTTTGCCGTGTTTGTTTTTCAGTATTTATTCCATGCATTAACAATTTATTTTATGTTTGACTGTCTTTGAAAGGCTCCACTTACTCCAGATATTGACGATAGGCCAAAATTGGAGAGTGATTCAAGTGATGATGGCGCAAAGAAAACTGACAAAAATGTAGGTTTGTTCAATTTGAATATACGTGATGATCGAAAAACACACAAACGCGATGTTGTGCATAAAACGAAAACTGACAATGAGGTTGTTGCTACAGTTGTGGAAATCATCGACTTTAACAAAACGACAACAGCCACATCAGCAGCGACAAGTGAGCCTGATATTGATACAACAACGGAATCAAATGAATCGCAAACAACAGAAACAATTGAATCGACAACATCATCGTCGACCTCCGAAAAACCAACCGCATCCATTGTTGATACTGGATTCCAACCAATTTTAAATGTGTACTATGGTGGTACACCATATTTATATTACAACGGCCGAACCCATTCAGGAACTTATACCATCAACGGAACGCCCAAATACAATCAACGATCGATACGATTTGGGTGAATTCAAACCGAGCACACAATACGAATATCGAAATTATCGATTCAAACCCGACTCATATTTTGTTCCCGTTGCTGGCACAAAACAAGTATATTAAACAGTCAGAGAAGCTTTTCTTTTTCGTCTATTGAGACTTTGGAAAATGTTCGAAGTAAAAGTGTGAGCGTATTTCTTAAGCATTTGATTTATTTGAATAAAATGAAGATTTTTTTTTTGTGTAAAAAAGATGTGTCCCAGAATTATTTTAATAATTAATTGATACATTTTTTTTGATTTTTGAACAAATTATTTTTTATTTATTTATAAAAAAATTAATCATTTTCAATTGAAACTGAAATAAATAATTCATACAGAGTGGAGTAAATAAAAACGAGAACCTTAATTTATTTTGCTAAATGCTTTTAGGTTAACTTAAAAACTATATCAAAACGAACACAAACTTATTTACACATATCGTAACTGCTGTTTATCGTAATTTGGAGATATTTGTTGCACTTTTCTATTATTTCCACGCTGAAAAACTGAATGTTGGCTTGTAGCTACCGGATCGTATATACTCATTGCGGTCCGACAAACAAATAGTTAATCATTTCGGTTACTTTTTCTTAAAATCAATAATCGTCATCATAACTATCATATTCATCGTATAAATCGTTGGTGTCTTCCTTAGAACCGGCTTCATCGTTTAAAAATGTGTCGTTGGTGCCATAGTGCAATCGCTTCGTGAATCGATTATCGTGTTCAGTTTCGGATGCTGACGCTTTCATAATATCTGTGAACGATCCATAGTTGGCAGAACGTCGAACGGCTGGATGACGGCCGTAGTATCTTTGTAGTATGTCATCATCTTCACTTAATTGATCCAAATCAGCAGTGTCGAATGCATAATTACGATAAGCATCGGGTTTCTTATTTTGTGTTGCGCGGCGTGAGTTTGATTTTTGTGTAGTCTTGCTGTCAATTTTGGTGTTAGTTTCGCTTTTGGTCAATTCTACTTTTTCATCTTTTCTCTCTGTTACTTTAACATTATCTTCTTCTTTTTCATCATCAACATCGCTGTACTCATCACCTTCATTGGCTTCGTTGTTTTCGCTAAATCGTCCCAAATCTTCAATTTGTAATTCCTTTTTTTCAGCTACATCCTTCAATGGCACACTTCTCTTGTTTCGCATTACAATTTTTTCGTTGCTGTTTTGAATTGCCATATCCAAATCATGAATTGTTTCGTCCTTTTGTGATGCCAATGCTCTCAAAATTTTTGCTTGAGATTGCGCCAATTGTTTTCGTTGAATGCGACGTTTGCTACGTTTTTGTTTTATATTGAATCGAGTTTGCTTTCGATTTAGCTGATTCATTAATTCTGGACGATAATTTACAAATTCCATAGTTTTTCGGTCGTCATGTTTTCTAGTCAATTCAATGGAAACACCTTCATCGATGTCACTATGTGATACCTTCAATTTGAAGACTGTAAATTAAAACAAGTAATAAACATTTAGATGGATGTTGAAAATAAACTTTTGTATTTTAAAAAATTCGAAACAAAAAAAATCTACTGATTGAACTATTTTTCGCAATCTTTTATGAAGTGAATAAATGAATGGGACCACTTTATAAATCATTGGAAAGAATCTATCTGATAATTGCACTCGTGATCGATTTTAATTGGTTACAACAATAATTTAAATTTAATTGAAAAAATAACTTAAAAATAATTACCATTTGGAGATTTGATTGGTCTGGCTTCAAATCCGATAAATAATGCAACGAGGCACACAAAAATCACCGTTTTGATGAACATTTTTATTTTTTTTCTCAGATTTAAAAAGAAAATCGGAAACAATTTCGTTTGTTTTTTTTTTTTTTCGTCACCACAAAATTTGTTATAACTATTGGCACGTCAATTTTATCACAATAAATTTTGATGTATCACAATCTAAGTTAACTGATTTGTTGTTGAAATCTTGAGCGATGTATACTCTGTGAAATCTCAGCGTTGAATGATGTATCTCAGCAGATCATCTTCCAAAGACGACGTTTTGGCCATCATCCCCACCACGTTTTGCAAAACAAAAATCAGCAGAAGCGAATTGAAAATCCCATTTTGTGAATAGAAAATATAATTTGATGAAAAATTCCCACTCATATTAGCACTGTGTATCGGTTTTCTTGATGATACTGTTTTTCTTCTTGTTTGTTAGACTCTCCAGCACCATATGATCGCAAAGACCTATTGCATGCGGGGGGAATTCCCGTGCCCATATACTTGTGTCATTTCTTTTGTCGGTCCTTGTACAAGAAGCAAGGTATATGTGTGTGAAGCGAACATGTGAACACATGCAAATGTGGTGAATATCATCTGCATCAGTTACTTCTCTACCATAGTGATCATACAGGTAAAAAAATTCTTTGCATCTCTGACCTTCTTACCCGACCGAAAAACAAAAGAAACTGCTACTAGGTAAAATCGTCTGTTTTTTTCCTTTTTTTTCATTGTCCATCAAAACTGCAGCATTTTATGATCGCTAACATTTTAATATTCAAATTTAAAGTTCATCAGAAAAACGAAGTCGCATTTTTTATTCGGTCCGAACTACTATAACTTTTCTACATTTGCATGCAGTTTTTCCATTTTTGTTGTTGTTTGTTGGATAGAGTCAGTTTATAAGTCCATCTCGTTGCACCTTTAATCTGGGAATTTTTGTTCGGGTTGATGTACTTTTGTATAATTTAATTTATAAAAATAATAATAGGTAGCAACAATTTCAAACTCTTCAATCGACTTTCATTTTTATCCATTCTTCTTTTATTTATTCATCACATAAAAAACAAAGATGACAAAATAAATGTCTTTATGCTTTTCTGTATAAAACATTTGTTTAAATTGTAAACAACGGAATATATGTTTTCATTTTTTTTACATTTGTTATTTTTTAATTGTTTAAAATGGTTTATTTTTTGTGTGCGGTTTTGTTGTTGTTTTTTCCTGCAACGATTAAAGCATGAATATTTTTCGTTCAGTGATTTTAATTCCATAATTACAATAATTTCATTGACATTTGCACCCCAACCGGTAACAAGTTGATGGGCAGCATTTAATGTTCCACCAGTAGCCAGAAGATTGTCAATAATAATCATATTTTGGCTCGGTTGAATGCCATTTTCTTGAATTTCAAAGAAAATCGCGAGCATCTAATCCGAAAATTGCATAGATTCTTGCACTTCATTCACAGATTCATTCATTTTCTTGATTTGAATTTTGTACATTATTTTGAATTTGATGACTCTATATTTGATGGATTGGTTGAAGTTATCAAACGTACCGAAATTATGCCCAAAATGTCACACTGTTAGCGCCACGACGGAATTCAATGTAATCTACACTAAGTTGCCGCCAAATAGTGAAAAGACTTTTGCTCAGTTGCAACCAACAGACTAGAACTCCATAGTTGTCCGTAGTGGCGCTAGCAGTGCTACAGTTTTGCATTTTATACAGTCTCTTATGGAGCATAATTTCTGTGTGTTATTAAAAAACAAAATATTGAATTGCATTTGATGATGGAGGGAATATGTATTGTATCAGACGAACAACTGGCGAAAGTGCTACTCCCGCTCCATACAAAATGAAGATATACTTTCCATACAAAATGATCGAAAGAAAGTTGGCCACTTCAATCAGTACATTTGAACATTTACGAGTTTTATCGCTGTACGATTACAAAGAATCTCAGATTCCAAATTTGGAAAAGCTGTACATTGATAAACTCGTCAATTTTGATGAAGTCTACGAAACGATTTTGACTTTTGTTGATCTGCAAAACTCACAAAAATTTTCATTGAAACTACTTATTTTCGGGATAAAAAGATCGACTTCGAACTACTTGATGAAAAACGCATGAGGCTGAAAGGTGCACGAAAATTGAAGATCGTGATGTTTATGTTACCAAACGAACATTCAATTTGATTGAAATTCTTCGATGGAAAACTGAAACATCAAGCAATCTACATTTCAGAGGCTGGCATGACTAAGTTTTCGCCAATGGAAGAACCGTTTAATGTGCTGAAATACTTTGATTTAATATTTTTCAAAAATTCATATTTTTTAAACACATTTTTATCCAGCCCTTTGAATATTAAATGTTTGCCGTCAATTTTGTGTAAACGATTTGTATTTTATTCATCATTACTTTTCAATTTACTTTACTTTCAATTTTTTGTGTGACTTTAGGTTAACCATTTCTTAAAGTGATGCTCTATTTGAAAAAAGTATTCTATTTTGAACTATCGTCACTGATTAATATGGTAATAATTCATTAGAAAGTCAAAATAATCGAATAAAACTGACTGACTTGGATTGCAGATTGAATGGGTTTTATTATTATCATTATAACAGAACTTTGATTGGGCTCCATTCGTCATACATTCGTCTATATTTATTACGATATAAACAAATGCGAAGTACGAGAGAAGTGCGCATTTTTTTAACAAAAACAGAATTTATAATGTGGTGATTCAAAGAGTGAAAGAATTGATAATTATTTGCTTAATGCGCTGTGTGTTTTTAAAATAAATACAGGATGAAATTACATTGGTTATTCGATCATCCTCTTTGTTTCGCACTTTCTCATTGTATATATAAAATATATATGTTCCTTCACGTCTACCAAAGTCTAAGGCGCATATTATGAATGTGAAAACCGCTTCTAGACCAGTGTATGTATGTATTGCATATTTTGTCACGTTCTCACTAACCACATACACACTCTCGTTTTATTTATTTGCATGTGCACAAACTGTGTACACAATACGTTTGCGACAACAGTGATCCAGTCAGTTGGCTTTCAGATTTGTCGCCGTTCAGAATATTCTTCCAAGAATTTGTCATTTAAAAGGTCAAAAAATGAATTTCATCACATTTGCATTTATTTCAATTTTGTTGTGCAATTTTGCGATTGGCCTCACAATCATTTCATCAGATGCTGTTTACAACAATTTCATTGATTCTACTGAGAACGACAAAAATGTAGAGAAATTTGGTGGAAATAATGTTTTAGAAACCACATACGGCAAACAATCTTTGGGCAAAAGTCATCGCTTCTTCTATACAGTTGGTGAACGAGTCGAAGGTAATTGTGGAAATTAATCAAGAATTCTTCGTAAAATAAACGAACCGAATGTCTCACATAATGCATAATATAAAAACAAGAGACTTTGACGTTTGGTGCAAATTATATGGATGTTTTTTTTTTTCAGGCGACAAACAATTGGATCATATTTTCAAGCAAACTGGATGGAAAATTAAAACTGATGCAATAGTCAATTTAACTTATCCAGCTGGTGGCAAAACTATCAAGGATTTGACGTTCGTCATGATAACCGTTTATCAGGTAAATGATTTCTCTGTACTTTTTTTCTCAATTTCATCATTTTCAAATTGAATGAACAAAATTTCAACAAAATACGTTTCAAACAATTACAGGAATCGGAGGACAATCGCATAAATGTCAGCGGTGGTGGAATCAATACAAAAGAAATTACCATCAGTATACATGCAAACCAGACGCACTATGTTGCTTACAACGCATTTTTCTATGGACATGAATAGTCGGAGTCACAGCATTGAAAGGCGAATAAATAAATAAATCTGTGAACAATCCAATATTATACTCCAAAAATGTCAAACGAAACATATTCAAATCATATTCAAAAGCTATCTTAGCTATTTCGCATTATCTTATCAATGCTTCCTTCAAATAGCAATGAACTTTATCACTATCTGAAAAAAAATGTAAATGTCAAGAATAAAATTCGACCAGTATAAGAATATTAAAAATGTGAATTTATTCGAGATTGAAACGTTTTCTGTTCATTTCAAATGAGAACTATAAATTGAATTTTAAAAATATAATTTACCAATTTTATTCAAAAAAGGCTATCGTCAATCATAAAGATTTAAAACGTATGGAATTTTTCTATGAAAAAAATAAAAACGAAATAAAATATGTTTTTGTTTGATTGAGATGATTTGAAAATAGCCCTATAAGGCTATGTGAACAGTAATATGGATTTAATGTGTCCAAAGCGGCAGAACACTAGATCTCCTACGATTGGCGTTCATCATTTCCATTGGGCAATTTGGTTTTGTCTTCTTGCTGTCCATTGAAAATGACTTCATGAATCATGCGCATGGTTCGTTGCTTCACGTCGTCATCTTTGATGGTTTCCACTTTCAATGCGACGAATGTGGCAAATGCCTGTGTGGCATCTGTGGCTTGGCCATTTTCAACTGAATTGTTCGTCTCACTATATTTGGATGTCTTACGGTGTTTTATGTTGTTGTATTCGCATTGTTTTTCATTATTTTGACTGCTGCCAGCAAACAATTCACAAATTTCAGATGCTCGATCTGGATGAAAGTATTGCATTGCATCGCAAAAAAACTTATTCAATTTCAAGGTGTTGATTTCTTTGAGATGTTTTCTGCGTCGACTGTACACCACAATGCGTCGATCTAGTCCCCCATCCGAGTCACTATCTGCATTACATACATCGTTCTTAGCATAGCCGATGCCAGCAAATTTCGGTGATCGTTCAATTTTTACTTCAAGTGCATTGCCAATTGATTGGAGCATGTCGTAGAATTTGAGCACCACATTTGGAACGTCTATTTGCTGAAGTTGCTCTTTGGCCAAATAAACTTCATAGCATTCTTGTGCTGTATCGTCCGCAATGTGTTTTTCATAATCCGTTCGGCTGCACCATACACACCTTTTTAGACCAATATGAAGATCGTGCGTAATTGCCATGTGGGTGTGAACCATTAAATATGGTCCGATGAATTCACAACGTTTGCACTGCAAAATTTCTTTGCCAAACCAATTGTACGGGGCTTTATAGCTGTAGAACCGAAACGATTCGTACGACCAGAAGCGCATCAATTGTTCACGGAGCTTGGGCACTGCATCAATTTTTCCGTTGAGTTGGCGCTTTTCTAGAAAATAATCGATCACACACATCAATTTCATTGCGATCTCATTGTCCTTTTCATTTGACGCATTGAAAATCGGCGCAATTGGACGATCGGCCAAATGTTCGTGGATTTTCTCCATTTTTGGTTATGCTTACTCTCTCGTTTCAAAATCAGTTCCTTTTTTATAGACGGTGTTTATTTAAGCAAACGCCATTTTTTATTGAGTGACAGAATACAAAAACTTTGTATACTCAAAATAATTTGGCACTTGATGTTTGCAAGTGAAATTCCGACCGAATATTATTCCTTCGATTTTACTTTATATGAATTCTGAATAATGCAATTTCTATTTGCACAAATGATGATTAAAAATGTAATAAAACCACAGCTAAATCGAATAATTTACAGAGTTCGCATCGAACACGAAAGCAGCTTTAGGACTAATGCAAACCAATACGATGTGTCATAGCAGTGTGTTTGTATTCAGGCACATCACCGTTGCATCGCGTCTTGTGGTGATATACACAACTACACACACACACAAACTATCTATCTATATTGAATGAGTCGCTCCGTTCAATACACAATATTCAAACGAGTAAATTGAAAATAGCCGTTTACGAGATTTTTTTTTGCTGACGTCTTCTTTGACAAATTTATTTCCAAGAAATAAAAATGCTGACACGACTTACGAAATCTCTCAAAAAAAAAAACACTGACATCGTTTAAAAAAATTATGGATTTATTTTAACAGTGGAACGAAGACTTCAATGAATGCCAGAAAGAAATGTGATGAAATTGTATGATTTCACAACGATGCCAATGTCAAGACATAGTCAAGAAAAGCAAATGAGATAAAAAATATACTTCATTGAAGGTAGAAAGAAATCGTTGAAAAGCGAACCCGAGAAAAAAGCAAAGCAGTCTTAGCAATTAAATAAACTGACAGAGAAAAATAATTGAATAAGAAAAAAAGAGAAAAGAACATTAAATGATAGACCGACAACTTCAGTTTCCGAAAAAAATGAAACCGAATGAATATGTTGATGTTATGTTTGAGTACATCTGACTGGCAAGCCTTTATTCGAATAGTGATCTGATTCTAAATATTGAATTTCGAGATTTTGTCGCCGTTCAGAATATTCTTCCAAGAACTTATCATTTAAACTGTCAAAAAATGAAATCACCTTCACAATCATTTAATGACATGAAGTTTAAAATTAGTTTCGCAACCTCCACATCGATTTCGCATATCAGATTCTGATAATCAGAAGAACAATATGTACATACTTCGTAAGTCAATTTCAAGTAAATATTGAGTTTCTTTAGCCACAAAGCAATGAAAATCAAATCTATAGTCTCTCGCTCCAACTATAGCATTAATGATACGTATTTTTTTTTTATCGAAATTCAATAAAATAAATGTAAACACTTTTATTTTCTTAAAAATTCGACCAGAATTAAATAAAATTAATTTAATAGCTAAAAGTTCTACGAATGTCCCACCGGGGCTGTATTATTCACACTCAACATTTTCCTTAATTCGTATGCATGCCCAATCTTCGGGCAATTCATAGCTATTCCACATTTTTGCTTCCAAATGTTCGTTGGTCTTGAACGGCAGATGCCAGTAGTCGCCGACTTTATGAATGTACATTTTATATTGCATCGGTTTTACAAGTTCGATTGGTTTATTTTGTCCAAGTGTGAATCCATACCATTGTTCTTGTTGCCACAATTTAAACAATTCATTATACCGCCCGATTGCAAATTTATGATCTCGCATAAAGTCATTTGATAAAATATAAGAGTTTTGGCCGCTGTGCATGGCTGCATACAGTAAAAATATATCATCTTTAGATCTGCAATTGAAATCAGTCATAAATTAATTTCGAATGTTTATGACATGTGAAGAAGAGCTGCTTACATATTATCAACTAAGAAAAGAGTGGCAATTTTTCGAATATTGTTTATATTTGGCCAACGGTTCATGTGTTTTCTACCAACGACCAAAACGCGTTTGCCCTCGTCATGTAGTTGTTTCACTGCATTTGTAAGCGTATGCACGTTGGGTCTGCCGTCAAGATTAAAGTGCAATTTGCTTAAGCTGCTACTTTGGTTGTTAGCTTTAGCTTGGTCAACAGTTTTCTTTGCTAAATAAGAAACATTTAAGCCATCCATTACAATATCGAATGGTCCGTTTTCCCTGATCACCTCTTCAAACGATTTCCATTCTTCAGGCGTTGTTTTTTGATAAATATCAGCACCTTTTACAACTTTGTCCATAAATTCTGTTCGTAGCATGTTGAATTGAGTGGTGCTCAGTGGTTTTGATTTTTCAAGTTGACTTTTGCACGTACTACAGATGCCACTGTAAGTAAAATAAAAGAAATTAACTGTGTGTTCACATGATCATTTTGATTTTCAGTCTTACGAAAAGCCCATATTGATGATTTTTGCTTGATGACCATGTTTTTCCAGAACATCTCTCAATTCCTTTATTGCCGGTTCAGTGAATAGCATTTTGAGTTTTTCGCACAGCGAAAATAGTTTGTTAGCATTTGTCGGAATACTTTTTGGATTTCTATTAAAATATTTGGCAACTGATTGAATGGTTTTGCTATTCAAATGTTGATGATGTTTTGGAAATGAAAATAGTTTATGTAATACATCCCAAGCCATATCGATCTCATTTTCCTTCAACGCTTTACGTGCAATTATATTTACTGAATTTTTGCATAATGCGGGCAGTTCAATTACTTTGCGCCAGTCTTTTGTGGCACATAGTCCATTCACGATTATTGAATTCATTTCTGGAAGGGCATGGAACTCTTTAGCTATTAGCGCATCACACCTAATGCAAATAGAAAAACAATAGCATTGTTATGAAAACAGTTAATGGAAACGTGAATATTAACAATTACAAACCGGCCGATCAATTCTTGCTCCTCTTTTTCTGTTAACTGGGATTCGGACGCCTTCTTTGCATAAAGCCGAATGAGTTTTGATGTTATATTTAGATCGTCCTTTATATCGAATGCTTCAATAAAATTTCTCGCATTTTCCATCGAGTCATTTGGCGGCCGAAGAGTAAAAAAAACATCAAATATATGGTCTCGTATTCTATGATAAGATTTTGATCTCATTTCCGATTCGATTGTTCTGAATTCTGAAACGGACAAACTTCTTCGATTTTTTAATGCCGATGTTATGCATGTTCGAACTAATTCAAATCTTTCTTTTTGTAATTTAGCTGCACGTTCTTCTTTACTTATCAACAGTTTGAAAATTTTTGCATAGTTGGAAACCTGTTGAAATGGCTTAGAATTTCCACAAATACTTGTTTTTCTTAATATCATAAACATTTTGGTTATACAAATTACGAGACCGTCACATTGATGTGTTCGGCGAACTGTTCATGTCAATGTTGTCATGTGAATGAATTCGAAACGAGAGGAAACTTGATTTAAACGTCATTCCATTTTTCACTCGTTTCAAATTCAAACATGTTGACATTGACGTTGACAGACCATAGAATATCAGTTTAAATGCAACGTTTTTCTATTTAATGTAAAAAAATATTAACGATTTCGAATTTTCAACAAACATTTTCGAACATTCTGTAATGAATTCACTAATTACCTAACTAAATCGGTTTTTCATTGTTTCTATAGTTTACCAGAGGGCCAATGAGCAAAAACGTTTTATGCAAATAGTTTTGCTGGTTTATTTTGTTTTTTATTATTGTATTTCAAGAGCTGCGTTGTATTTCATTTGAAATTTTGATTATTTATTTCTGTTTTCCATATCAATTTTCTTATATACATACAAACTCGACGAGTAAATTTCTTTGTATCGTGTGTAATAATCGAACTTTGTGTGTAAAAACTTGTCCACTGAACAAGTAGTTAGTATTTCATTCGCTCGATCTATCAGTGCATGTGTATTGAGGACTTTTGTGGTGCGAATTTCTCCAATATAAATAGTTTGATGACATTCAAAACATTCCGTGTGAGATAGTTAGAGTTTCCCACTATAAATAAACATTTTCTAAGATTGTGAAACTACATCCTTTAATTCGAATTGTACACAAAATAGTTCGAAAAAATAGGAAGTTTAATAATTTGAAATATTGTCGACCAGAAGAGCAAAATTTAAGATGGCAGATACAAGCATTAGACACACAAAGTCAGAGTTCAATCTGCGAATTCCAGTCAGCAAATTGAAAAATTTCAACTCACCGGAGTTCGACGTTGGAGAAATTCCATGGAAGATCCAGATAATGAAATCTGTCGTAACTGAAGAATGGCTTGCAGTATATTTATATTGTAAAAAGAAAGAAAAACCACGTGATTGGGAAGTTGCAGCAAAATGCCATTTGAAGTTACTTTCCTTTGGTGTCAAACGCAATACAATTGAAATGGATCTTGCCTATGTTTTTGATAACATCGGATTTGGTCATGGACGTTCAAATTTCATCAAATGGGAAGATTTATTTGATGCGAAAAACAATTATATAAAAGACGGCATGATCAAGTTAAACGTCAACGTTGAAGTAATTGATCCAGACGATGAAAATCCTAGTAAACTTCTTGTTTATATCAACAAACGTCGCGACGAAAGCAGCCAAGTTACTTTGAAGGTCACAGTGAACAACATCGACAATCTTATCGCCGTCAAAACTCCGAAATTCGTGCTGCAAAGTGTGCATTGGCGTTTGATTGTTAAGAAGGTTTGAGATCAACTCAATATTTCTGTTGAATGTGTAGACGAATCTGCGAAGTGTATGTACAACGTTAAGTTTGATTTCAAAATGAAATCTTCAAGGGGAGGACACAAAGATCTCAAACATTCTTGCAATGGCCGCATCAAATATGCAAATTCTATTTCTCGTGCAGTGGTTAAATGGTGTAAATTATTTAAACCAAAAAACAGGTTCATTGTCAACAACAGCATTACCTTTGAAATAAAAGTCAAAGTGGATAAGCTAGAAGAAGTCGATTCAAGCCCAGCTGAAGCTGAATCAAACGAACTGGAATGCTCCATTTGCTTGGAGAGCTTGAAGAACCAAAAGGTATCGTCAACCCAATGCGGTCACATGTTCTGTACAAATTGCATCACAAACGTTGCTCGAAATCGTAAGCTTTGTCCTGTGTGCAACAAGAAAATCACCATGACTAATATCATACGAGTTTTTTTGCCATTGTAAGTAAATTACTTTTATTCTTATGTTTTGAAAAAATGAAAGAGCAGACTTTGATTTCGTTGTTATTTGTTTTATATTCACAGAGCCAAGAAGAACCACTGAACAAATGGAAGTCGAAAAACATCGCTGTCCAAAAAAACCAACATCCCATTGATTTAGTTTGAATTCATAACTCGAACATAAAGAAAGTTGCGAGTATTAATTGACGGAATTTCGAATACATCGTTCCATGGGTCACCGTGACACTGTTGATCATCAAATCAAAAACTATTAAAAAAACTTGTAAAAAAAATTATTTTCTCGCCAAAAACCAGGGGCATATCACCATTTGCAAATATTCTGTATTTGCAAAAAATTTGCATATTTCCAAAGATATTTGCAAGTTTTTTTTAAATATTTTTACACATTTGCAAATATTTGACCTGATTTACGACATTTGTATACTTGACTGTGTAAATGCAGCTAATGATAATAATTAACTCCAAGTTTAAAATATTAAGAAATTTTAATATTATCAACTTTTTTTTTATTTTGTTGTCCGAAATATTAAAATTATGCTGAAATAAATATAATATTTCTAACTTAACCTAACTTTCGCTTTGCAAATGTTGAACGTGGTTGAACGTAATAACTTTAAACTGTCTAGTGGAGACGGTAGTGAATTCGCCGCGCAAATAAAAGCTTTTTGACATCGGTCTGTTTTTGACGTTTGATGTAAAACAATAACAAATATGATTTGTTATTGTCGCTTCATATTTGTTATTGTTTTACATCAAACGTCAAAAACAGACCGATGTCAAAGAGCTTTTATTTGCGCGGCGAATTCACTACCGTCTCCACTAGACAGTTTAAAGTTGTTACGTTCAACCACGTTCAACATTTGCAAAGCGAAAGTTAGGTTAAGTTAGAAATATTATAATTATTTCAGCATAATTTTAATATTTCGGACAACAAAATAAAAAAAAGTTGATAATATTAAAATTCTAAATATTTTATACTTGAAGCGACTTGAAGTTAATTAGTTCAATTTTATTTAAGCCATTTTCAACAAGCTATCTAGAAGGCAAACAATGCCGCATTTGTGATACATTTGTATATTTGCTCAACATTTGTTGAATTTGTGATACATTTGCTGCATTCATTGAAAGCACAGCATATTTATTCAAAAATGATGCATTTGTTTTCGTGATATGTCCCTAGGCAAAAAAAAACTCAGAAAATCGTACGAGCCGCATTCTAGCCCCAATGTCTGTTGATAAATCATTGAAGTGCCAAAAAATGTAATGTGAAGTTTTATTTTACCTTTTTCCAACATTTTCTGTAAAATTCGAAATATTGAAATATGAAGATAATTACTAACTGATAAGATACTAACGATTGTTGATCAAGGTGTGTGAAGTTTTTTCCTCGACATTCGAATATTTAAATGGGACCTTCACATAAAAATCGTTCGTAAATAGTTCATTGCGTTCCTTTAAGGAAAAAAATAGTTCGTTTTTGGGGGCCGAGATAATTTTTGTACTAAAAACCATTTTTGTAAAATTTCCGCAAATAATAAAATTTTCAAAAAATTCTTTCACCAAAAAATCGTTCGTAAATAGTTCGTTCTGAATCGAGGAGAATATTTGCACTTTTTTTTAATTTTTGCAATTTTTTTTCAAAATCAAAATTTTTGATTTTGAATTTTCGAGCTCGAAAGAGATATGAAAAAAATTCTTTCACCAAAAAATCGTTCGTAAATAGTTCGTTCCATATCATATGATTTTATGGTATATTTTTATTTTTTTCCGAAAACTTGAACATTTTGATTTTTCCCAAAAAATTGGAAAAAATGGATTAAATTCAATAAAATAAAACTGCCAAAAATAGTTCACAATTAGTTCGTTCCATACATATGATTTTCTCACTTCTAACGTTTTTATTTAATTTTAAATGAACTCATATATTACATAGAACCTTCACATTCCTCCAAAAAACTTGTAAAAATACATAAATTATAAAAATTATATATAATTGTGACGAACTATTTACGAACTATTTTTCTGCATCATTTATTTATATTTTATTAAAAAAATTTTTTAGTACAAATTCTTCATATGCAGATTTTTCGAAAAAATTACAAATAATTTATCGAAAGCTATATATATTTCAAACGAACTATTTTCGAACTATTTTTCTGCATCATTCGTTTTATATTTTATTGAAAAAATTTTTTAGTACAAAATCTTTCTATGCAATTTTTTTGAAAAAAATACAAATAATTCATTCAATTTTATATATATTTAAAACGAACTATTTCCGAACTATTTTTCTATGTTATTAATTCATTCAAATAACATATAACTAGTTTCAATCAAAATGTGATATAGTCAGCGCCACCTCTTGCACTATATATAAACAGTCTCAACACACGTGCAGTTGAAATGTCATTTGTGTTTTCAGTGCAAAGAATTGTGTTCGTTTGTATAGTGTGATGAAATTCGGCGGTGAATGATTTAACGGTATCGTAAATTATGAGAAGAATCTTCTGGGCGGGATTTTTGAAATACCATCACTCTAAATTTAGAAAGAAAAAGAGTTGTTTTTAACATATTTACCAATTTTTGTTCATAAATACTCTTTCAATACTTTGTATTCTCTTTTCAGTATTTTTTCTATTTGTTCAGTAATTGTTCGCCTGTGTTCACTATGATAATTATCATATCAGTCAAAATACCGAAAAATATAAGTAATTACAAAAATATCTTTTTTGTTTATTTCATATATTTCCTTTAAATATATTATTTTGGTCAATTTTAAATTGTCATTTAATAGTTATTTAGTAGTTAAAACAATGATTTGTTTAGTAGAAAATTCAATTCCAAGTGAAATACTTGAATGAAAATGAAATAATGAATAAGAAGAACGCGAACATTCAGTAAAAGTAAGTTTCTTCTGTCAATTGTTTGTTGGCATCTTCAGCGCAATATTTGAAAGCAATGCTTTGAATTTCCAACTTGGCACGTTTTCGCAATGCTTGATCGCGGATGTTGTGTAGAACCGATCCGATGAAATGAGAAAAGTTCTGTTCTCCTGACGGCACTTCAGAGAAAATTGGTGATTGGGGTTGTGGCGATGGTGTCATCGAGTAAAAGTTCGATGTCGATGAATGCGGTACATTGAATTGCGACGTTGAATTGGCCGATTCAAAACTAGTTGATGGTTGATTTGTCTCAAATGTGACTTCGTCTGTGCCAAAATTGCGTGTACTTCCGTTCGTTGTCGACGATGGACCAAATACATTCCACATCGATGCATTGTTGTTGCCGGTATTCTTAAAACGTGATGCCGATGGAATTGCGTTGATGTTGCCGTCATTAAAATGGCAAAAATTGATGTGAAAGTATTGCATTGCCTTTTGAAATTTTGTTTCCAACTCATTTGCATCCAAAACTCTTGATGTACGTTTTGCCGTGAAAACAATGATATCACGGCTCATGGAATCATCATCTTCATCTAGCGGAATGGTCTCCAAATGCTTATTCGACGCATTCTTAAAGTATTGACTGTGCGTTATATTTACGCGCAATTTCTTCGCCACCCTTTTCAGCATTCTGTAAAATTGTGGGATCACCGGTGGATAAAAGGTGCTGCTGAATTGGTGTTTTGCCATGTAAGCTTCGTAGCATTCTTCCAACGAATGTTGGTGATAATCACACTTTTCACACCACACACAGATATTCACGTTGACGTGGAAGTCGTGACAAAATGCCATATGCTCCAAAGTGGTTGAATATGGTGCCAATAATTCACAGTGCTTGCACTTTAACAATTTATTTTCAATTTTCACATTCGTTGGCAGCTTATAGCTGTAGTACTTGAACGAAGCAAATGAATTTTTCGATGTAAGCAATTGCGACAACAGTTTCGGCATCTTATCGATTTCTGCATACATTCCCGAAATATCGATGTGATAATCGATAACACACAACATCTTCAGCACAGTCAAGTGATATTTTTCATTTAATGCGTCATAAATTGGTGCAATCGGTCGGCTTTTCAAATGCTCAATGAGTATAGAACTCATTTTTAGGCAGAGAAAATCTACAAACAATAAGTTTTATTAGAATTATATCCATATCCAAATGGAATTGTTTTTTTTTTTTTTGATATTGTCGACACTTACCGCAAAAATCCTGCCACAAAAAATCTTTTTGTTTTCTCTCAATTTCTTCCACAGCAACTTGTTGTCGTCAGCACTGTACTCGAGTATGTGATGGGCGAAAGCAACGACACGATGTCGTTAAAGTGTGACGAAATAAATATGCGGTCAACTCACACATGCACAAGCACTGAAACCGATGCGCATTCCATAAAGCACTGTAATCCTTTCTCTATGTTTATTCTTGAGAATCTCTCTGAATCAGTTTGAATTGTTTGCATTTTCATTTTTGCGTTCTATTCAAAAATCCACGATATTTGTGTTGAATAATGAAATTTTGTTTATTATTCTTTCCTAATGATCGCTTAATGCAAGAAGAAATATGAAATGTTTAATGCGCGCTCTTTTTATAGTTCTAGTTGTGTAAAAATTGAAACTTTAGTGTGAGACACACATACATACATTGAAATACATTTTTCAATACACACAAGGTACTAGTCCTGTTAGAATGAAACTATAACGATATACTTCGATCTGTCAAATTATATTGAATTATAAATTTGAAATGAACAATATTTACATTAGAGAATGATTATTACGCACTATTTGTAATTTATTTTGAATTAAATAAAAAAGCATTAAAAAATGACAAAAAATATCAAAGACATTGTTATTGCCTAAAATCATATTTTACATTAAAATAATAAACATAAGTAGGCTGGGAAAAAATCGGATCATCGCCAGTCACCATTTAAGAAACTCCCTGAGTAGTCGAAATTCAAATGATTGTTTAACAATTTACTTACATTGTAAAGTTGAAACACTGGCATACTCCATACAGCATTCGATTCAACGACACTGTTGACATTCAACGACTGTCAACGTTTTATTGAAGTACAAATTGAGCCGTATGTTTTTGATCACAAAAGTCCGTTGGTAGAAAAAATAATCAATTGGAACGTTTCGATAAATAAAGCAATTTTGTGGAAAACGATAACGGAGATAAATATCAAAGTGGTCAATCCAAATGATCAATGGAAGCGGCATAGTCTTTGAGTCAATTTTGCAGTCGTTTTACAGGAATATTCCATATCTTTTAAAGTCAATGCGTTAATACTAGAATTCATAATGCAAAATATGACATGGGATCATTATTTTATACTCACACAACGATAACTTTGGACACTAAAACATGTTGATCTATATTCTGAATAAATGATATGAGTTTCAGTACGAATGTTGATGATTCAATGAAAACAAACAAAGAAAATGATTTAACTACAAAAGTATGATGATTTATTCGAGAGAAAATAATAAAATTATGAACTCAGCGCTTGTTGCGTTTATATTTTTCAGTTTCCATGATTATATCTTTTGCCCAAAAAATGCCCGCCGTGCGATGTATTTCGAATTGCGCCTGTTTCTTCAACTGTTCGTCCTTGATGTTTGTCAATGCAGCAGCAATGAAATTGGAGAATACTTAACCCGGTGCCACTTCCACTAGTGTTGATTTGGTCAATGCTTGCGATGCGCCAATATCCAAATTGGTTTGTTTTGGCTCCAATGTTGTTGAGTGCGGAGCTTCAAACTGCGACGGTGATTGTGAAATATCGACTTGAACTGGATCTATTTCAATGACAAAATCAGGTGGTCTGAAAATATGAACAAAAGTATTTTGTTCCGTGTCAATCTCATTGCCGGTATCGTTGCACCGATATTCATGCGCTTTGTCACCATAAAAGTGTACCATTGCTTTATCATAGAGATCATTTAATGCCGCTTGATCGATTCCATTATAACGTTGGCGTTTTGGCGGTTGGACAATAGTTTCGTTGGTCATTGATTCATTCTTTTCATAGTCCGTACGGTCGATGCAGTCATGAGCACTTTTAGCGTTTTCGTCGCACTTGATTCTCACACGAAGCACTTTTGCCAATGATTTCAACATACCGTAGAATCGTTTGATGACCTTTGGATGCTTGGCTGTGTTCAATCCTTGAGTTTCGATGTATTTGTCATAGCACTGATTCAGCGAATTTTGCACCGCGTGTGAATTGAGCTCGATCCTCTCGCACCACATACAAAGTTTTGCATTTGCATGAAAATTGTGATTGATGATCATGTGCTCCAGCATCACCAAATACGGACCAAACAGCTCACAATACTTGCATTTGAGTACCTTTTTGCCAGAAAAATAGTTCGGCAATTTGTGGTTGAAGTATTTGAACGATCCGTACGAATAGAAGCTCAGCAATTGATGCGACAATTTTGAAGTCACTGTAATTTCGGGATACAGATTCATTGTTTCAAGATGATAGTCCACGATGCACATTACTTTTAGGGCATTCACGTTGTTTTTTTCATGCGATGATGCTACAATTGTTGCAATCGGTCGGCTCATCAAATGTTCCATTAATTTTGCAGACATTTTTCTACGAATTGATTTTTCATGCACATTAGACACGGATTTTTATACATTTTTTGATTAATTTTAGCCTTAATTATGGAAATTACTTACGTTTCTATTCAGTACTTTGTTTCGGGTTCGTTATGTCTGCTAAACTTATGTGCTTGTAAATAATTTCGAAAACGAAGACAGTATACCAAACAACTTCAATACAAACGGCAGAATGGAGCAAAGAGGAAAGCATGCAATACACACACATTTAAGCTTGAGCGCTTAACTTTGCTATATGTGTACTTACACTGCTTTTTGAAATGTTTGACACAGTCACAATACGCTTTCAACGTGTGTGTGTAGGTGGTTTTATAGAACCCACTTGAATTGAAAAAAGGATTTTGATTAGCAATATTTAAACAACAGCCAACATATGGTGGCTGGAAGAAAATGTTTTATATTTAATTAAATGAAATTTATTTCCCTTATAAATGTGTTATTTCGATTATATTTCAAGAGTTTTATGCTACGAATAAATCTTTTAATTTAAATTTCGCTCTTTTCTAAAATATCAGTGGTGCATACATTAAGTACTTGAGTTTATCTTGAGTACTTCATCGTATTTAGGATCACATATTTGAGTATATTTCAAATGGTTCGTTATATGTGCCTGAATAGTTGTTTATTTAACAATTTATTTTGCATTTAGTTGATAGGAATATAGAACATAAAATCTGCTTGAATTTAATTGCCATTTAAGATTTCGCCAAACTATGATTATTTTGATTATTTTTCCAAAAATATAGAGCTTAAATCAACATTTACGTCGGATTTATTTCTCGCATTTTATACGTTTATTTTTTTTATTCATATAAATCCACAGATTAAAAGATATTTTCAATAAATACGATCCATTTGAACTATACAAGGCTGATTGAAAATGACCTGAAAAAATGAATGAAAGGTGTCACTTTTCCCAAATTGATAGATAATGTTTTTGAGAAGTACCATCCTTCAAACCTCTACGTCACAAATTTGAAACAAATCCATCCACGGACCTCAAAATAAATCTCAATTCCCTATTTCATCACTTTATTCGGAAGGGCAGCAATTATATTAAACTATTCTTCCCACTCAGGAGACAGTTAGAGGTCCCATCAACCCACACCAGAAATAACAAAGTAATTGGGTGAAATTTTCTTGCTCAAATGTTGGACTGATATAATAAAATAACTGTTCAACGTGATTCTTAGGGTCTATTTTAAATAAATCACTAGGATACCTCAGATCTGTTCAACCATTTCTTCAAAAAATGCCATTTTCGAGGTGTTCGTTTCCTCTGCCTCCACGATCCCATCCAAAATCAATAGAAAATTTCCTTGTGGCTCTAGTAAAAATATTATCAGTTTGGAAAAAGTGATACCTTTCATTCATTTTTTCAGGTCATTTTTGATCAGCCTTGTATACCAAAAGGGTTCCAAATGAATTTCTTTATTTGTTGTCATCAAGTATTGAACACTTTGTACGATTGAATTCAAGCCAAAAAAATTACAAAAACGTTTTTTTGTATATTTATAGCGTAAAGCGAATAAAAAAAGCACTCTAACAATGATGTTGTACGACAAAATCGGATGATCGACATTGTGTCCACTCACCATGGCATCAGTAATTGTTTTATTGTATGCGGAAATGTGATTGAGTGACAGGGAAGAATATATATGTTCTAAAATTCACCAATTCAACTCATATCATATGGAACACAATGATTTTGCGCGTATTGCAAAAAATAACACGTCTCACTTTAAAGTGATTAGCGGTATTTTTTTCTCTTTCGTTGCTCTTCCATTCCCTTTTCTAGCCAGAGAAAATTAGTTGTGTCATCACTATAAATTGTACGGTTTGCTTTGGAACTGTTTCAGTTGTTATTTTGCACTCTTGCTAACCACTCCGAAATATTAGCAAATTCAGCAAAATCCAAATCGACGCAATTTGAATATTTTGTGTGTCTCAGTTAAGATTGATAGCCAACCATAAAAAATGAGAATTATTTTGTTCGGTATTGTTGGTAAGTAGAAAAAAAGCAGTGAGTAAGGTGAATTAAATGTAAACAATGATATCGAAGTACATTTTGCATATTTCGTCCAGTCGTACATCCATTCTTTTTATGTGCTTGTCGATAGGGTTTCGTAAAATTAAAAAAAAAATAATCATATGAAATTGGAACATAACACGACGGGTATAAAAATTAAAAAATGAACGCGCAAAAAAAACTAAATTGGACAAAATCATTTCAATTGTTTAAGTTAAAAATGAGTTCAACTAGAACGCCAAGATTGAATAAAAGATTCATTTTGATTAAGATCGTTTCCTGTATTCACACCAATTAAACACTAGTTTGACGCAATTTAACTGAACTGATTACTTTGTTCATTTCAATGTCATACACACACACACATTCTCTCTCATTTTTCTCTTCTTTCATAGTTTTGCTGGTAATCAGCTCGATTTTCGCCGCTCCCGGCGTAACGCCAAACACAAAAGATTGTAAAGAGTGTAATTTGGACTATGTGCCAGTTTGTGCTGGACCAAAAGGCACCCAGAACGATCGTGAAAAGAAGTCATTCGGTAGCGTTTGCGTCATGGAAAAATACAATTGCGAAAATGACGAAAGTATGTTGATGCTAATTGATTTTAAGAATTAATCATATGATCACACTAAATAAACTCTCTCTTTAAACATTTCTGTGAACAGAATTGGTGAAATTGAGCGACGGCGAGTGTCCAGGTAGCAAATCGGTTCGCCTACAATAACCATATTTAACCAGTCCAATTACAATGAGTTAATCTCTTGTTTTTATTACTAACATTTGTTTTCATAACTAACGAACGATAAACGGACAAAATAGATCAGAAATAAGATTGATTACACTATCAAATAAAATGGAATTAATCACATAAATTGCGTTGTCGTCTCATTTCTTTTCTTCTGTGCAAAGTTATTTTTAGACAGATCTCAAGGTCATTTAAAATGAACTGAAAAAAAAATTGTTATACTTTTGTGAGAAGTCAGCTTTTTATCGCATCACGTCATTCTTCTATAAATATGAAACTAATGATGTTTTGTGCACATAATTAAGTCTCAACTAATTCGCCAATAATTTGGTATGAATTTCCGAAATTGGCAAGCAATTTTAATTAGTTGTGAACATGCTGTGAGCACAAAGCATTTGAGCATCGATCAGTTCCAAATTAAAATTCAAATTTTTTGTTAATATTTGGTGAGCGAGAGATTTATATATCGAGATATTTGTTCAATTTCAATTTGTTGCACATGTTTAATCTGAGCAAAACAAATGTGCTTGAAATTAAAAAAAAAAAAAAAAAAAAAAAAACAAAGCCATTATGTCATTGTAATGGTATTTGCTGCACTATTATTGTGGCTTTCGTTTTCATTCAAAAACGAGTTGAGCAATGTTACCTTCGCTCATGATGCATTAGTCATATCCGTGTATAATTTAAATACGTAGAAAGACTTCCGAAATGTTTGTTGTAATTTAGCAGAAGGCAGTACAAGCCAGAAGTACTCGAACAAAAAGATAAGATGATGTCGTACGTATGTACATCGAGTAGCCAATTGAAATACATATGTTCCCGTTACATTTCATTCCTTGCATACCTGTACACTTATCAAACTCATCAATTTGAATGACTTCTTTTTCTAATATTTATTGGCGGCAAATTCAACTTTACATGCATACATTCAGTCCCATTACGAAAGTCATAAAAAATGTGATTTGCCTTGAAATGTTGTACTATGCACAACTTACATTAGAATCGAAATATCATTGTGATTGAAATCAGTGGAAAAAAAATCGTGTTCTTTTTGCAATACAGTCAAAGATCGGTCTGATTCTAATGTTATGTTTTTAACGCCGTAAGTAATATATATAGAAAACAGTACAAAACACGCACCGCACTGTTTACAAGCATGCGGTGAATGGTATAGAAGCAGAGACAGAGCGTACGAGAGATAGAAAAACAAGGAAAAAGAGAGAGAGAGAAAACGTAAAGACCAAAGACAAAATAGCGGCAGCTGAGTGAGAGTAGTGCTGTGTTAGCGTTCGTGCGACTTAGTTGCATTTTTCATTCGTTCGACGATCGTCAGTCGTATCACATTTGCTTCATTGGCTGCCAAATCTTACGTGTATTTACTGAATTTTTGATTTTTCATTAGAAATAATATTTTGATAAGTGGCATTGCGTTTGACATGAAATCAATTGTAAATTCCGAAAACCAATCTGATACTCTAGCGGCGAAGTGACAATTTTAAGTGAATTTGATAAAAAAAAAAAACATTATTATAACGACGAATGACATAATAGTATTTATTTCAAATACGATATCCACGATTAAAAATAGACACATTTTTTTGTCGGTGTCAAATCTCAATTGAAATGATGTTCAATTTTTGTTTGATCTTTTCTAAAATTCTGTCGGGTCAATGAAACGAAATTGTAGTAGTTGTGGTTTTTTTTTGGATTATTAACAGCGAAAACGTTATTGAATGTGCTGGAAACCTGTGACACGAACCCCCCTACACAATCGTCCAAATTTGGACCGTAAATTCCGTTCGTTGTTCTTTTTGTTTGTGTTTAAATTGAATGTGGCATCGAAAACGAAAACAGGAACTGGAAGCGTTAACACCAAATGACAATCATAAATTTAACACACTTGGCGCGTATCAAATGAAATAACCGCGGATCGGGATATAAAAAAAGGAAGCATCAATTTGTACGTGTGATGCATTACAATTTAACATAATTGGTTTCGATATCCAGCACAGCGTATCCGAATACTGTTGCCACACACATACACAACATAATTGACGTTAAATTGAAAAGGGGCATTCAATTAAGTGCAAATGTACACATCAAATGCCCTAAATCATCGTCAACAGAAGACCGCGATATTGGCGAGTTTCATCGACCAACGAAAGTGATAAAAATGGTTAAATGCGTTGCCATTGCACGCAGATGTGTTAAGTGAATCGAACGAAAAACAAATGTACTAACTTCAATATTCGAAACGATATTGTGTTGAACACAATCAAATTTAAATTCAAATAAATTTCGTCGTTAAATTTCCGATCGTTATCAAGAGAAAAATCAGTTAAATCGAAATGAACAATTCGTTACCGTTGAATCTTGAAAAATATCAGGTGAGTTACTTATCAATTTTTTATGTGAACCATTTACAAAGTGAAATTAAGTGACTTTGTGCAAAACATTGTATATTTATACCTTGTTTTCAAACGCTCTGAACCGCGTACGAATGATTCATGCCGCACTGACGATTTGTGTCAATTTTATTGGTGATTCAGAAATCGCTTCTTTGCCGCTCATGTCTTAATTCCGCCAATATTCAAGCAATTCATTCGGTGATCAAAAACGTCAATCGTATTGATAGTCATTCAACATATTACTTATATACTTTTTTTATCGCTTACTTTAAGCTGTTATTCAATATGGTCAATACAAATGTTTTCTGCGATTAAATAAAACGAGAACGTGCAACAGAAAAACAACGCCACCGATTTCTGTTTTCTTAGCAGCAAAAGCCGTTTGTTGTTTTTTTTATTTCTTCGAAATCACAAACCTACTCCAGTGATCGACTTGTCACTGTGCCCATTCATTGTAACAGTTGGCTCTGCGTGAGTGTATGCAAATGTTCAATAGATATCATAATATACATCATTCATATATTGTGAAAAGTTTGTTTTCCGAATTAATGAATTGATCGTTTGGGTGTATGTGATTCATTAACGTGGGCCGTTTGATCGAACCGAATTAATTGAAAAATCACAGAGAGTTCACCGCCACGCGTGATTCAACCTAGTGATATCTTTTTTTTTTTACAAATGTCTCTTTTCGCCTCTGATTAGGTAACGCACATTTTTATCCGAATTTATGTGTGATTTATTTTCATATTATGACACGTAATCGCAAAATTATATTGTCATTTATGATGATCCGATTGAAACCAACGTAAATTCAGCTTAAAACAAAAATACATGGTCAGAAAGAAGCCACGCAAATGTCACAACTTTCTAACAAAACATTGTTTACATTTTATTCACCCGATCACATAAGACTCCGAACCGTTTTAATTGTGAGTTTTATCGTTCAAGTTTTCACATTTCTCGACACAGATCGTGCAATTGCAATGAAGTTAGAAATAAAACGACAATTTGCCTAATTGAAAATGTAGTTATTACATGGAATGTGTCATTTTCGAAACAACTTGAATGAAATGACAACACAAGTGGTTGTGAGTGACGCCATAAAACTGTGTTTGTTCGTTGTACAAACAAAATTAAAATATTCTATAGCTGTTTTGCTTATTTTCGTCAAATTTTATTAATAATAAATCTGCTGGATTCAAATACCCAAGACTCGCTCATAATTCGGGCAAATGCCATTTGCTTCGACTTTTCATGTAACTGTTTTTGTTCATTTTTTGATGTTGTTGGTTGTCATGAACACATGTTCATCGCCTTTGACATGGGATCATTTACGTTTTGCATGTGTTGGAATCAATTCCATTCGTTTCTTTTAAAAAATAGTCAAAAAAAAAAATACTTGAACATAAACATTGTTTCTATCGAAAACAATAAACATGAACACACGATTCGACCAGATCTAAATAAACGGAGAAGAAGAAAAAAACGCTGGATCAATCTCAAACATGTATGGATCTTGAGTGGACGACTTGATTTGAACTCTGCACCAGAAATTCAATTAGTTTCACTCTTGAGATGGCTATATTTTTTGGATGCAATTGTGTGTGTAGCTGTGGCGCACAATGAATTGATTGTTCTTGATGTTCGTTATTATGGAGAAAAACAGAGAGAGAGAGAGAGAGAGAGAGAGAGAAAAAGCAACCGCCCATTAACAACGTGTTTTTATTCAATTACATTGCATTTAATTAGTAACTTTGTTTCGCATTTAAAGTGCACTAAAACAACTTCATTTATCCGCTGATAATGATGCATGAGCACACAGCAATTCTTTCGTAATAGTATTTCAAAATTCATTTGCATGTGGTTTGACGCAGCCGACGTAGATGTGAGCATCGACTGCATACTATAAAGCCAATGCTCTGCACTATTTGACATGATAAATCGCCTATCAAATATATTAATCAGCATATGGTTTATATCATAAATAACAAATGCAATGCACAACACACCATACACACTTTGACTCATTCCAAATACCAAATTTTTCAATCTCGTCTCGAAAAACTATGAATATTACAATTACATTTTTCGCCATGCTCTCCGGCAAAATGTGTCAATTCTGCATGTATACACTTTCGAAAAAGGCAAAAGCGGAAAAAAGTCTCTCTCTAAATTATTTCAAATGAACGTCATCAAATAATTTATGAGTTTGTGTCGTTTGCAAAAATTTCATGCAGCAGCTGAACCATCAAAAATTCCATATTTCTTCCATGAAATATTTTATTCCCCCTTGCACGCACACCAACCAAATGATGCACATTTTATGAAATCCGATTAAACCGTTTCGAGCAATGACTGCGATTTTTTCGGTAACAACGGAAATTATGATCTTTCCACCGAAAATGAACATTTTTGTATTTCGAAACCAAAAATTTTGTCATTGAGAGTGAATTCAATATCATTTGTTAATGCGATTCGATACACTGTTTCTTCTACTGTTTTTTTTGTGGCGTATTTTTTTTAACGCAAACCATAAATTGTTATATGAACCAATTTTTTCAAACACCCTTTTTTGAAAAGAATTCCATTCTAATATTAAAAAGTGATCTATTGAGTGACAATATTTAACTTATTTGGCTGCAATCTAAATCAAATAAAATCACATCAATTTTTAACTGAATATTTTAAAAATCAACCCATTTCAAATTGCGTATGATAATTTCATAGCGATCGAATAGCAAACGATTTATGATGTTGTGTGTTAAATAGACAACATTCAACGGACCCATATTATTTCCATCTTCCCCTTGTCTTGTTCATCCACACATTGCCTATTACCTGAGAATTCAAAAAAGTACTTATTATTTTCGATGCGTTTGCACAGAAATGCAGTTGTTGTACGCATATGGGAAAGCAATATATCTGTCACTCACTCGACCGTCGAAACGAAACCAAAGAAAAAAAAATCAAAGATAAAAATAGTAGTGCGCAAACAAAAATAGAAATATAGGTAAAAACTTAAGTGAAAGAGGCCATATCGCACTGGGTGTGTGTTTGCAACGGAATTATTGTAAAAGAAACGTAACGAAAGACAAATGCATGCGGCATACAGTGTGACAAGGAGAGAATGTGTTATTTTAAACGAGGGTTTGTTGTTTGTCAGTTATTATGAAATGTGTATGTCTGCGCAAGATAATCTAAATGTTCCGTTTTTCTCTCTTTCTCTATCTCTCGTTCAAACCAAAAGATCGATACATTTGGAAAGAACACGATTTTCAAATTTAAACCAATGCAACGACGAAGAACGAATGTGTTCAAGCACAGGCATTGTATTTGTTCAATTGCAGCATAAAAACAAAGTTACGGCTTGCAAATTAGCACTGTTGTAAACACGATTTTTTTCGGTTACGCTTTGTTTTTCAAAGACATGCTTATAGAAATACGAGACTTCAGGTCTTTTTGTCTTTCTTCAGACGAAATAGACAGAAAAACAATTAATTGGCACTTTTCACAGAGAGTACGTGCACACTCTTTTTTTTCGCCAACAAATACTGGATGATTGCGCAAATTACCATTTGTTGATGTATGGTTTTCAAGCAAATCTCTTTACGCTCAATTAGGTGCAACTCTTTTTCGTTTTGAATTGCACAAGACTGCTTGAATCTTCTACATATACTTATTTAAAATATCCGCAATTTCTAATTTTCAAGGGATTTTCCACAACCCATTTCGTTCTCATGCTTCACACTCTTTTTTTCTGCCCAGTTTTCATAATAACCATATATTCTTGTAATATGTCTATAAAATAATACAAGTTTATAGCTCTACAATTGCAACTAAACTTGAAAACACTTCTCGTTCGCCTGTTTTCAGTTTCGCCAATGTTGAATCGATCGAAAGACAAAGAGAAAAAGACAGAAAGAGACAGAAGTAAAGAACCAATCGCAGATTTTATGAGTATACACTCATTTTCCAAGTATTGATTTAGCGAAAAGTTTGCGATTTGTTTGAACAAATTTTTTTATCAGTCAAAAGGTGTATTGATTATGTCGAAGTTTGTTTATTGCTTCATTTCAATTTCTGTTGTCTGTTGAAATAGAAAAAGTGGCTAAAAAAAGTCGATCATTGATAACACATATACCTACTTCACTTTTCGGCCCAAATCATGTTGAGTGGTTTGCGATAATGTTTCTGATAAAATTCAAATTATTGTTATCAAAGGAATGCGGATTAGTTTTTTTTTTCAATAATGATTTTCTTGAAACATTGTGGTCAAGGTAAAAGCTATAAATTGTCTCCAAAACGTCATTTACTCGAACAATTAGAATGGAATCCACACCAACAATTCCTCTTTCATTCTTGCCATAGATAATAAATGAAAATTTTCACTACTCCAAGATAATTGAAGCAGCCCAGTGAATCATTCGTGGCATAAAGTAGCAAAACACATCAACATTCTTAAATGTGTATTTCAACGAAACGTGTAGAATGCAATAATAATATTATTCACTCATGCCCGAGTCGACCATAAAAAGTGGCGACTATTTAAGGCGTTTCGTCTGCTTCGCAATGCAAATGTGCAGAGAGTCTCGAATGACTTAACATGAATATGGCAATTGAATATTGTAAACAATACACCAACTTGAAATAAAAGATGCGCAAGCAAACGCCACAAATTTGTGGAAATCGATTCGAAATCATTGTTGTTCATAATCAAATCGTCACGCGGCCAAGCTTGCGAAGGTTATACAGTTGTTGTTTTTTTTATTCATGATGTGACCCAAACAAATGACCTTTAGTAGGTGACACTACTTTGATAAGTGAAGTGTTTTGGAAACACAATGTTCAGACACTCACAAAATTGAATATTGATAGAATTCTGGATTCAATGGAAATATTTCCGGTCCCTTAATTCTCAATTCGAATGCATTATCACAAACAAAAAATTTCAATTCCGAAGCAAAAAAACGCAGTAAATTACTAAATACATGAAAAATGACTCGGAAGCCAACTTTTTCTAGGAAGAGAAAAAAAAATGTTCGGTTTTGAATAGACTTACTTAGACATATCACTCAAACTATATCAATTTTAAACTGAAATTTAATACAATGAGGAGAACTACTAACTAGAATTTTCAACAGGCTGACCTTTTTGTGCGAATGACACGAAACATAAGAAAAATAAATTCGTTATAGTATATTGTTCAGTCGAAGCGAAAAATAGTCATCTGCAAATCGGTAGATCATGATCATAAATTGTTATTCAATAAAATTTAATCGATACGATCGGAGTTGTTCTCAAGTCTCAGACGAATAGAATCAATTTGTGTTATTCCTTATATATCGAAAGTGACATTGAATGAACAAATGCATACATAATATCGATTGTGATCGAAGTGTTCGATCGATTGTATTCACTGATGCAAGTATATGTTATTGTAATCACGTTCCCCTTTGTTAAATTTTAATTCGTCACGTTTTTAATGGTTCTATTCATTCGTGTGTTTTTAACGCCATAAAATTCGAAAGACGTGAATAGAAATCTTCATCGCTCAAATGTAGCGTGATTTATTATGTTCGCCATTTGAAGCGCCACGATCCAAAATCAATTTTAAATGTAAACACCGATTATTCTCAAACATTTATTCTTGACGACTAGGATGCGAGATTCAACGAACTTAATCAATTTCGGTGAAACTTTTTTCAGAAGAAAAAAAAAGAAATAAAAAATGAGGTACAAGGATTCTGTGAAATAGAAGTGATTTATTTTATTTTTAAATTTCAAATCGTAAATCATAAAAAAGTGGCTCAATTTGTTTAAGTCTCTTCATAATAAACAAAAAAAATGTTGGAAGTAAACTTCAATTCCGATATGACAAACTGTGCGTTTGAGTGATTTTTTTATTTAATCAATTTCAAATGATTTCACAATATGGAAAAAACATGTTTTCATAAAACTCAACGGGAGTTAATCAGCCTAGAATTAAGTGTAATTTAGTTTAATATTAAAATATCCATTAGAGTTTCAATCGAAATTGTGAGTTTTTCACTGGCTCGAGATAAACAAATTAAAAAACACATCAGTTATTTATAATTTCGTTGAATAATTTGCGGTTTTGTGTTAAAATTCATTAGTATCGAATAAACTTGAATTATCTTCAGTTAGTAGCAAAACGAGTGTCTGAAACGAAAATATATACTCCCATCGGGATAGACAAATAATAATTCTGACTTAATCGTGTGCACACGAAATTTTGTTCTGGCTTTTGTCTGGTCAATATTCCATTGAACTTCAGGCTATTTTTGATTTGGTAAATCAAGTGGATTCGTCTATTTTTACGCAATTTGTATATCCGATTGATTTCATTATGTTATTCAACATTTCCATCTTAAATTTTCACAGTTAGTGTTGATGTAAATGACGTCAATGCAATCGTATCTAAATAATAACAGGCCAACCAACTAACCAATACACACAAGCACGTGGAAACAAGAGTTTTTAAAATCGAAAAATTCATTTACTAGAAAATGTTGTATTTATATACAGCGTGCACAGAGTTCAGTCAATTAGACTGAACAAAACGTAATTCTCATTTGCGATAATCGTAAACATATGCGAATCCACTAATAGTGCTAAATGTTTCTGGTTACGCTTGTGATTAATTTAAGATGGTTAGATGCAATGCCTACCGATTAACGTTGGCATTTTTTGCACAAAACACAATCGAATTACGCAAAATTACAACGTGATATCTATAACAACACTTTCATGCACAAGTGGTTCTATGTTCAAACGAAAATATTATTCTCACATCTAAACATTTCAGTGATAATAAAAGATAAATTTAGCAAATGTTCAATTTCTTTGACGCGATTTATGGCAGCAGCCGCAATAAAATAGAACTTCTACCATAAACTTTTGCAAAAACAAAAAGCATGCGGTTTGTGTCTTTTGCTTGATTTTTTAATGTAATTTATGGATTTTTAATAGACTGTTAAAATGAGAATAAATGAACATTTTCTGTTGTAAAATGTGCTTCAAACTAAATGGGCATTTCATTTAAAGTTTGTGTGTGTGTTTCAATTATTTTCCGACTCTGCCAACTGTCCCATCCCGAGAATTTACGTGCTATTGAACATGCGTGCGTGTAAAAATAGCGCGAAACCTTAGAAATACCAAAACCATTATGATGAAGCAATTACATAAAATATCAAACATTGATGGGCCACTCATTAAGCAACGAAAATATATACCGATCGTTTATTATCAACAAAATTCCAGCTGACTATGACCACAAATTTGTGTTCGGGATCTGTTGAAATGTGAAACAAATTTTGCCGTCTACTTTCATCGGCTCATTCGTGTGACCGTTGTTCAAACATTGTTCTAATTACATACGTGCCGCAGTAGTGTGCATTTTATCGTTAAGCAAGTCATTGAATTGTTTTGTTATTAGTAGGCTCATGAGTATGCTGCACACGAATACCAGTCAAAGTGCAACAGCGAAATTTAAATTAAAAATATAACGAAATTACTTGGGATTATTGGCTTCCTTCATACTTCAACATTGATCGTTTCCACTAATTCGCATTCATCGTGTTTGCATGACAACACTGTTTTTTTTAAATTGAATACACAAAAATACGGTTCGCATGTGTTTCATGCGTGCAGGATATGTGTATCATAAAATGTGCATCGACAAATTGTAAACAATTTTCAATACGCGTTGTTTTGTGTATTCTAAATATTTATTTTGCGCCTTTTGCTTTGTCAAGTCTTTTTTGCGGCTGTCCCTTCTTTCTTTCTCTCTCTTTCTCCCGTTCATTCTCTTTCAAAACAAAAGATAAATTTTGTTTTGAGATTCACTTTGTGTTCACACGTTTCTTGTGTCTTTTGCATCCGATATATTCGATGCATACCAAGAAATCAAGCCAACGCACTCTTGAAACGCAAATGAATTGTAACAATCATCGTCATTGTTTCATTTTCGGTTTTTTGAAGTGATTTCGTTCTCTTAATTTTCGTTTTCTCTGTTTAATTTCAGACTATCGGTAATATGACTTCAACAGTAGTGCTTCCGAACTCAGCCACGATATTTGCGGCCATATGTGCATGTATCTTTGTCGTTGTCGGTATAGCGGGTAAGTGTGTGACTTGAAATTGAAAACGAATAATTGAAACAAAATAAGGCATATGGGATCGATGTTGTTTATACACTCGGTTCTTCATTGATTTAGATAAACAGAATGTTTATGTTAATTTTTCAAATATTTACTTACGTCTTTTCTTCTCTTTCTCCCCCTCTCTGATTATACGCAGGCAATCTAATTACGATAATTGCGTTGCTTCAACATCAAAAGCTCAGAGGACATGCAACCACTGCGTTTGTGCTATCACTATGCATCTCAGATTTGTTGTTCTGTTCGTTCAGTATGCCACTAACGGCGATTCGATACATAAACAAGGTGAGCACTTGATAAATGCCAGCATTTTGTTTAAATCACACGATCTAAATACAAATTTTTAATTAAATCATATATTATCAATCTGTGTAGGCATGGACGCTTGGAGAGACACTATGCAAAATATTTCCAGTGATCTTTTACTCAAATGTGGCGGTCAGTCTGTTGAGCATGGTCGGAATAACACTGAATAGGTAATATTTTCCCAATTTTCATGTCGATGGTATTTTTTCTTCAATTTTTCCATATATTCCAGATACATTCTAATCGCCCATCATCATTTGTACGCTCGAATTTATCGGCCGCATATCATTGCGTTGCAACTGTTTGTGGTGTGGTTTTTTGCCATTTCAACAATGATACCGCCGTTGTTTAGCGTTTGGGGGACACTTGGCCTGGATGAGAAAACATTTTCATGCACAATACTCAAGAAGGACGGCAAATCAATAAAGAAATTCTTGTTTTTAGTCGGCTTCTTATTGCCGTGCATCGTCATCATCATATCGTATTCATGCATTTACTACACCGTACGAAGACAACGTCAAAAATTAAATAAGCATATAAGCAGCAGTGCGCCGATAACTGGTGCATCGTCGAAATCAATTGGAGCCGCTCGTGAACGTGAGGACAGCCGTTTAACGGCAATGATGTTGACCATTTTCATCTGTTTTCTATTGTGTTTCCTACCATTGACCGTGGTCAATCTTTTCGATGACAAACTCGAATATCCTTGGATTAATACGATTGCATCGGTGCTTGCATGGGCATCGAGTGTAATCAATCCATTCATTTATGCGGCCAGTAATCGTACGTATCGGGTCGCTTACTTTAAACTATTCTCAGCCATGAAATTTTGGGGCGAACCACTGAGTCCGATGCCAAGCAAAAGTTTTTTACCCAGTAAAGGATCCCGAGATAACGGTTCCAATGGAAATTTCAATGGCAAAGTCTAATTTATTCCAGAATCGGATCGTTCTTTTTTTGCCATTTAAATAACTATAAGCAATCATTTGTTCTACTTTTTCACTATTTTTCTTTTATCGTAAAATTCCATACAATCAAGTCATATTTGAGATTAAATTTGGTACTACTTTTTAATGAGCGAAAAATTCTAAGAAATATATTAGCTTTAGATTTTAACGAAGAAATGACAAAGAACTGGTCAAGAATTGATATCGAACAAAAATACACCAACAAACGGTTTATTTTTCTTCTTCAATTTTTGCGAATGGATAAGAAGCATTATATCATGATATTTGATGAAAGACAATTTTTAAATTATTTTGAAATAAAGTTTTGCAAGGCGGATTAAGGAGATTTAAGGCAGGAGATTCCATTAGATTTTCAGTACAAAGCGATTTTATGTGTATATAAAGTGTATCAGTATAGGCTAAACTCTACTTCTATATTCATTAAGTCTGGACGCCATTCATAATGAGCCAAAGAATACATTTCGATTTTTAAAACGAATTTTACGTTTTGGCTGTTTTTTTAATATCTTCAGATATTATTTACAGACTGCAGCACTTGAGTAATTCGTCTTTTCAGGTTTATCTCTTTTTTTTAAAAAAACTGATTTTTTTTTATTGTGTATGCTTGATGTTTGTGAGTAACGGTTGCAATCTATTTTAATCTTATTTGAGCTACTTTAAAGTGTTTAATTGTTTCGGTAAGTAACTCGCTTCACTGCTGAATTCGTCTGTTATTGCTTTGTCGTTGTATTTGTGTAAGCTGTATACATACGTCTCTTATCAAATGGTCTGTTTATTTGTATGCTCACAACTGACGAACGGTTATCAGCAAGTGACAATGCCGCCTTATAAAATGGTAACAGCCGCCTCAATATTTGTGTATATTTGAACACATATATGTGTGTATGTTGTTTTTGTGCATACAATGTTTTTGATGACATTCATCGGTTTGAAGATAATGGGACTTTTTTCAGCTCTTTGAAAATAAACAAAGTTCGAATATGATGCGTATCAATTTGCAACGCCAGTCGAAATTCATACAGAACATTTAACAAAAGTAGTGCCTTAGAAAATTGGATTTATTTTTACCCACCCATTTTTGAGCGAAAAAGAATTAGATCAGTCGGTAAAAGTAAGAGAATAAATAATTCGATGAGATTCAAAGTTGAATCCATTTTATATATTCAATATTAGGAACATATGATTTTCAAAGTAGTTTTAATGCATACACAACAATGAGACCAGCAGTTAATTCGGTCATCAACTCAGCCGTACGACAGCCAATCAACGTCTCAATACAAAATGAATCGGCGCCGATGACGGAAAAAATAACAAATTTTGATATACATCGAGCCAATTTCATTTGGCCAGAAGATCCAGAAGAAGAACTGCCAGTCAAGTAACTTCAGAACATTTTTAATTTACAGTACTTTTTTACTTTTGTACCCAACATTTATGAATTTTCACAGTTTTCCTAGATTCAATCAACGTTTCCAACATCGTCGCTTACATATGAGTGCCATGGTGCCATTTGGAGTAATGTTAGTACTGTCTACAATTATTTTCATCATGATCATTTTTCGTCGTTGGCCCGGCGTTGTGTCTGGCATAGTAGCTGGCTGCTTGACATTTATTTCCATTTATTTGCTACTGCTTACCCTTAAAGAAGAAGTGCTAGTTTACGAATGAATACAAACAAATTTACTGATGAATAGGCATTTGAAAAAAGTTCGTTAATTCAATATCAAGTATCAAATTGAAATAATCGAAATTAGTTCCATTAAAATTATGCTTGATTTAAATTCAAGAAGAAATAAAAAAATATTTGAGCAATCAAAATAAATTTAACTAGTGATTTCATGCAGAATAAAATGTAAATTTGCATCGATCTCTGTGGAATTATTGGACAACACAAACTCAAGTAGCGACAAATGTCAAAGCAACATTACAGTCGACAACCAACTTCACGCCAATTAAGAAAAATGCGTATATCGCACACAAACGTAACTTATTTCATCTGAAAAAAACTCAATGGTGTCTTTGATTTTTTGTTTGGTTTGAATTTACTAATAATTTAAGACTTCAGGATAAATTTATATGGAAAGTATGGCATATGAATAAATGCAACATCATTTACCGTAATCATCGACATTCTCTTGACAACAAACAGAACTTTTTTCGGTATTGGAAATTGCTTTGCCATAAATTGATTTCAACTGTGTAAATAACCTCTCTCGTATAATTAATGAGTCATCTCAAATATGACTGAAGAAGCATACTCTTTTCGGTTTTCTGCTACAATTATTTCACCATTAGATTAATA